GTATCGGTATAAGCAGTTAGAAGTGGACTAACCCTACTAAACGTACTAAGAATGAACAAATGTGAATTTAAGCACCAAAGATGGGGGCTTATCGATCAATTGTAGCATAGTGAGGATATGTTTCAAAGGGAGAAGGCAAACCATCGAACATATATATATATATATGATGTTGGGGATACATAGCCAACAAAATTGAATTTACGGTATATGTAACTAACCTGTTTTTTTTTGGGGGTTCATGATCAACACTTGGACATTAACATTCATATCATTCATGTTTTGGGGCTTGCCGAAATGCATTGATACGTCAGGGACCGATTTACAGAGATCATCCCAGGTTCTAGGTATCACATCGGCGTAGCAAGATAGTCTACGAGTCATTGTTGATCATCCCAATAGGCTTTGGATGACATGCTGGTAATCTGGCAATGGCAATTTCCTCACTTACATAAATAATCATATATATATAGTGAATATATATAGTGAATATATATAGTGTATATATATAGTGTATATATATATAGTATATATATACACACTATATATATATACTATCTATATACACACTGTATATATATATATATGTATTAACTAATATAATATACTATAATATTATATGATATGATATTACATATATGTATATATATAATCCGCCTATCAAAGATGTATTTTCTGTATTCCCTATTCCCTTGCCATGTTTGCTTACCGGGTGCCCATGATCTCGACGCCGCGCCCAGGCAAGGCTTTTTGCGACTCGTGGCTCCCGATGGCCATGTTTTGGATCCGTTGCAATCCCTGGAAGAAGCGGGGCTGGGAGACTTGGTGATGTAGAGGTGACTGGGTTTAAGGGACAATTTGTAGTAAACCCTTGATCCATCGGCTTTCCGTCTTTGCCTGCAGGTATGCGTGTGTTGTTTGACTTTTTTTTTAAAAAAATCTGGTGGACTTAGTTGGATTCCGGCCTTTGTTTTTTCCAACAGGATGTCCAGCTTGGTCACATTACCGCAACCCGTTTATTTTGGTGGTCGGTAAACGCCCCATGACTTGGGGATTAAAACCACCACCGGAACATCTGGTTCTTGGTATACCTGGTATGTTGTAGAGCTTCGCACACCGGCGATGCTGCAAGAGGAGATGGCAGCAGTCTCAGTGCGATTGCCCAAGATCCAGCGCTTGCTGCCACGGGCACCGCCTTCGCACTCTTCTGTCGTGGAGGGGACGGTGTCGTGACGTGGGGCAGTCGGTTGTCGGGTGGCGACAGCAGCAGGGTCAAGCTGCGGTTGAGAGGTGTGGAGCAAGTGCAGGCGACCCATAGTGCTTTCGCGGCCATCCTGACAAATGGATCTGTTGTCACCTGGGGCCATCCGGAAGATGGTGGTGATAGTGATGCTGGGTTGTGGTTTTGACCATTGAGTAATGTCTTGACATGTTTTCTTTTGTTTTGGTTTCTTTAAACTAAAGATGTTCTTATTTTCCATCCTCAAAGAATTCGGAAGGACGATCCCAGTTGACTTAGTTGACCTTCATTTTTTCAGAGACAGGGCTCAACCAGGATGGAATTGAGAATCTTGCAGATGTTCGCTCCATCCAGGCATCGGCCTATTCTTTTGCCGCCATCTTGGGAAACGGTGGAGTCGTCACCTGGGGCCATCAGGACTTTGGTGGTGACAGCACTGCAATCCAGGATCAGTTACACAGTGTCCTGGAGTTGCTGAGTCGATTTTTTGTTGGTTAACTCTCCATTTGGGGAATCTATTGGGAATATTTTGTATTTTTATGACCACCTGAAGCAAATATCAGGTGTGCAAACAATACAAACTACATCATCCGGGGCCTTTGCTGCAATCCGAGCAGATGGCCAGGTCGTGACCTGGGGTGCATACCGTGGTAGTGATAGCAGTGCAGTTCAGGATGAACTCAGGAACGTGCTGCAGGTGCAGGCGACGGATGGTGCTTTTGCGGCAATCCGAGGACAGGGTTTCAAACTGGTTTCAAACTATTTGATCTTGCAACCTTCCGTTTTGGCTGGTTGTTGGCCGGTTTCGGGGTCCCAGTTGAAGATTTTGAAGCCCAGGAGATGGAAGTGTTGTGACCTGGGGCAATGCAAAATGTGGAGGCGACAGCAGCGCAGTCCGAGATCGTCTTCAAAATGTCCAGCAGGTGCAGTCGACAGACGGTGCTTTCGCTGCGATCTTGAGAGATGGGACAGTTGTTACATGGGGCGACTTGGATTTGTTGAGTTGATGGTTAATCCACCAGAACTGGGGCATATCTTGTTTTTTTTTCCTTCGTTTCTTGGCCACCAAATCACCAAAGGCAATCCAAGGTGATCCCATGTGCGGTGGAGAAAGCAGTGCAGTTCAGGGGCGACTTCAAAGTGTCAAGCTGATTCAAGCGACACGCCATGCTTTCTCAGCCATTTGCGCCGATGGGACTGTAGTTACTTGGGGCGATCAAACATCTGGTGGCGACAGCAGCCTGGTTCAACATCAGCTGAGGGATGTGCAGCAGATCAAATCCACCGACACTGCATTTGCTGCCATACTTGGTTCTGGGAATGCTGTGGCCTGGGGTGATCCGGACTCTGGTGGAGATAGCCGCGAAGTTCAGGATCACCTGAAGAATGTCAGGCAACTTCATTCGACCACAGGAGCTTTTGCTGCGATCCTGGCGGATGGATCCATGGTCACTTGGGGTGATGAAAGCTTCGGGGGCGACAGTCGCGCGGTACAACATCAACTCAGACACGTGCGCAAAGTGCACTCAACGGATGCGGCGTTTGCAGCCCTTTTGGGTGACGGAAGTTTGGTCACCTGGGGTGATCCGCGGTATGGCGGGGACAGCAGTGGAATTGAAGAGCTGCAAGTCCTGTAGTGGGGTCAGCCTGGTGGCAATGATGAATAATGTGCTCCTCACTCCCTGCTGTGAGACATGAAAGAGGGATACTAGATGTAACTGGACCCAGAGCGAGCTCACTTTGTCCTCAAAGAGGCGCAGGATTTCTCGACCAAGACGTTGATTGCACGGCTTCAATGCCTTCAAGCGCATATGCTGCGGCTAAAGAAACTCTGGCATAGAGGATTCAAGGGAATTAGGATCAAAGGAATCAATGGACTTCGGGTTTTGAGAAAGTTGCGGTGAAAAGCCGAAACCTATGGCTACTGCACCCCAACGAAGCAGCGCCGGGGTGTGTGTTCTGTGTTCTTCCAGAAAGGAAATGAAACCGCTGTTCAGCAAAGATTTAGATCCGAAGTTTATGCATGGAAGCCAATTGCGAGACGCCGCCAGTTTTCAAGTCCTTTAGCAAAAAGTGTTCCACAACGATTCTGACTTTCACCTGGTCGGCCCGTGCCAAAGATGAGATGTTCCAGATGGGTTTGTCCAGAAATGTGCGAGAAAAAGCCATTGATTGCAATTTTAAATGGGGAAAACATGGGAAAACCATGGCTTTAAACCATTGGATTTTTCAGGATCTTTCTTTTGTTTCTCATGATTTGCGACCCATACCCAGATGCCAGCTGACAGGAACCCCTTCGACAAAACCTGCATGGAGAACTACCAGCAAGTCCTGTGTTCTCCGTCCGGTTGCTCAGACTTTCCTGGTCGGCTGTCGTGCACCGGAAGTGGCAACCCTGACATCCAGGAAAGGGTTGGGGGGAAAAGGAGTGCAAGCAAAAAGGTCCAAATCCAGAAAGCCACTTCTCCAATCTTCTCCAGACCTATTCATACTCCCCCGAATCGATCAACCCGGGCCCTGTAGGTTGTTCTACGGCTACCGGGTTAATGTGAGTCAAACTCAGGGTTAATTGTTGGCTTAGTTGGCTCATCGATGCTCACTCCTAAGCACCACCATTGAAGTGGGCTTGAAGGGCCCACTTCAATTGGGTTTGTCTGAAAATAGGGGTATACCCAAAATATCCCCAAATCCCTCACTTGAACCTTGGCTGCGAGGTATGATCGGAATGGGAGAGCGGTCGTCTAGTCTGGCAAGTGCCGGGTATAAGAAGAGATCTGCATGGGGCCGATTCGTTGTACGAAGGAACAACATGGTGCAAACAAGTCAGGTGAGGTATCCCCATTTGAAATATGTTACGGTAAAGCGGTAAAGCGTACCAAAATCGTGGATATTCCATGACCATGTTGGATTTCGAGAGGGTACTTGACAATTGGAAGTGCAGCAGTATGGTCTTCTCTGTTGCTGAAGCTTCCAATCTGGGTTGTGTGGGGAATGCAGGGTCTGGAGTTGCCCAAGCGGTATCAGTCAAACAACCGAAGGTGATTGATATTGATTTTTCAGTTGCGAGTGTGGTAAATGGATGTTCACATCCAATTCATACAGAAAAACATAGATTTCGTCCTATCCCCAGTTTAAATCTACCGCTCTTCAGCATGCAGGGAATGTGGTTCTGGAGATTTCTGCCAAATCTGTGGGCCTGGTTTGCCACGGGCACCACGGGACAATGTTTCAGTTGAAACCTTTGCAGATCGTCTTCAATTCAATTTTTGGATTATCTGGCCATTGCCCGAAGCCAACCTGAAGAAAGGAGAAAAGGTGCTGCGGGATATGACCCATATCGATTTGGTCTCAGGAGGTGCTTCCATTTCGTGCCACTTTGTGTTGTAGAAAATGAGTAGCATGAAGTGGGAAGGTCATCCAATTAGATTTCTCAAAAACATGTTATTTTGCAACTCAGAAGTTCTCATAGCAGTCATTCTAGCCATCCCAGGCATATATTTTTTTTCTCCTTCGCCATGGAGAAATGAGATGAGATCCACAGGTTTGCTGGTTACAAGTGTTACCATCTTACCATCCCCCTTGACATGTTATTTCCCCACGATGTTCACTTTCAATTACAAGGCTTGAAAACAATCTCAACATGAAACTTCAAATCAAACCGAGACCAACTTTGTAATTGAAACAAGGCTTGAACATCAATCTCAAAATTGTCATTTGTAGTTTTTTCATGTTTCTCGCTGCCAAAACGTTGAACGCCAACAGAATTTTGCTGTCGCTCACCAAAAACCCGTGCGCCATGGCAGCTTCCCCCGCTTTCTGGGACGTGGCCTACGGTCCCGGCGGCTCTTCGGACCCTGAGAACAGCCGATTCCTGCGGCTGCACCCAGCGCCGGTGGAGCAGCATGGGACGGGGACGGTGGTGGTGCTGCATGGAGGCTACTGGAAGAACAAATTTGGGCTGGATGATGTTGCTTGGAAGATTTAGGGCCCAAAAAAATGGGGAATTGGGTACGTGTGAGGTTTCAAACCATCGAACTTGGCTTTGTCTGAAGATTTAGGGCCCACATAATAGGGAACATGAGTTTTTTTGCCTGACAATTTAGGGGAACCACCCAAATTTGATGGGTGAAACGTGTTGAAGCCCTCATTTTCCCTATTTATTTGATGGCCATTTTCTTCGGGGTATCCCTCATTTTTAGGCAGACTCATGTGGACCCGGATTTGCGTTTTGGTCTATATATAGCTATGTCTGAAATTTGCGGATTGATACCACCCAGTTATGGCATGTTATGGCCATTTAAAGAGGGACAATGGTTAGTTGGGATGATTAAGGATCGCACCTTCTTGGTACCCAATTTTCAGACACGCCCATGTGGTTGCGGTATTGTAACGTGATGATAGTGACACGATAGTGACGGGCAATTTCTTTTGCATGTCCCTGAGGCCTATGGCAATGCAGGAACCATATCTCTGGGTCCATTCTTTCTGGCTCGAGGCTTTTCAGTGGTGGAAGTCGAATATCGACGGCGTGACCACGAAGGCAGCGGCTGCGACCCAGTGACCCTCAACCCTCAGGATCTTGATTGAAGAATGAAGACTTTGTCCGAACCTCTCTCTATTTCCTGAATCTGACCCCTGATGGCTGCCAGTTTCCCTGTCTTCAGGTTGGATTCTTTTCGGAATCTGCTGGAGATGTGTGGCCCCTTTTTTTTATTTTCCATATTTTCTGTAGATGTTCAGGATTTTTCGCGGGCTTCAGGAGGTGGCTGGCCCGGCACCAACGAGGACGTCTTGATGGCGCTGCGACGCATCGCAGAGCTGAAGACGGAGGGTCTGGAAGATGGAGAGTATGGTGACTTTGGCAGATGACAATGGATCAAGACCCATGGACCTATGGATTTTTTAATGTTTTTTTTTTTGCCCAAAGTCTTGGGATTTTTTGGCAGCTAGAAAACTGGTGGTTTTTTAGCAAGCATGTCATGGAAGATGTGGTTGGGGGTGGCCGAACAAGATGAAATAAGTCTAAGAACTTGTGGAAAAACAGGACTTTCAATTTAACGTGACTTTAACATGTCTTTTGGACGATTTGGTTGAATCCAACTTTCACATGACTTTGGAACAGAACTTTCAGACTTTCAGATACTGTGTATGAAGACCATTGAAGACCACTTTATATGTTTTGGCATTTTAACATCCCTTCCAGATCCCTTTCATAAGGGTTGACGGAACCTTTGGTAGCTCAAGAAGCCTCATGGGTATGTTGAGAATCACTGGCTAATACCGGTGAATGGGGCTGTCAAGTATGTTCAATCATATTTTAGTGGCTTTTGGAACCTATTCAGTTGCGAATTCTAGTGAGTCTTGACTCGTAGGTTGATAAGGATACTTGTTGGTGATCCTTTCCAGAATAATCCCTTTGTTCTTGCTATTCACTATTTACTTGACTATTAATAAAGTTTGATCAGACTGTACAACAATATACAATAATATACACAATCTACTTCCAAACTGGAACATCCAACTTGGGCTTCTCAGTTGCCCCAATCCAATTTTCCAAGTAGATCTGAGGCGCTGCGGTGAGAAGCTTGCGACCTGAAGCTTGGCCACCAGCTGCAGGAAGGGCCAGCACTTTTTGGATAGGCAAATTTGTTTATAACTTGGTTAACTGGGGTTATAATGGGTTATATATATATATAATTTATGATGGATATATCATGATGTATCCATACCTAGATGGGCTTGTAAACGCACAATACAACTAGGGGCGCCGCCCTTCCGGTACGTATTTTGTCCCACAACAATATGATTGACACCTCAAAGATGTTCCATCCCATGGTTTATGGCATCATTTTCCCGAAAGTGTACTGACATTTCCACAAAAAGTGGGCCCATCTCCGATTTTGACACAAGAAAAAACACATAGCTGGCAGCTACGAACCAGTTCATTGTTGCTTCTTGTATTTGTTGCTATCAGTTCTGATATATAGATTGAAGTTCTTGAAGTTCTTTGAGTCAAATGGTTCTGTTTGGATCCCCAATTTGATTGGTTGTGATATATAGATTTAATGTTTTATATGAGTCAAATCCTCTGTTTTCATCAAGATCCCCAATTTTATTGGTTCATCTCAGATCATCTCCCTAAAAAATGAAATTGGGGATCTGTCATAACCCAACTTTGATAACCCAACTTTGATCATCAGATCATCTCAGATCATCATATCTCAGGACAGGTTGATGCTAATTGGTCATTCCGCTGGCGGCTGCCTGGCTCTCTGGGCCGCTCATCACCTGGCCGCGGAGAGCGGAGCGGAGCGGGCCGCGCCGTTGGTGCTGGCAGCGGCGCCGGTGGCGGATTTGGTGAAGGGCTTTGAGATGAAGGTCTCGGATGAAGGTCGGCAGATGGATATAACATGATATCACTATATGATGTATATAATTATATATACTGTATATATATATACATGGATATACATGGATATGCACATATATATAATATATATATATAATAATTATACATCTATAATGTATACATATGGTGGATGTTTTCATCTTCAGTCTGAGTCTTTTTTAAGGCCCTCCCACCACAAGCCCCGCGCATGGAGGTGATGCTGTGGAGCTCTACATGAAGCAGCCGCCCACCTCTGATGTAGGCCTCGAGGAGTATCGGAAAGCTTCACCTGCTGCACTGCTTCCGGGTCGAAGTGGCGGGATATTTGGCAAAACCTACGAAACAAAAATAAAAAAAGATAGGATTGAAGCCAATTTATATCAATTTATGGGATGCCTAGTTCACCGGTGGGATTTCGTGGCGCGATGGATGTTGGGTGCGGTTTTACAGGGGAGATTGACCTCCAGTTCATGGAAGTTTAGATAGGGAAAATGGTCAGAAACCATAGCATTTTGGGGGATCCCAATTGTTGGACGTCACATCAAACCCACATGATGATCATCCCATCTGACTGGGAAATCCCCTATCAATTGGCGCTTCGAACGGGAAAATCATCGAACTTGTCATGGTGGGTTTTCCATTGCCGTGTTTGACTACCGGAGGGTAGCTACTGGTGACAGTTTCAGAATTGTACTGGCAAACTTGGGACTTGGCGGTCAAGTGTACTGAAGCTTCTGTCACATGAAGGTAGCGGGCAGCGGATGTAGCATATAACAGCGCAACTCTTGACCCTTCAATTGGTAAAATCACCATGTTGGAAACATTACACGTTGTGGTGGCTCTGTTACAGTGTTCAATGTTCCCATTCTTGCTGATAAAACCCCTAGTCTTTTGCTGCTGAACTTCCCATTCTTTTGCTAGTATCATGCAAAATCATGATCCCAGTCTTGAAACAAACTCTTTCAGCAGCATGTTCGTTGCTTCAATCCCAATTTTCCGGTGCTTCAAGTCACCATATTTGCTGCAAAACCCCGGATCCCTGATTTTTCGTGGGAAAATCCCAATCTTTGTTGCTTCAAATCCCCATTTCCGGTATGTAAAAAGTCCCCTTGATATCACATTCTCCCCTGATTATCCCCTGATTGGCTGGAACAAACATCTCCTCCCCGGGTTTCCGAGGCTCCCCGTGACCTTCCCCCTGCTGCTGGCCTACGGCGACGCCGACGCCGACGTGCCGCCCTTGCTGGTGCGGAGCTACGCGGAGCAAGCGAAGGCCTCAGCGCCGGAGATGGTGACCACGGTGGCTCGGTAAATATGAAGTGACCCATGGTGAATATTAATATATAGTCAAATATAGTCAATATTTAATATTAATGATGGGTATTGAAAATAGTCAATAATGGTTGACATAGTAGACTCAATATATTCACCCAGTATAGTCATACTATTTTACCACCCAGTATTGAAAAATATAATAGTCAATAATGGTTGACATAGGTGGTATACGGTAAATACTAAAGTTAGTAAAGTAATTGGTAAAGCATCCCCAAGGGGTGACCATTTTGATGGATGGTAGCGACCATCAAAATAACAATGGCTGGATTCTTTTTGGTTTAGTAAACTTTACTAATAGTCAAATCCATAGGATTTTATATACCTGTTATAAGGATTCCCAATATGGGATGGATGACCAGAACCCATATGGGGGACCATGAGGTACCTCACCTTCTAGAGATGTTTCAGAAAACAAAGTTTTTGGAGACCCCCAAAAGATGTTTTTTTTTTTTTTGTAAAGTCCTAAAAGAGTGGTAGATATTGGTATAGAAATTACTTTTCTACCTTTTGGAGTTTACTGTAGATTTTATAGATAGTTATCCATTTTGATCCATTGTGATATTCCCATTGATGATATTCCTCTGCCAAGTCTAAGTGAGATTGCTAAAGGGTACGATGATGGGGTCACAAGATGATACAACCAATAGACATGGTGAATATAGATGCATTTTTTTGTAAACCCAATCCCATGGACCATCCCCAATATAACCGTAACATGGGTAGTATAAACCATCCTCAAAGGGTAGGTGTTTAAGGCATTGGGTCCCGCATTGCTTGGTCCGGTCGAGGTTGAAATTCCTGGTGCTGATCATTTTCACATTGTGAACGCCGAAAGCGAGGCATGGCGTCAGGCCATTGTGCCTGCCTTGGCCGCTTGGGACTTGCTCAAGAGGTGGGTATGGATCAAACAGTTGGGGATATACTGGGGATATCACGGGGATAGTATTACAACATGGTGATCTAGCAAAGGAACATGGTGGTATAGTGGGATACAATCAAGATATCATAGTCTCATTTTTTTCTGATACCATGATGTTCCTCTTTTTTTAGCGTTGTGATTTTGAACCATACCCATGGACGATCTTATGACGTGACCGCGTGCCTTCTTGGTCCGTTCCAAGCCCCAAGAAGTCAATGGAGGCTGCATGTGGGGCAAATGATAGCAACCTCACAACAAAAGCCCGCCTTGGGAATTATTTCTATTGCTATTCTGATTTTTGAATGAGAAAGGAGATATCAAACATAAATTGCCAAGTCTATGCTGGTTTACTGAAGCGTAACTCCCAAGTGATGCGAATTATTTCCACAGGGTAATCGATATTCCATTGTATTCCCTCTATCTCTCCATTATATCTTCATTCCCATCATAGCAACATATTTGTTAGATCACCATCTTGTACTACTATTTTCTATTATATACCCCCATTATATCCCTCTTAACTTATATCCCCAGAAAATGGTTGACATCAGCAGATCCAAGGCCAAGTTGGTGGGCGTCCACTTCGGCGCCGACGCCGCGGCTTCCTTGATGTCCTAGCAGCCGATTGGTGCGGCCGCCGACGCCGAGTTGGTGAAAAGAAAAGGGCTGGGAAGGCTGGGAAGGTCCCTCCAAACATGGCAGATTTCACCAAGTTTTTAATGCAAACCACGACTTTAGCCATCAAACATAGGTATTCAACCAATGATTGACATGTTATTTATGGTTTTTCATAGATACCACGTGGCCTACTAATAGTTATTTCGGACAAACACCAGATGTTTTTGTAATAGAGTGGGGGTTATTAATCCAGAGTTATGGTTATTTCGGACAAACACCACAGGTGTTTTTGTGTAGATACTGGGATATACTGGGTATGGATGATCTAGATGTGTGCAAGGTTGGTTTTCGACTCAGATTGCTTTTGAAAATCCTTTGCATCTATGGCAGTGTGCCTTGCTGTTCGTTGTCTGAAGGAACTGAAGAAATGTTCTTTTTAATAGTGTTTCTCTGTTTGAGCTTGATCTTCCTATTGCCTGATTCGGGTACATCATTCTAGGCTTCTCTCCTTCACATGCGGTATGGTTGGTATGCCAGAATCCACAATGGTGCACTTTCCTCATGGATGTCAAAGAATCATGACAGGTACGCCTGTCCTTGCCTACTTGGTGCGTCATCCGTCAAGTTGTAAGCATAGCCCCAGTTGCAAGTGGGCTAAACCTACCTGCCCAACTTATAGCATGCTATAAAACACTATATAAGTAGGGTGGACCAAGGTACACATGAGAACTTGATAATCTTCATACTCGAGGCAGCTATTTGCTTCTCGGGAAGGCATTTTACTTAGCAGGGCCCGATGTGGGGCGAAGATTTCTGCCGCGCAGCGGCTGCTTGGACGTTGGTGAATGGGTGCGTTTCTAGCTGCAGATGGAGGGATGTAACATGTTGTCCCATTAAAAGTGATTACAAGTAACACTGAGAAATGATTGAAATTATCTTCACATGATTTCATTTGGTGGTTTTTCCAGATGTTAAATCACTGCAGGGCAGGGATAAAAAAGAGGTAGGTGATTAACCACGCTTGCAGGATGCAGCTGATCCTTTGTAGCTCAGGTGCTGCAGCATGTTCCATGGTGGCACCAAGCAACTTCGGCCCTCAAGGGAGCCATTTCCGAAAGTTGCAGGTGCTGTTGATGGGCAGGGTCAACGTTCGCGTGAGTCCAACATTCTTATGCATAGTCAAGGGATTCATTATGACTATGCCCTCCGGCAACTAGTGTATACCAGAAATGCGACCCCCCATTGATTTAATCTAAAACCATCCAAATGCTGACATTAAATTAATCTCCAAGAGGTTTTGCAATGTTAACAGGATAGAACATATACACCATCCGAATTCCCAATATATATATATATACAACTGATGTATGATTTCTTACTTCCCGGAATCAGATGATGAGAAAATTTGCAGGATACCCCAACCAATTTGGGGTTAAAAACAGCAAGTTTCCTGTAGACTTTGCAAGAAAACCTATCCATTTCTATCCGATTAATCCACCATTTTTCATGATCAACTTCATATCTCCAATGGTTAGTTAATCCCCCATCAAATTACACATCCCCAACCGTACTTGAGCTCTTAAGATTTGTTGAGTTTCCCACTCCAGCTCTTGATGCTCCCTTGATCTAGGTGCTGGCTGATCTACCAGAGGCGGAGGCACAGAAGACGCTCAATGGGATCATTCAAGCAGCTTCGCGCAGGTGGAAAAAGGGAGTGGACAGTTGGGTTTAACCATCGGCAGGATTCTTTTTTATTTTCAGTCTGTTTTGAGGGTTCCTTTGGGAAAAGGAAGTCCGATGTTTCTTCGTTGAACCATATGAAACCTCCATATTTTTCTAGATTTTTGCCCACATGAAACCTCCATATCTCTTAAAGATGAAACCATGATCAAACCATGACCAAAAGGATTAAACATATTAAAACATACTAAAAACATGAAATCATACTTCATATTTAAATATTAACGAAGATCTAGCTATAAAACATATTTAAACATATTAAACCATACCAGAAATGCTTAAAATTAATATGTCTAAGTCCAAATATATCTATACCATTTTTAAAACATATCTAGCTACAAAATGTATCTATCATTTTTTTTGCTGCTTCAAATAGGTCAGTGCCAGGTCCTCCTGGACGGACGCCATGGCACTGCTGGGCGCGTCCATGCAGGGAACGCTGCAGCTGAATGAGTTGCTCGGCCGTGGGTTATGGCGGTTATGATTATGGGGCAACACTTTGGTTAAGCTAAACTATGTCTAGCATTTCTGTATTTTTTCCAGTAACTATGGGATTTGAGCATCATGCGGTGTAGACCAGCAACACTTCGATTTTGACCAACAAAACTTGGTGATTTAGAATGCAGAAAACATTGGAATTTCATCTGGATTTGTACCAGGTAAGCAGTTTGAAGTGGGATCATTACAAGGGATATGTGATATGTACATGGGTGAAAAACCTGTAGTCCTGTAGTTCACATCTCCAAAATACAGAAAAAACTATAACGACATGGTTCCTCGGCTACTGCAACAGATACTCGCAGGATCTTTCAGGTATCACCACAGTAAATCACATCCAATCTGGTCCGTTTTGATGCCAATCAATATAGCGGCTTCGCTGTGCGTCTCACATGGTATATAAAGTGGATAACAACCCTGGTGAGTGGGTCCTGTACTTGAGGTCCTACCCTAACACGGGGCATGGAACATCGCAGCGCGCGCAGCGTGCGCCGTGAGGTTTTGCTGTAGCAGCTCCCTGGGCGCATGCGCGAAGAGCGAGGCCTGGACCCTGGCCTTCGATTACGTGTCCCGATGGATGCCCTGCAGCAACTCAGCTGCGGTGGGATGATGAACTGCAGGGGTAGCAGCTAAAAAAGAAGGGGATTAAGTTACTGAAAGTTGATATAGGGTATAAGAATCCAACATGGAAATGTCAAGTAACTTCGCAAGTAACTGGCAAACGGATTGCAATCTCCTACAGCTGTGCTTTGAGGTCGCCTACTGTAAGTGCCGCTGTTTAGGGCTGGGTCCCGAGGATATGGCTATACCATGCTACAGTGGTTACAAAGCCCAGTTGGGATATAAGCCCTATACATAACTATGGGAAGGATGGTAATGTATATCACTGGAACTAAGTTTTTTTAAATGTCTTTTTGGTGGGCGCGATGGAGTTTCTGTCACAAGTCATTTGTCTGTCGACGAGGTCAAATTCGACCGGATTCTTTCTGCTACGCAGCTGCGCTCAGTACATTCCAACGAGCCCAGCAGTGGAAGTTGGTGGAAACTTTGTCACAGGCCTCTGTCCAAGTGGCGATTCAACCAAACATCGTGAGCTTTACAACTGCCGTGCGGGCGCGAGAAAAGTGGCGACTGGCAGTTTACTCAAATTTGTGCATGCTACAATTGCAACTCTGTGATGACAAGTTGGCTTTTTTTTGCCGCAGACTTCAGGGTTAACCGGGTTAACTATATATAGCCATAGCTGACTACTTTTCTTCGATAGCATTATTTGACTTGGGAGGAAAAATTAGCTGACCTAAAAGTGCCTTATTGGTAGATTGTCGCTGGTTGTGTATGGCAGTCTCGGGATGTCGCCCATCTCACTATCCTTTTGTTAAACTTTTGGCAACGAAGTATGACCCTACCCCTAAATCACTGCATTTGGGCAAACCAAGGGTACTTGTATCTACTCTGGTGTGCCAATTGAAGCCGTTGACTCCAGTTGAGGCAAGTGGATGTTCTGTGGTGCAGTTCCGTTCTGAAGCGTTGCGCAGACGCTGGTCAGTGGCGAGTGGTCCTCTCGATGCTGCTGGGGATGAGGAGTTGCTTCTTGACCTTGGACGAGTATCTGGGATGCACAGGGGATGGTGAGGTTGGTTGAGGCTCTGTCCACATTTATGGGGTATAGCATGGTATAGCGGTATACCCCAAAAGTGCCAAAACTGCCATTTGTCTTGGCCTTTGTATTTCATTTATCTAAAACTATTCGGATTTAGAATTCACCACGCAGACTCTCTCATACGTGAATCAATGGCTTGAGGATCTGCTGGAATGCAGCCATGACAAGCCAGAATCCCTGGCCGATGACCACGGCACTGCTCAGTGCCTTGGATGTTCCAAGTGCCTGAGATCTGAATCCGAGAAACCGAAGTGGGATGTGTAGGGAAATGGGATATACTATTGTATACAATTACTGCAATTTATGGCCATTTTGTTACACCCAATTTTTTGTTACCCTATTTCCAGACAACACCAATTGGTTTGTGGTCGGGGATCATTCACCCAATATCGACGTTTCAATCTGCGCTCGCTGTAGCTTCACAGCTAGAGTTTTTGCAAGCGCTTCAGATCCAAACTGCGCTGGTTTCTTAACTTAACAATGGGATAGCTTTGAAGGTTTCCCGGTCATTTTCAATCAAACCCAAATGTCCCCCCTGAGGTAAAAGCACCCAGACTCGAACACATGATGTCAGCAGCTTCACGCAGGCGCGATGGATCACGTAGTTTCTTTGATTGTATTTTGCTTGATGATCCTTTGAAAAGGGCTGATGATCCTTTGAAAACTGTCCTCAAGGAGACGGTGTAAAAATAGAAGTCTGCTTGAAATCCAGAAATCCATATAAATCCATAATTTTCCTCTGAGTTTGCTTGTGACCAGAACCCATAGGCATGGCCTCCCAGTTGCAGTCTGCACGAATCAGGCCATGAACAGCTGCACATCGCAGCAGAATTGGCGTGGTACCCTATTTCTGATGGGAGTCTTGAGCTCATTTAGTTGAATACTCCGACATCCAATGGTTCGATAGTGGAGGATGAGTCAAACTTGGTGAATTACTCGAAGAATTGGATCGTTCATGCCCAAAATGACCAACACTTCAGGTTTCCATCTGGTGCTCCCTGATTTTTGACCCACACCCATGTCAGCCATGTCAATCAAATCCTCAACAAAGCCCCAGGTGCGGATACTTGCAACCCCATCAATATTTTGGGGGTGGGTCAATGCAGATGGACCATCAGCCTGGGGGAAGATCTGGCTGAAACCAGCTATGGCTTAGCAGGTCAGTGGCATACGGCTTTGTTTGAAACTAGGCTGCCTCACATTTCAAAAGGATATACTGTAGACTATATATATATATATTAATTATGTGTGTGTTTTTCCCTGTTTGCTGCGGAATTCAAGTTGGAGTACACTGTACACCGTAATGCACCAGTTTTGATAAATCCAAATAATCGACCAACTCCCGATTTTTGCTAGGTTACTTCCTATTTTCATGGTCAATCACTCCATCTTTCCCAAATATTCTTGGACGACTTACATGTTCTCCAACTTCAGGACGTTGCGCTTCGAGTCCAGTCCGTTTGGATGTCTTCCTGTGCAGTGCCGTGCTCAATGGCCTCCAAAAGGCACCACGTTTGGGCAACGAGTTGGGCATTGGGCATTCCTCCAGTGAAGTCCTCTGCCCTTGTGGCCAGGAAAGGTGGATTTTCCCCTGACCTATCCAGAGATGGTGCCAGATTTTGTACTAACATAAAATCTGAGTAAATTATAACATATTATAACGACCTCACTGCGACCTCACTAAAACCATAGTTAGTAAGGGGAATCATCCCAAAATGGCCGAACAATTCAGGTTGGTGAAATATTCTAATTTACCCAGATAAAATAACACTGCGTCATTTCTTGGAAAAACATGTTGCCAAGCTAAGATGATCAGTGCGGGAATCGAAAACCATGTGGCCATGCTGTGGATGTGCCCTGAGACCCTGCCAGCAGGAGCAACTCTGGGCTGCGGCGGCTGGCTACCTGAAGCATCTCCGCGGAAGCACCCTGCAAGTCGATGCGGTTTGCCGCTTGATGAAACAGCAGAGGATCACGGTGGGTGATGGGAAGAGGTCCACAGTGATGCTTCATCCTTGGCGATCTGAAACTGTTTCAACAAATGGGTTGCGCTTGAGGGCCATTTATGGAACATGCCCTGGACTGATGGACCTACGAACCTACGACCTCCAGTTGAAGGTGAGCTGGCATGACGACCTTATCTCGGTATGTTGGCTCAAACAGCAACATCAAAAAAACATGAGAACGGTGTGCGAAACATTCATTGAGCATCATTGAGCACTATTTGAGCTAAATTCCCACACTGTCATGAGGGAGACAGTGGGGCTGGCTCACTACAGCCTGAAAGTCACATGCATGAAGGTGTTCCACACAACACAACTTCAGGTCGTGTATATATTTCGAATCATTTGTCATTTTTTGATGTACACGGTGCACTTGATACAATTATCATTCACACACGGAATATCACAACATAGGTGGGTTTTGCTGATTTTTATCTTGGCACTCCCCAGATCTTTTGCGATTAGAAGTGTGGCCATGTCGGAGGCCTTAAGGCTCAGTCAAGACAAGAGGTGTGAGAGTTGGATCACAGACGAAGATCTCTGCGATGCGGTGGCGTTCGTGGGACCTGAACGCCAGCGTGTGCCATTCCTTCGAGCACCTTTGGCCACCCTCTCCAAGCCGCTGAAGGTTGCGTTGTATGGTGACTGGGTGGTGAGTTCCAATGTTTCTTTATTTCACAGCTTTCCCATACGATTTTGAGGCTTATGACCTTTATTTTAATTGTGTATATTTTTGAAATGGCTTCAAACCAGTCTCACAACCCAGGCGAGTTTCGGGAAGGCCGTACACGTGAACTCGTCTTGGAGGATGTGACCGTTGATGCCTTTGATGTCATGATGAGGACAGCGTACCATTTGGAGCCCAAACTGATTCCTCCCAGGGCAATCAATACGTTGAAAGCTGCAAAGTTGTACATGATAGAAGATCTGGAGAGATATTGCTGGGACTACTTGCGTGATTTGGAAGGGTTAGATAGCACATTGATTTTGCAAACCTTGACGGAGTGCCTGAAGTGTTCTTTTGATCTACCAGAAGAGCTACAATGCACATATTGGAGCAACATTTTGTCCAAGAGCGCATCAGTTGTGCAGTCGCCGTTCTTTGTTGAAACACACGGCTCTGTCATAGCCAGGTTGATCAAACTTGATGAGTTTCATGTCAATGAGGAAAACCTGTGGAGTCGCTTGGTAGAGTGGGCGGCGAATGCCATCCGGAAGCAAGAGCTGCTGGGGCCATTTGCAGATGCGACGCCTTGCCAACCAGCGAAACGCGCCAAGACGAATGATGACGATTCCAACGGTATTGGGCCTAGTGAAACTGTCCAACAAGAGGCCGTTTTGCAACTCATGTCTCCACACATGCGCTTCATACAAATGAACAAGGGCTTTTTCATCGACAAAGTGCGAAAGCATTTGGGTCGCAAGGAAATCGATGCTGTCACTGACTACTTCCTGATGGGCCGAATATCAGAAGGATTGCTGACCCGAAAGCGTGTTGGTCTGAAGGATCCAATTATCAAAGTTGAAGAGAAGCAGGATTTTCAGGTTTGTTGTGAGTTCAGTCAGAAAAAGTTGAAATTCACCAAGCCTATTTTGCTCACCAAGGTGAAAATTAATTCTCGAGTATCCCAAGAAACCCCAGGGTTGTTTGGGTTACGTTACTTCTTCAATGTCTCGTTCACCTGGTCGGTTTCCGCTGCAAACTTGAAATTTTCCAATTCGGTTGCATCGGATTCCGACAACCCCCTGGTACCCAGCAAGAGCACCATTGCCATCAATCTCCAAGATCCATGTGATGAATTGATTGTTGACATTGCTTCAGATCAAATTGATAAGGTGGGTTCAATCGAAGTGACAGGGATGAGCTTCAAGCCACCAGTCGAACTTGCCAAGTCGGTGGTGCAGCGGTTGTCGAAGGATCTCTTGGTGAAGCCTACGGAAGCCAAAAACGACCCAGATCAGTGACATCTTCGCGTGCTCGTTGTGACAAAAGACCGCTTTGCACTGGCAAAGGGCAGTATCAGCTTGTAGTCCACTGTAGCTGGCTAAGTATAATACATCATTGTATCATATAATCCTCAAGGCCCTTGGACATGGACTTTTTTTCAGTTGCAACATCTTCTTGCTTCAGCTGCCAGAGACTTCCGTGTTGAATCATCATTGTGTGGATTTTCTGCTCAGGTTGGGCTTGATTGTTGTTTGATGCTCAAACAGCAACATTCATCAAGCCTGAAAAGGCCACATTGATGTGAGAGAAGAAAACTATGGAAACTCAGCACAACATGGAGCTTGCATGCAAGCAGGTTTTCTACATTTCAGCAAAATACTTGACATAGGACTTGACATAAATGCTTGACATTGTACTCACACAGAAAATACCTTTGCACTCACCAGATCTTCTTCAATTTGGAAAAGTGTGGCCATGTCGGAGGCCTTAAGGCTCAGTCAAGACAAGAGGTGTGAGAGTTGGATCACAGACGAAGATCTCTGCGATGCGGTGGCGTTCGTGGGACCTGAACGCCAGCGTGTGCCATTCCTTCGAGCACCTTTGGCCACCCTCTCCAAGCCGCTGAAGGTTGCGTTGTATGGTGACTGGGTGGTGAGTTCCAATGTTTCTTTATTTCACAGCTTTCCCATACGATTTTGAGGCTTATGACCTTTATTTTAATTGTGTATATTTTTGAAATGGCTTCAAACCAGTCTCACAACCCAGGCGAGTTTCGAGAAGGCCGTACACGTGAACTCGTCTTGGAGGATGTGACCGTTGATGCCTTTGATGTCATGATGAGGACAGCGTACCATTTGGAGCCCAAACTGACTCCTCCCAGGGCAATCAACACGTTGAAAGCTGCAAAGTTGTATATGATAGAAGATCTGGAGAAATATTGCTGGGACTACTTGCGTGATTTGGAAGGGTTAGATAGCACATTGATTTTGCAAACCTTGACGGAGTGCCTGAAGTGTTCTTTTGATCTACCAGAAGAGCTACAATGCACATATTGGAGCAACATTCTGTCCAAGAGCGCATCAGTTGTGCAGTCGCCGTTCTTTGTTGAAACACACGGCTCTGTCATAGCCAAGTTGGTCAAACTTGATGAGTTTCATGTCAATGAAGAAACGCTGTGGAATCGCTTGGTAGAGTGGTCGGCGAGTGCCGTCCAGAAACCAGAGCTGCTGGGGCCATTTGCGGATGCGACGCCTTGCCAACCAGCGAAACGTGCCAAGACGAATGATGACGATTCAAACAGCAGTGGGCCGAGCGAAACGGCGCAAAGAGACGCCATTTTGCAGTTTATGTCGCCGCACATACGCTTCATACAAATGAAGAAGGATTTTTTTGTAGATAAAGTTAGGCAACACCTGGATCGCAAGGACAGTGATGCGGTCATTGACTACTTTTTGTTAGGCCGGGAATCAGAAGGCTTGCTGGCCAAACGGCGCGATGGACTCAAAGATCCCATTGTCAAGCCTGAGGAGAGTTTTCCCTATGCGCAAGAAAGGAAACTTAAATTTGAAAGACCCATCTTGGTCACCAAGGTGGAATTGTCATACATCCAATATACAGGTGCGTGGACTCAACCGAGTTTTCGATGGACAGTAACTGCTGCAAACCAGACATTTGAACAATCCACAAATTTCAACGGCACAAGTGTCATGGTCATTGCTCTCCAAGACCCTTGTGATGAATTGGTGATCGACATTTCAGGGTGCCGCTACGTGCAAACCGTTCATGTCACGGGGAAGAAGTGCACACCACGGGTCGAACTGGCTGACTTGGCAGTGCAGCGATTGTCGAAGGATCTCTTGATGACACCGCAGCGATCACTTGGGTCTGAGACGAGCATCTGCGCCTGAGCGCAGCGTGACAAAAGGGCTTCAATGATGGCAATGGGGAGAATGAGGTTGTAGTCGTGCAGTTTTGTGGCTTTTTTGGTCAAACATTTTAATCCTCGACACCGGTGTTTATTGATTACTTTTGTTTTTTCCCGTTAGACCACCTTTGCAATGCATCTTGGATCAAGAGAAACTTGACACCGGACTCCTCCAATTCAATTTGGTGGTCCAAACCATGTAAAAACCACGGGTTTTCAACGGTCGTATCATCAATTTGGTGGTGAAAGAACATGGTTTCGATTGACGAATCGCCCAGGTTGGAGCGGTGCGGTAGCTGCCACCACATGGCCAGAAATTCTACTGCTGGCAGGCGGATTGGACCATGGGACCGGATGAGATCGGATTTTCTTTTGGAATCTTTTGGGTTTTGTTTTTTTTCCCCCAAAAAATAGGGAAAAATCTGGGCAAACATCATTGAATCTCCCAGCTTATGGCAGTTTGAACGGAGAAACTATATGGGAACATGAGGTTTTATGCCATTGGATGCTAGGGGTAGCCCAGTTTAGAAATTCATTGCGCTGGATATTGAACAATGCAGCAATACTGATAGGAACATCGAATAGATCGAATGAACATCCATCAGTGCCATCGAAAAGTAGGTGCGACAACATGGTACCAGCATTTTGACCAAGGCCCATACCCATAATATCATCCCATATCAGTCATACCTTCTGGCGTGAAAATTCTTTCGGAGGTTCCAATTTTTCTCTTGCGCTCGCAGGGGAAGCGTCCAAACGATCTCTGACTTTGGGATCAGCGGGAAGGAACGCTGTTGTGTCTGAGACTCAGAGACCATTTGCACCTGGAGGGCCTTATGACTTATGACCCGGTGGGTAGTGAAGGGTTATACTAGACTATATATATATAAATAGATGGATGGATGGATAGATAGATATAAATGGATGGATGGATGGATGGATGGATGGATGGATGGATGGATAGATAGATAGATGACTATAACCCATTAAAAACGGATTTTCATGTGTTCCTCTTCAGCTGGTCCACCTCCTTCCAAACTCTTCATGTGCCCCTCATGCATCGAAATCCGACCAAACTTGGCCCATCAAAGGTCTGCATTGGGGCGAGGGCAGCAGTGGAGGCGAAGCGTGGACATGGTCAGGAGCCTGGTTCCACTGCGCTTGGTCGATTCCATCAGCTACAATGCGCTGCTGGCAAGCTACCTGGTGAAACAGAGATGTGAGTACTGGGTGGTTGGTGTTTTAGGATATAGAGTGCACTTAGTAATGGAACGACAGAAGTAGTTGCCCCTGTCTTAAAACGCGGCAAAGGACAAGTCTTGATGTGACTTCTCTTTCTCCAAGACCCTGGAGCAATGTATCCCCATTGTTGGACAAAGCACATCTGTGTCATCTAGGTCAAGAGCAGCAGTGGCACTGGGCGCTGGCCACTTTTGGAGATCCTCGGCTGAAGCAGATAGGGGGTCAGAGCTGCAAGGAGCTTGATGATATGGGATTATAACTACAATAGATTGGAGATTATATGAGATTATCATAATCCATTCTGGGAAATCCTAGTATATAATCTCAAGTGCAGTTAGTCAGAGTGAAGATAATGAAGATGTGAAATGACCCTGATATCACTGTTGTAACTTATGCCTAATAGGGCCCAATACCTGAAGTGTTCACCAGCAGCGATTTTGCGGTCTCTCTAGCAGCCGCTTGACCTCCTGCCAATTGCTGGAGTGTTTTCAACGGCCAGTCCCGAGTTGTGATGTGAAGCATTGTCAGCGGCACCTTTGACAATATTTTCAGCCGCTAGAACATTTCCATTGCTTTCATAGGATTTTAGACCTAATGCATAAGCTTGACTACATGGTCTTGCCTGAAAATTGGGCACCAAAATATCAGATGGCTTAAAGCCTCCCCATCAAGACTGCAGTTCCGGGATATTCACCATTTTTTGGGAAAAACCATATTGTCCAAAACAGCCCAACTACATATTTATGTTAGTTTCCCCAATCAACCATTTGTATCCATTTGTTATGTAGGGCTTCTTCACCGAGAAAAACAACCACGTATTTCTGATTCTTTGAGGTTCCAGGTATTTATTTCTATTTCTTTATCTATATCTATCTATATCTCCACCTCTATCGCTATATCTATTACAGTACCACTCCTGAGTGTTTTCGATTCAGTGGACGGCCCCTCCTGTTCTCCCTGTGCCTTTCCAACAGGAGATGTCGGAAGATCGCATGGCCGTGGACAACATCGGATACAACGCCCTCAGCAGCAGCTGCGCAAAATCGTCGTCGTGGGGTCAGGCGTTTCATGTATTGGAGCAGATGGCCCTGGTCCAGTTGCAGGCTGAACTTCCGGACATTCTTCACTTGAGACGTGTTCAATAACCCTTGTTAAGTTAACTATCCGATCCTTGTTAGTTGATGATGATAGGGGATTATACTACACCCGAAAAATTGGGGATTAACATTCTATATTACGGGAGAATCTCTATTAAGCAGAGGGTTTTTGAACACTGCTCACTGGGTCTGATAGTCTGAGTCCATCCTTACGATATTATAGGAAGTACGTTGACCCAGTTGACCCACTGTGTGGGACCCTGGTAAGTTTGGTTGGGTTTGGGTGTTTGGCATGGTTCTTTGATGCTTTATCACGGGCATCACAATCTGTTTTCTCTGACCTCTGGACTCTGGACATATGATGACTTGAGTGGCAAGCATGTTGCGAAACTGTAGACAACAAGTTTGCACAAATTAGCACAAATTAGTGATGTTCACTAGAGATAGCATTCAACATCACAAAGAGTCTGGCAAGGATGCATGCCTTATGTGCATGGATTTTTCTTGAGAGCTGACAACTAAACTTCTCTCGGAAGATACATTGGAATTCCAAGTTCCTGACCTTTGAGAGACACACCTAGCGGAGAATCAACACCTTCATACATGATTATGATATATTATGATTATCCCATCCAGAGCAAGATGTCTGCCAGGTTTTTGCATTGGTTGGATTAGAGGGAAGCCCCGAATCATCCGGCTTGGTATATCTTGGCATCCCACCTTTCCTGAAGATTTTTGCTACCAGCCCCCTGTTGGCACGACCCGGCCCGCGAGAAAAGGTGGACGTGGTGAGCTTTGCAACCAAGGTGGAGGCGTGCGTGGCCTCCTGGGTCTTGGCCGTGGAGGCTCTCAACAGCCTCCAAGTGGTGAACATTGAGACTGGACTGGCCACGGCTGGTTGGGAAATCCCTGAACTGAATGGAGGTTGATAGTTGGGAACATCATCTATAAGCTATGACATGCTACGATTTGTCATGGTTTGTCCAAGCATGGGGTACTGACAAAATCAGGATTGATCTGATCTCTGGGCAAATTACATTGACTTCATTGGCCGACCATAGATGATTGTGAATGTAAGGGGAAGCAGCCCAAAGAAGTGACATGATAAGGATCAAAGATCTGGGAAGAAATTGGTGATTCAGAAATGGATGGTGTTTGGTACTTACACCACGGTGATTGGGTTCATGTGTGTACTGTGTTTTGAAGGCCAAAGGCCACGTAGCAATGGATTTACTTATGGGTCAACTCTTGAAGCTCCGTCGTGATGTACTGTTGATGCCTTGAGAAGTTCCTCATCAAGTCAAACCCCGGCCACAGGGTGTAGGAGCCAACACAAGATTGGACGATGCAAGGTCGCGTGATTCTAGCCAGATTTCAGGAGTTTGGTCGAACTGCTGGTGTTTTTAGTTCACATCACTTAGCTGAGGAACCAAACCAACTGGTTCTCACCAGCGTCATCAGTGCTCTTTGCGACTTGAAGGGAGCCTGGACAACTGCGCTTCAGACACTAACGCTATCACCATTGCCAGCTTCAGAGATAGATACATCCTTTCTCAGCGTGGCTGGCTCGGACAATTTGTCCATTGTGGTTTGTTTCAACTATTTTTGAAGAAGTTCAATACACATGACTCATATGATATATACTCATTTATACTCACATTTTTTGAACCAAACATCATAACAATACATATAATAATAATACTACGTACTAATAATACAGTAATTAATAATAATAATAATAACGATAATAATAGCAATAATAATCATAACAATAACAATAATAATGATAATAATAATAACAATAATAATAATAGTTTTACACCCTCACAAATGTAGGACACATGATTTCCCAGCTTCTGAGCCTTGTACCTCTTTGACATCCAGGTCTTGATGCGCAGCTGTTCCACCTCGGGGCGCTGGAGATCCGTCGTGGCGCTTCTCCGTGGCGCGCATGGCGCGAGCTTCAGCACAGCGGAGCGGCAGAGCTTCAGCACGGCGATGGAAGCGGTGCCTTCGTGGTGCTGGGAGCAAAGCCTGAAGTTGTTTCAGGAGATTCATGGGATTCTGGGGGGTATGGCGGGTATGTGTCAAAAGTCAAAAATTCAGGCTCAGGGACTGCAGATTTTGGTGTTACTGGGACTTATGACTTATTAAGAGGGGTTTCAGTACCCAATTTTGACCCCCAGTTGTCAAGATGATTTATATAAACTGTTTCCGGATGAGTCATGCTATTTCTGATGTGGATTAGGAAAAACCATGTAATAGCCAATGATGACGTGTTATACCAATCTTTAGATTGTCTTAGAACACACCTGTATGATGCAAGAAGTTGGGAGGTATCAGTAGCTTTTCACATCTTCAACATGGAGGTCTCCTGTTCCAAGTCTAGATGCTGCTTGTATCACCAACAAATTTTCAGTTGGAGTATGAGCCAGCTGATATCATTTGGTTGCTGGTTCCGGTTCCATTATTTATCAACAATAATATCAATGCATTACACAACCCTTGAGATCATAATTCAAGATTATTGAACATCTATCGAGGAAGCACCACAGTCCAGATGTCTATTTTTCTCGCGGAATTTGTTTCACATCAAGAATTCCCCCAGCTTTCATATCCCCCGGGGATCCATCAGCCGCCCAGCTCCCCAGGAGATGCTTCGATGCCGTTCCGCTGATCTGGTCGCCCATGAACTACTCGTGGCCTCATTGGAAAGTGGCACTGCTGGAACGATGGGGCTGCTGGGGCTGCCACGTGTTTTGCAGGAAGTCTCCGATTCTGCCAGACTTTCTCTGAATCCAAGGGGGTGGAAAATGCGCGGATGACTTTTGGAGGGTGGAGCAGTGTGAAGGAAAGCGAAGATTGATACACAAAAGCAGAAGACTCCATTCTTCGTTCGTGGGTGAAGGTTTCAGCATGTTTCAACAATCTTTTAATATACGGTATTTTAATTTTAATGTCCTTGTAGACATTTGTAGCCCCTAAGATACCACAAGGATGTTCTTAAACCACAAAAAGTTGTTGGTCACAACCAGATGCGATCTGCATGACATACAAAACTGCAGCTACGACTGGCTCATGAGCTAGCTTGTCTGAGTCTGAGTGTGTCTCAAACTTGGGTTTCCCAGAAGCAGTTTGTTTCCTAAATTCCTTCTTCAACTTGTGAGAAGGGAATTCCTGGGACTTTGAGGCACCACTCATTCGCCCCTCTGAATGCCACTCTCACCAATATGGACACCAATCGTGGAACCGACTGTGACACCTACTGCGAAATCTGGAGGTGTTCCCAAAGAAAAGGGTGGCAAATCCACCTCTTCCACGTCAGAATTCATGAAGCCTCGCTTCAAGCAATCTCGCTGGTCCCTTGGCCTAGCGGCATACTTGTAGAGCATTGTTGGTTGCAAGCACGTGGGTTCGTTTGTTTTCAGCAGTTTGAACAAAGTCGTCCTCCATTCCTCCTTGAATGTTCTGGTTCAGCTTGCTTCTCAGATTTCTCAACATTCCATTTCTGAAGGATGCAGAGACCATTTACCACCCAGCCAAACAGGAGGTTGGAAGACTACTTTCCACATAGAAATGGCTGATTCTCTATGTTACAGTAGCAGTTGGATGCTACGACTCCTGGTATCTCAGGTACAATGCTCTGAACGAGATGGAGCTCTTGCGTCGGAAAAGTGAACCACCCAACTTGATAAGGCACACCATGGCCATGCGATCCTGTGCTCATTCCTCACTCTGGCGGATGGCAACGAGGATTTTTTTTGCCGTGCAGATTTGGGACTTGGAGCCGGATATCGTCTCTTGTGGTACCTGGACAGCAACCAAAAGCGATACGGTGCTTTTAAGAATGCTTTTTGGCAAGTATTTATTGAAAGAAGACTTGTTGGAACGCGTAAACCACCTTTGGTTTGTACAACAACATGTGCGTCTTTCTGAAATTAGGGTACCCCCAAAGTTGGTGGTGAAGCATGGTTAGTCATCATTTTCCCATATTTTCCCGATTTTGACTTGGCACTTATGGAGGTACATGGTATCCATTCCCAGACATACCCGATGGTTAAGGGGGAAAGGGTGCCCATGGCCCACAGGTACCATCATGGGAGCTTGCAAGAGAGACTGGAATCTCGGATTGACAGATGGATCTGGTTGCTATTGTTTGGTGGTGTGGCACACATGCCACTTATTTTGGAGACTTTTGAGTGTCATGATCTTTCATGATCTTTCATGATCTTTCATGGCTGTTGTGCTCTGATCAATATACAATAATATACATATATGATACGTATCTATACATCTATATCTCTATATATCTACATCTCTCTATATATATACATAATTTATATATAGTTATTGGTAATATAAATGTCCAAATGCAGGCAGCTTACCAAAATACGAGCCCTTGGGCCCCAAAGCTCGAGTCCGTGGCGAGTCTGGGGACGATGGCCGAGGCAGAGAAGTTTGCGCTTGGTCTGCTGGGCAGAAGACCATCGGCCGTCGCCATGGGTTGGTAGAATCAATGGCTGGAAGATCCTGAAATGGGATTCTAATGGGATTCTAATGGGATTTATGGTGGTTTAATGGGATCTAATGGGGTATACCCTCTGGATCTAATGGGGTTTACTAGCACCATCAAATATAATGGGATTATGATGGGATTATATATAATGGATTTCACAGCCATGTATCTGGTTGGTGGTTTGGAAGCATGGAATTTGGATTGACTTTCCCATGATATTGTGGGAATGGAATCATCATCCCAACTGTTACTCACTCCATCATTTTTCAGAGGGGTTGGTATACCACTAACCAGTCATCCTGTCAACATGAGTGTTAGAACCCCTGGTGGTTGATGATAGGATGTTTGGGGGATTATACTAGTAATATATTGGGAATCAGAATCGGGGAAGTCACATGCTGTTTTTGTTTTCCAGCCATGTTTCTTTACCAGGGGGTAGTCCTTTTTCTTCTTCTTTTTCCTCAAACACAATAAGAACACACGGGTCCCGTCTTCGTTGGAAGGTCACCGGACTCTTTGGGTAGACACATTTTGATTGAACCGTTGCAGGCTTTGTTTTATTTGTATAGCATGGAACATTTTGCAATATTCAACCCCGCTAGAATTATGATGACAGTACAACTATATATATATATTGCATACTTCCATTCATAGTACAATGTGTATACATACCATATATATATACATATACATATATATATATACATATACATATATATGTATATATACATATATGTATATATACATATATATATATGTAATGTCAATAGTGTTTGTGTCACTTCCCAACTGGAGGACCACGAGCTGCGAATCAGCAGCACATTGCTGGGACAGGCCATCTCCACCTGTCGGCATCTCAGTGGCTCTTGGAGTCTCGACATATGTGGGATTGGATCAATACCTATTAATACCATTTTTAGTGGGATGAACATCCATTTACCAGCTATTTTGATGTTCACCAGGGGTACAAGGTTTTGACACACTGCCATGTGGGATCGGCAGTGAAATACAATTTGGTATACGGTAATCTATCTTAATCGGTTTTGATATGTTTTAATTTACTTTGATGGATTATTGGAGATATGGATAATATTGGATAATCACATTACCAATTGGAAAATTGGACATTTGGAGAATTGCATCATTGGATGGGACATGGCCCTCCCCACATCCCAACGGCCAGGTAAAGAAACGCTCTTGTGGAGAGTAGCAGGCCAGCTCCACCTGGGAACCCGGAATCTGTTCTGCTCTTCCCCTCTGCATCATCAAACACATGCACATAGATATGTATATAATACGATAAGTAGGTATATTGTCTTAAAATGTAGTATATATATATACGCGGTTATATCCTAACTTATGGTGGTTATTATCATGGTTGTATCCATTTTTTTCACCCCCAACTGCTCATGCAAGTAGTATATCTGCCGGCGGGAAGGAGAAATTTTGAACATGGCTTCTGGCCGTGCTGCCCCTTGGTTCTGTTGGAGGATGGTGGCTGCAACCATTAGGTTTCCCAAAACAGGTGCCTCACAGCGATTGGGTTTTGCCATTCAATCTGAGAGACTTCGGATGACTTTGGGATCTTTAAGAACCCCCAAATCTACTTTGGGTAGATGTAGATACCATATTTTCAGGCTAACCCATATGGCATATTCGGATGTTTTTTTTCGGATGTTTTTCATGGAAATCATTGGGGGAATGGCTGGCAGGGATCGTCCCAGTTGGGGGCCGGTGGGACCCACCAGGTTCTTCCAGATCTCAAGACCCACACGGCCATGTTGGGAGCCTGCGCTGATCGATGGGACCGCAGTCTGGGGTGCATGAGTGACTTGGTCCTATGGTACTGTGGATGGTTGCGAAATCCTGCACCAAAAGGATGGAAGAAACCCTATAAATAATGGGATAAAATGGTTGAAACCCTATAAATAATAGGATATTTACTGTACCACCTATCAACTGGTGCAGGATTTCTGACTGCCAAGCTGTTTGACCGAGCCATTTCGGACTGTGGTTGGCTGAATCTGTTCATCAACACGCAGAATTTTTTCCGCTGTTATGGAAATCTCTGAATCACGATGTGTTGTGCCCATGCTGTGGCCCACTGTCCTTGAAGTCTCAAGAGCCGGGAACCAAGGCGAAATGGAGGTGTTACGACTTCCTGTGGACCAAGTATCGCGCAACAGTGTCGCTGGCCCGGCAAGTGGTGGAGTATGGCAGTTGTTTGAGGTGGTCATCACCTTATCCTGTTGGGAATCTGATGGTGTGTGGGTTGGGAATGGAGCACAGCTTCTGAGGCCATGAATGCATGTGCTCGAACTGGGTCCTGGGGCAGAACTTTGAGTATGATGAGAGGTTTGGATGAAGAAATGATGGATCAAAGCACTTTGTCAACCTGCCAGAATGCGTTTGCCAAGATTCTCGACTGGAATTGCCAGTGGACTCAGAGGATCATCCAGTTGGTTGTCATAGTACATTCTAGTAGATTTTTTGTGCATATACAGGGTTATATAGGTATCCAATAGTATCCAATGGTATTTTTCTTGGTGTAAATATATATACTGTATATAGTATATAGTATATAGTATATATATACAACAGACTGTACAGACATAGATACATCTGTCATTTCATGAACATCTGCACCTTTTTCCCGTCACAATGAAGTTTTGATGACCAAGACTACTGAGGTCACCAAGTTGATTCCATCGATGTCCTTAGAAAAGATCGCTGGTTGATTCATGAAAAAAACAGGTGCCCCACTGGTAATGAACCCACTGGTAAGTAGGGTAGTAGCCAGATATAGCTGTCTGTTTTGCCGCGATATTGCCATGGCAAAGTCTTGTCTTCGGATCAACCACCAAACTGATTGCAATTACAACACAATGAATCAGGGTCCATGGGACCTGAATCGCCTCCATGAATAATACCTTGTGCTGGTTCACCATCAATTGGAATGATCTGGGATTATGGATATTTGGGATCACAAACTAACTTGGCACCACCAAGCAGCTTGCCATTGCATCCCCATCCTCAATCAACCATTGATGATCCTGAATCATCCTCAATCGTCCCTTACTCATCCTCAATCAACCTGAATCGTCCTCATCCGATGACAGGATCAATCTCTGGGAAGTTCCTCTAACTTTGCTCCTCTCCAGCTACACCCTCCGTGCACCCCCGGATGTCGTGGCCTATGGGGCCGTGCTGAGCGCGTGCGAGAGAAGATGGCAGCGGAGCGTGACGGTGCTGCGGAGCATGCGATGGAGCCAGGTGCAGCCGGATTTGGTGGCTTGGTGAATGGCTGGATGTTGGAGTGACCCCTTCGTAATTTAACATAGCCATAATAAATTACCAGAGAGTAGATGGATATGGATACTGGATGATATGTAAGTGACATGGATATTGGATGATATATGTATATATATATAATATACCCTCCAGTATTCAACATGGCAATTGAACATCATTTAAATGATGAAATCACTTATAAATGGCATTTTCCGTTGCCACGTTTGACCCTGCATTTCCAGAAAAGAATCTCACCTGCCACAGAATCCAAGGCATGCTTTCATACCCTGATGGACGGATCTGCGTGGGAACTACCTCTGAATCTGCTGCTTCGACTGGGAGATCTCTGGCAGCGTCCTGGCGCTGCAGCCCCAGTGGGATGGGCAAAGGTTTGGATGGGCAAAGGCCATTGATCTGTTCAAAAATCCCATCAGGACCACCTTTGAAGACCATTGACATGACTTACTGGGAAGAGATTTCACTGATTTTGTCCAGGTCACAAGCTACAACATTGCCATCAACTCCTGTCATGATTGGCGAGTGTCACGAGCTCTTTTGCAGTGCGGATTATCTCAGATGGGTTTGGAGACAAACCTCATCGGCTTCTCAGCTCTTGAAGATGTGGGGAAGGGCACCGGTTGCCTCCTTCTTGAATGGCCCTCTGGCTATAAGTCCATCCTTACTTGGTGCCAAAATCTACGGGAAACCAGGCTTTGAGGATCCACATATTACATCATATTACGGCTTCCTGTCGGAACTTCCTGTGGTGCTTGTTGCTTCCACATGAGTCCACATCCCCTCGCTGCAAAACGAATCTTGAGGCTACAACTCGGCCATGGCCAAGGGAGGGCCATGGCAAGCACCACTGGAGATCTACCAAAAGATGATGGATGCTTGGCAATTTGGTTGGTTCAAAATCAAGGCTGGGAATTGAGGCATGACTTTTTGACGAGGTAGGTTGAATGCAGTTGAATGCAGTGATGGGGACAGAAGTTATCAATGGGGTCATAAATGCTAAAAAGAATTGCTCATATATCTAGCAGCTGGGCTTCCAAGGTTGCCACATATCACCAGACCAGGACTCATCAGGCTCATCATGACATCTTAAGCAGAGGCCTCTTAGCGACCCGCCATCAGGAGGTCGGACTGATGCCAGATGCCGTGAGTGATGCTTCGCTTGCCAATGCATGGAGGCAGAAGCAGTGGCGTCGCGCATTGTCCTTGGGCGACAGGTCCTTTGTCATCGCTTGAGGTCGACACGAAGCAACATGTTGAGGGGTTGTCAACCATCACTTAGAATTGTGGTTCAATAGAGGTTAACCCATGTTAACCCGACCGGGGGGAATCTTACAACTCTGGAACCCTTGGTATCCCTGATCGTAGGACCTGGTCAGCACGCCGGTGATGGGGCCTAGACCGTCTTGCAATCTTACCTTTCAAAGAACAGTTCCCCATTGATGGATAAAACAAAACACGCCAAAATAGCTCATGCCGATGTTCATGCCACACCGATAATCCATAAAACATATATTGACCAATTCTCATAGCGATTTGGTGACTGGATGAAGTTGGTGATTCGTTTCGTAGTAAATGGATACAAGGTTCGCTTCTTACCCATCTCTTCTCATGTATCCTCACAAACAATCATTTCCCGGGGTCTTACATATCATGTATCGTTGTATGCCTATCCTAAAACTGCGTGACTTTCAATCATTTCCAGGGACCGTTCTCTTTAATGCAAACCACACCAAACCGCTAGTTTGTGCGGCAATACTTGCACCCCCCACTTGTTGATACCTTTTGATCCATGAATGTGTAGCCTCTGGTAATTTCAACATAGCCGCCATGGAAAATGATCCATTTATCATCATTTATCCATTTATCCATTTGTAGATTACTTATTGTTTATAGAACAGGCAATTTTCCGTGGCTATGTGAGATTACCAGAGGGTAGCTACCATGGAGCTCAGGTCAAGATCAGCAGCTCTGTGGCAGGTCAGTTCTCAAAGCAGTCCTTGGTACCGCGGTGGATTTACCCCAAAATTGCCATGGAAACTATGAGGGAAAATGATGAGAGGCCCTTGGGTAAATTTGGGTTCCCTTTTTTTGGGCAAACCCGTTTCGGAAAGGAAAGCTATTACGAATGAAACTTGAAGCTAGCTACATCGAGTCTACTCACAAACGATTGGTGATTGGCGATTGGAAGCACAGGATAGCTTTTTTCTCGTGTTCGTCATAGGTTGGAGAATGCACCATCGATTTGTGTAGTTGGTGGAATCCTGCCTTGCTCCGAAAAAAGTGGTCTTCAATCCTCACCGGTCACTGCTGGGCAGCCAGAAATACCCGCGTCGTAAGGCTGAATAGAAAATGTGCAGGTAGTCTCCGGTGTGATCAACATGGCTGGAAAATCCATTACAATTATAGATTTATAATAGGATGATTTAGGATTATTTTGGGCGATTTTCCCAGCGAACGAAACCTTCACGTGTAGTTCAGGGATTTCACATTCCCAGTTTGGCTGAGGTATGTTGCTGCATCCCTGTTTGAACCCCTCAGTGGGCTGCGGGTCTCTGATTCTGCGTTGAGTCACAACATGGCTGCGTCTGCAGATCGTTGGGAACAGGTGGGCGTTGGTCCAAACTTGGCATGGCTTACACACTGGTTCTAAACCCCCAGAAGGATAGACATGCAAAACCAACAAAGCTAGTGGTAAATCAAACATTTTCTGTCTGTTTGGTAATGACTATATTGTACATCCCAGATATGTATGGCTTAGAACTACAAATATCTACAAATGACACATATGACCAAACTGTGTGGTTCCAACTGGCCATCGATTTTGATCCGCGGGACGTACTGTGGTTTGTAGCCAAGAATGAACCACTCCCAAATGGGCAATATTTTGATCAAGTTTGGATATGTTTGGGTTTATAAACCTTGAAACAAACGTGGTAATTGGAAATCCATCATTTATAGTGGATTTTCTTAACTATAACTACAACCTTTCATTTAGTTGGGGGATGTCCCAGCCACGCAACTCCTTGAGGTGCTCGATCTTCTTCGATGTGGTGATTTGGAGATGGCCAAGGCGCTTCCTTCAGCCAGCCCTTGGCAGTGGGTCCTGGAGATGTTCACCACGTCTTTGCAGCGAAGGTCTTTGGGAAGCGAAGAACTCCAGCGTGCCGCGCCGGAAGCGAGAGATGGGAGAATCCTCGAAGTTTTTATGGAGGTTTTTAGTTGGGAAAATCCTCCACCAATCAAGGTTTGAATGGAAATCCTCCATACATCAACCTTTGGGGAATCCTCGAAGTAAAGGGAGGTTTTGAACGGGAAAATCCTCTATATAAAGGGAGGTTTTGAATGGGAACATCTTCTATGGAGGTTTCGTTCATTGGTGGATTTTCCATTGTCACGTTTACTACCGGAGGGCACCCCCACAAAAATTTTATGGGAATCATCAGCTTCGTTGGTGGTTTCCCCCCCCTGCAGAGTTGATCTTGGCAGACGGACTGTGCCATCTCAAGTGGCAGAGTTTTTTACCGACCGCTTTGTGACTTCCCTAAACCTCAATTGGTGATTCATAGTGGTTCAACATGGTTCAACAATGTCATCCAACTGGGTGTGTTATTTGTTTACATGTGTCTTATAATTTATAACTCATAATTATCACAATTATATCATTGTCCCCGTTGAGACCATAACATGTCTAAAAATGAGTATCCCCCATTTCTTCACAAAGCCATCTGCGTCCAGCCTAGACCCCAATGGGTGCCATTTGCGCGAGGCCAAGCCATCCAGGTGTCCAGCCAAGCAACTGGGTGGCCTGCGGCCCTGCAGCTCTTCCAGGACTTCAGAGGTTGCGAAGTCCGCATGGAGGCGCGCGGGGTGGATGTCACTGGGGATGGAGGGTTTTTTTGGTGAAAGTTGACAAAAAAACATTGGGTTTTAGATGCTTTTACGAAGCTAGATTTGAAGTATGGGGTCCTGGATTTTATTTTTTTCCCCTTCATCCGGTTCTGAGGATGGCGATCCAACAATTTGTTGGAACCGTGTTGGGCACACATGGCTGGTCATATTTGGTGCTAAACCATACTTCACCATCTATCGAGTGAACCCATCACCGATGGCCAAACTGACCAAGTCACTGGATGGACCGGACTGTGACAGATTCGACTCAAGCGTTCGACATGGTTCCGCTGAAGCTAATTCAACCTTTGAGCCCTTTACGAGGGCCACAGTGGCTTTGCTACCCTCTTAATGATTTGAAGTAGCGATCACTGTGCGGGACTTCGAACTGGACTAGCAATCAACCAGCAAATATCAGGAGAAGCTGAATGGTGCGCTCTGCGATCTGCAAAGAAACTCGGAGGGTCATCGGGTCATCAAGTATCGTCAGAAATCGTCAGTATCGTCGTACCGTGAATGCGATTTCTTGACTGCTGAGAAGCCAATGCGAAGGCTGTTGTGACTGGGAAGTAACTATACAGCAAGTAGAAACCACGCCACACTTCGGGACCCAGTGGATCACAGCAGACCAAGTCGCCCCAAGGAGCTGCGGGTCGTACTTGGACTTTCGGCCTGGAGACATTTCAGCAGATTCAGTTCATGGGTTGCCCCTTGGTTTGCAGGACACAGTGGAAGATTCAGGTCTCTGTGAATGCTGAAAGTTTCATTAAAGAGGTCCTGACCATAAGATTTTCCCTCAAAGTTTAGGCAGCTTTAGCAACAGTCCGAGGTGAAAGGGACTCAAGTTTCCTGCAAAACCTTCAAAGAAGCAGTGATAGCGCATTCATAAGGTTTGTATGTGTCCTTCTGCCCGTTTTGCAACCAGATGCAAACACTCAACTTCAGAAATTCACCAGAACAGCTGTCAGCCCTGAGGTCAAGTGGATGCAGTGCACTGCAGCAGCCTCCTGCGCCTTTGTGCTTCGAGCTCTGGCTGGTGCGAAGCCCTGGGGCTGCTGAGCTCTGCAGAAAGCCGTGGTGTGCAGATGGACGAGGTGGCCTGGAACGCCATGATGTCTGCCACGAAGGCTGGGAAAGGGACGCAAGCCGGTGAAGGGTATGAGTGACAGTCATTCCTATTCCTATGTTTTCTTCTTAAATCTATGTTCATCTTCCCTGGTTTTATCTAGAATGTGGGTAAAACAATAATAAACCATCCCCCAAATCGCCACAAATAGGTGGTTTAAAACATTCCCAAATGGGTGGTTCATTATTGTTTTACCCACATTACTTCTGTTAGTAGTATTTACCCAATCTACCCATGTGGGAATGAACATCCAGCCAAGTCTCCAGACTCAGGTCGAAGACTCCCCGGAGTCTGACCTGGGGCACTGGGAAACAGCCGTGTCGATGAAAAGCTGCATGCGGTGGCAAGCGTTGGAACCAGATGTGGTCACCTTCAACACCTTGCTGAGCGCAACTGGAAGATGGCAAGGCATTCTCGGAAGCTTGGATTTGGCATTCTCGTTTGTGGGGTCATTTGATATACGGCCCATTTTAGTGGCCATTTTAGGGGGGAACATGGTGATGAACCAGTTGATGAAAAAGGGGTACATGTATCTATATAAATAATCCAAATTTTCAGAGAAATCCACTTGATGCAGAACTGGTGGTCTTCCCAGTCGAACCAGTAGTAGCATGCTGTGCTTCAGAAAGTGCCATGGCTTTTTAGATTTGTTTGAAGATTTCCGGTTTAAGTTTTGTATGATCATATGGTGCTTTGTCTAAGTATATCCCACAAACAACTTTACAGTGCTCTGTGTTTGCAGCAATGCAATATGAAAGTACCCTGAGTGTTGCTAAAGTCTCTTTTCCGTTGTTCGCACGAACCTGACACTGTCCATAGTTTGTAAAAGCAGAGCCCTTGGCTGAATTTCTCCCTGACTTCTTGGAAAGTAGCCCCTACAAGTAAGGCTTTGCATCCCACAGAGCCAAGCCACCCCGAGCCAATCAACAGATCACACATGTAGACAATCATATCATCATCGTGTTCCTAAGATCTCATGCTCTGAGACCTATCATTGTTGTTTAAATTATGGTAAATCCATGTAAATCCCAATTTTATTGATTAGATTCCACTTTCTGTCGGTCAACTCCCATGTTTTTGCTGTTTAAAGCATCGTTAAAACCCTACAATTCCCCAAGGCTATCACCTCCCGTTCCAGGACTCCTGGTAGACATGGCACAGACTCGGCTGTCCCTCCACGACGTCGCCGGCCTCAGCGTGGTGGACGCCTGCGCGCGCGCGGGGCAGCTGACGGTGGGATGGCGGGTGATGACGACGCTGCTGAAGGACGTGCCGCCGGTCGTTGCTAAACGGAATCGTCTGTTGGGGGCGGAGGTTTCACCAACCAAAAGGGAGCTTTATAATTTATAACCAACAATGATGGGAATATCAGGGGATATTGAAAGTTATATCACCAACAAATGGAGGATTCAAGCAAATTGATGCGATGCATTGGTGATTTGACCATGAACCATGGTGGTTTAATGGGATGTTAACGGGGATACAATGGGATAAATATATAAACAGATAGCGAAACAACAATACGACGTTTGGGTGTGTCTGAAAATGGCAATACTGTAATAAGTAATAACCCTATTGTTTGGCTGCTTGCATCGGGAAATTGTGATAAATTAGTGGATGGAATTGGGCAAACACTATTTTCAGATACACCGCGATTTATTGCGTTCGGGGAAGCAAGAATTGTTGTATCAGGTTGGTGGTGTCAAGATGTTTCAGGTATTTACGAACATCCATTCCCCATACATCCTATAGAATATAGATGTATGTTTGAAATCCCTCCTGATATTGAATATCACCCAATACTATGATTTAATATTTGGATCTATTCATGTTGGGGAGCCTGATTGGGGTTGAACCATCAACCAGGCACCCTCTGGCAGTCAAAACTGGTTGGTAGGAAAAGTGATGGTGGCTAGATCTGAGTTTTGTTTTCCGTGAAATATTGTCTGAGAATAGGTAAAGTCTGAACAAGAAATCACATGAAACAAGAACCGCTTCCTTGGATCCAGAGGCTGTTTTTTGATTTGTTGCTTGCTGGGAGAGGCCATTCCAGCCTTTGCCATTCCAAGGTTCGCTTGTGGTCCATGGCCAATCTCGCCGTGTCGGACCCGGACGAAACGGTCCGCGTGTTGATGGAAGCATGTGGCCAGCTGCGTCACATGGAAGGATCCATGAGCCCGAGCGAGGCAAGGTCGGTGAGTGGGAAGGACTTTCGTGCGACGTTGAAAGTTCAAATTATGTGCTTGTTCTGGGCTTAAGCTTAGGGAGTTCTTCATCATTTACTCGGTGGACCTTGCAGCGAGTTTTATGTTGGTGTAAAGACTAGAGTGACTACAGTATCATCTTCACATGTTGGTTAAATCATGTTAAATTCACAAAAAAATCTTCATTTTTGACTATGTGTGTTGATCATTTCCAGCATTTCTGTTGGTATCATCACAACGTTGTCATGTCGTTGGAGGTGTGCAAGCTTTGGTGGGCCGCCTCCATGCTCGGCGTCCAGAGGAAACAACTTTCCGAAGCTTTTTTTTCCCCAGGAGACGGGCGGTGACCTTTTTTGGGTTCGTCGCAAAATGGGGATGTCCCCAAAATTGCACTTTTAATATCCTTTTTATATGGAAATTGATAGAAATTGAACATGATGTTACTCACCTGCCTAGTTTAGAAGTTCCAAAGATTTTCAAAGCTCCATAGTGTGAATCAATATGGGGCCATTCGCCACTTTCCACCGGCATCCGGCCCCTCGCCGCCAGGAGTCCTGTCGCGATGTCAGCTGGATGAACTGGTCGCTGTGGCCATGGCCGCCACGTCGGGTGCCACGCAGCGCTTCTTCGAGGACCTGCGGCTGGAGCTCCAGCGTCGCCTCGCCGCTGGGCCTTGGCGATCTGAGCCTGGGAAGATTCGGAAGGCCTTGCAGGCGAGGATTGGGGAAAGATGTGGGAAAAACCAGCAGAATTCGGGTGGAGACGTCGATTTTTTTTTGAAACTTGTTGTTTCTACAGCTGTATTTTTTGTGTTGGTTGAGAGTTTGGCGATATGTCATGATGAACAAGCTCCAGCTTCATCATACACGCCACGCCAACAGCATCCATCTTTGAGAATTCAGCTATGCGATGATATTGATGATGGATGATGAGCAAAATCTTGCGCCCTGGTTAGCAGAGGTCTCATGCAAGATGTTGGAAGCCTCCCTTTTGCTGGTCGAACATTTAGCTATGTGGACATGGGTCAAGTCTGATCATCGTTAGTATTATATAAAACATCCCGCCCGATGACGATTGATCATTGAGCAAAGGATGATGCCCTGTTTTCCCCCAATTCTGTCCTCTTTTAGCAGCAACTTGTCTTGTGAAGGACTTTTTGGGCATTATTTGGGCATTGAACTTTGCCGGAGAGCTGAGTCACTCAGCTTGCGAGGCAGCTCTTAAGGGCCCAAGGATCGAAGGGAAGTGGGGATCACCACCATGATCCATCAGTCCTAGCTTCAGGCTTGATCCAAGAATACTCTTTTGCCGCATCCCAAATTGTCCCAACAGTTTCCGCATTGGCCAACAAATGGTGTACTGGCATGATGGAAAGTCAGGATATGTGTCAAAACACTGGACTCTACGAACTATCCCAAGAGAACATACCGTAACATACCTCAACGGGATGGTCACCCAATTTTGCTGGTGCCAAGTTTTGACCCATAGCCGGTGCTAGGAGTCATGGGTCAAACGCAACCAGTACAGCCAGATGACTTGACCCATAACCAAACTGGGCCCATACATGACCCGGTTTTCTCCTGAGAACAGGATCTTTCTCAGCCGTTCAATTTGGAGGTGTTCCCATAATCTTCAGACTTGAAGCTATATACAATGGCTGTTCCAATGTATTCCAGTTCTCATATTCCAATTTCATATATCGTATACGTCGTATACCGTATACATCCGTATACCAATATACTTTTCCAATCTTTTCCAGTCTTGGAACACTATATAGTCCCAAAACATACGTACAATTAGATTCCCTAGACATCAATTAGTATTCCAATTTGCATCCCTCTCTCTCTCTCTCAGGCTCAAAAAATCATGCTGAGACACTCCCAGAGTTGGTTTAAGAGAAAATCTCCAGGAAACCCGCAAGGCAAAAAACCAACATACAATCAGTTTCTGGTGACGATTTTCCCTTAAAGCCTATATTTCCAGGGTCAAAAACCATGGTCTCCGGTGGGTTTTCCCAATCCGATTGAGACACCCCCAGGTCCACGCTGCCTCTCCGTGGCCACCTCGGAGATCCGGCGCCTCGCCCGGGCCTTGGACGCCTTGGACGACCGCAGGACGGCCCCACTTCCAACGCGGGGACGGGCCCTGGGAGGCGGGGCGGATGCCTGGTTGGTGGTTGATGATAGTCAGTGAATTTAGGGATGTTCACCATTCAAGGTATTGGGGATATTTTTGTGGATATGAATGATGATGAATGATGGTTGGTTGATGATATATGGGATTATATGAAGCAATATATTGGGGATCATAATCCATATGGTAATCCCGTTCTCAACAAGCACTAGAAAGGGACGACATTTCGGGTTTCGACATGTTTCGACCACTGCTTCAAATGTGAAGTCCAACTTCTGAAGGTTGCCAGTTACCCTTCGGTAAACTGACATAGCTATGGTATAGATGGCCCATGTATAGTTTCCCTAGCTATGTTAGTTTACCGGAGGGTGGCTATTTTTCCATTTTTCAATTTTGGGTTTGTCTGAAAATAGAATTCAATAGAATTCAGAATACCCCAACAATCCAGTGTGATTGATCATGATTTTCCCATATTTTCCCCATGCACATCCACCATTTTTGGACAAAACCACATCCATTGTTGGTGAGATCCCCAGTTTTGATGGTTGAATCATCTCAAATCAACTTACCCCTCTGGTAATTTATTATATCACATAGCAAACTGGAAAATCACCATTTTTAATAGGTAAATCAACTATAAATTGCCACTTTTCCATAGCTATGTTAGTTTACCAGAGGGTAAATCACCTTCAATCCCACAATTTCTCCGAATTTGGTGTGTGAACTTCTACGTTTTCCGCCGGACCAGCGGGTGCCACATGGGTTTTTCGTCAGGCCGCGAGAACAACTCCACCCTGGCGACTCCCAGGGTGACCCTGGAGCTGCCCGAGCTGATGGTCTTGGAGAAACCTCCTGGCTGGGAAGTCTACGGAGACACGAGGTCAGCCTGGAGCTGAAGAAACCTTTTTTGGGGTTTCCATAGTCGGACCAAAAAATAGCTGGTTGATTTCATTGATCCTAGAAAACTGGGATGATTTAGGGGTACCGCCATTTTATTTATGACTCTTATGACCATCAAACATTCGGATTGAACTATTCAACTATCAAAAGTTGATGAAACGCGATTCGATTTAACATGATTTAACCATATTTAACCGATGAATGATATGGATTTGGGTGTGTTTGAAAATGGGTTGTTCACCCCCGATGCTGGCAATTTGAATAGAACACATACGGTTTGAGTACCCTATATTCAGACAAACACAGCATTGAACAATACTGCAGAGGATGGACAGTAGCCATTCAATGGTGGGTTTGTCCAAAAAATCAGGACTATGCCCCTAAATAAATTGGCCTAGCATCATTTTCCCCATAGATCAGAATTGCGATTTTGGAATACATTCCAAATTTGGGTACATTTACAGGAACCGACTGGCAGTTAGAATGTGGATTTTTTTGTAAAATAGATAGAATTTGCTAAAATCATAAAAACAAATCTTATAGTTAGAATATGGGATTTTGGAAAAAACCAACTGCAGTTAGAATATCCCGAACCATCCAAAACCTTGCTCACCGACTTCCCTTCCAGTTGTTTACAGTATTTTTCTTCCTGCGATCGATGCCTTTGATTTCATGATGTGCTGTACAATGCGTGTAGTGTATTGCCCCATATTGTACTGTGCATCTCATCGTGTGCACGCACTCCAAAGTGCACAGCCAAGGCATACTGATACGGTAAACCATAACAATAGCCATTGGGATTGAATAAATTCAATGATTTGTTGTGTAAAAGTTGCTGTGTGTAAAAGCTTATTTATGTTTTGCTCCCAACCTTCGTGCAAACCAGTGGTATTGAACAAATACGTGCTGATGTTTGGGTTGCACCACATGGGTTGCATTGTCTCAGTTTGTATACTGTCAGGTTGTTTGGTTGCAATTGGCTGCTTGAAGTATGGCAGTGAGATGGAGCGAACCTGCATCAATTCCCATATTCTAACTGCATGACTTTCTTCCAACCTTGATGCAAACCCGTAGTATTGGACAAGCAATGTTGATATTTGGGTTGCTCCACATGGGTTGCGTTGGCACAGTTTCGCACAACTTGTATACTGGCAGGTTGTTTGGTTGAAATTGCCTGCTTAGAAACAAAGTATTCCCATATTCTAATTGCACGTTTTTCTCCCAACCTTCGTGCAAACCAGTGGTATTGGACAAATACGTGCTGATGTTCGGGTTGCACCACATGGGCACATGGGTTGCATTGTCTCAGTTTGTATACTGTCAGGTTGTTTGGTTGCAATTGCCTGCTTGAAGTATAGCAGTGAGATGGAGCGAACCTGCATCAATTCCCATATTCTAACTGCATGACTTTCTTCCAACCTTGATGCAAACCAGTAGTATTGGACAAGCAAATGTTGATGTTTGGGTTCACCACATGGGTTGCATTGTCACAGTTTGTATACTGGTACTTGTAGGTTGTTAGGTTGCAATTGCTTGCTTAAAGTCAAGCAGTGATATGGAGCGAACCTGCATCAATTCCCATATTCTAACTGCATGACTTTCTTCCAACCTTGATGCAAACCCGTAGTATTGGACAAGCAAATGTTGATGTTTGCGTTTCACCACATGGGTTGCATTGTCACAGTTTGTATACTGGTACTTGTAGGTTGTTAGGTTGCAATTGCCTGCTTGAAGTATGGCAGTGAGATGGAGCGAACCTGCATCAATTCCCATATTCTAACTGCATGACTTTCTTCCAACCTTGATGCAAACCCGTAGTATTGGACAAGCAAATGTTGATGTTTGGGTTTAACCACATGGGTTGCATTGTCACAGTTTGTATACTGGTACTTGTAGGTTGTTAGGTTGCAATTGCCTGCTTGAAGTATAGCAGTGAGATGGAGCGAACCTGCATCAATTCCAATTATTCTAACTGCATGACTTTCTTCCAACCTTGATGCAAACCCGTAGTATTGGATAAGCAATGTTGATATCTGGGTTGCTCCACATGGGTTGCGTTGGCACAGTTTCGCACAACTTGTATACTGGCAGGTTGTTTGGTTGAAATTGCCTGCTTAGAAACAAAGTTGTGAGATGGTGCGAACCTGAGTTCATTCCCATATTCTAACTGCATGTTTTTCTCCCAACCTTCGTGCAAACCAGTGGTATTGAACAAATACGTGCTGATGTTTGGGTTGCACCACATGGGTTGCATAGTCTCAGTTTGTATACTGTCAGGTTGTTTGGTTGCAATTGCCTGCTTGAAGTATAGCAGTGAGATGGAGCGAACCTGCATCAATTCCCATATTCTAACTGCATGACTTTCTTCCAACCTTGATGCAAACCCGTAGTATTGGATAAGCAATGTTGATATCTGGGTTGCTCCACATGGGTTGCGTTGGCACAGTTTCGCACAACTTGTATACTGGCAGGTTGTTTGGTTGAAATTGCCTGCTTAGAAACAAAGTTGTGAGATGGTGCGAACCTGCATTCATTCCCATATTCTAATTGCACGTTTTTCTCCCAACCTTCGTGCAAACCAGTGGTATTGAACAAATACGTGCTGATGTTTGGGTTGCACCACATGGGTTTCATTGTCTCAGTTTGTATGCTGTCAGGTTGTTTGGTTGCAATTGCCTGCTTGAAGTATGGCATTGCAAGCTTAAAGTATAGCAGTGAGATGGAGCGAACCTGCATCAATTCCCATATTCTAGCTGCATGACTTTCTTCCAACCTTGATGCAAACCCGTAGTATTGGACAAGCAATGTTGATATTTGGGTTGCTCCACATGGGTTGCGTTGGCACAGTTTCGCACAACTTGTATACTGGCAGGTTGTTTGGTTGAAATTGCTTGCTTAGAAACGAACCTGCATTCATTCCCATATTCTAATTGCACGTTTTTCTCCCAACCTTCGTGCAAACCAGTGGTATTGAACAAATACGTGCTGATGTTTGGGTTGCACCACATGGGCACATGGGTTGCATTGTCTCAGTTTGTATACTGTCAGGTTGTTTGGTTGCAATTGCCTGCTTGAAGTATGGCAGTGAGATGGAGCGAACCTGCATCAATTCCCATATTCTAACTGCATGACTTTCTTCCAACCTTGATGCAAACCAGTAGTATTGGACAAGCAAATGTTGATGTTTGGGTTCACCACATGGGTTGCATTGTCACAGTTTGTATACTGGTACTTGTAGGTTGTTAGGTTGCAATTGCTTGCTTAAAGTATAGCAGTGAGATGGAGCGAACCTGCATCAATTCCCATATTCTAACTGCATGCCTTTCTTCCAACCTTGATGCAAACCCGTAGTATTGGACAAGCAAATGTTGATGTTTGGGTTTAACCACATGGGTTGCATTGTCACAGTTTCGCACAACTTGTATACTGGCAGGTTGTTTGGTTGAAATTGCCTGCTTAGAAACAAAGTTGTGAGATGGTGCGAACCTGAATTCATTCCCATATTCTAACTGCATGTTTTTCTCCCAACCTTCGTGCAAACCAGTGGTATTGAACAAATACGTGCTGATGTTTGGGTTGCACCACATGGGTTGCATAGTCTCAGTTTGTATACTGTCAGGTTGTTTGGTTGCAATTGCCTGCTTGAAGTATAGCAGTGAGATGGAGCGAACCTGCATCAATTCCCATATTCTAACTGCATGACTTTCTTCCAACCTTGATGCAAACCCGTAGTATTGGATAAGCAATGTTGATATCTGGGTTGCTCCACATGGGTTGCGTTGGCACAGTTTCGCACAACTTGTATACTGGCAGGTTGTTTGGTTGAAATTGCCTGCTTAGAAGCAAAGTTGTGAGATGGTGCGAACCTGAATTCATTCCCATATTTTAACTGCATGTTTTTCTCCCAACCTTCGTGCAAACCAGTGGTATTGAACAAATACGTGCTGATGTTTGGGTTGCAACACATGGGTTGCATTGTCACAGTTTGTATACTGGTACTTGTAGGTTGTTAGGTTGCAATTGCCTGCTTGAAGTATAGCAGTGAGATGGAGCGAACCTGCATCAATTCCCATATTCTAACTGCATGACTTTCTTCCAACCTTGATGCAAACCCGTAGTATTGGACAAGCAATGTTGATATTTGGGTTGCTCCACATGGGTTGCGTTGGCACAGTTTCGCACAACTTGTATACTGGCAGGTTGTTTGGTTGAAACTGCTTGCTTAGAAATAAAGTTGTGAGATGGTGCGAACCTGCATTCATTCCCATATTCTAATTGCACGTTTTTCTCCCAACCTTCGTGCAAACCAGTGGTATTGAACAAATACGTGCTGATGTTTGGGTTGCACCACATGGGCACATGGGTTGCATTGTCTCAGTTTGTATACTGTCAGGTTGTTAGGTTGCAATTGCCTGCTTGAAGTATGGCAGTGAGATGGAGCGAACCTGCATCAATTCCCATATTCTAACTGCATGACTTTCTTCCAACCTTGATGCAAACCCGTAGTATTGGACAGACTAGTGTGTATGTTTGGGTTGGACCACATGGGTTGCATTGTCGCAATTTGATACAATTTGCATACTGGCAGGTTGTTTGGTTGTAACTGCCTGCTTAAAAATAAAGCTGTGAGATGGTGCGCACCTGCATTCATTCCCATATTCTAACTGCGTGAACTTCTTCCAACCTTCGTGCAAACCAGTGCTATTAAACAAATACGTGTTGATGTTTGGGTTACACCGCATGGGTTGCATTGTCACAGTTTGAATAGCGGTAGGTTGTTTCGTTGTATCTGCCTGCTTGAAGTATAGCAGTGAAATGGTATGAACCTCCATTATTACCCGCATTCCACCTGCATGATTGTCTTCCCACCTTTTGCAAACTAATGGTATTGGACAAACTAGTGTGTATGTTTGGGTTGGACCACATGGGTTGCATTGTCGCAATTTGATACAATTTGCATACTGGCAGGTTGTTTGGTTGTAACTGCCTGCTTAAAAAAAAAGCTGTGAGATGGTGCGCGCCTGCATTCATTCCCATATTCTAACTGCATGAATTTTCTTCCAACCTTCGTGCAAACCAGTGGTACTGAACAAATACGTGTTGATGTTTGGGTTACACCACATGGGTTGCATTGTCACAGTTTGAATAGCGGTAGGTTGTTTCGTTGTATCTGCCTGCTTGAAGTACAGCAGTGAAATGGTATGAACCTCCATTATTACCCGCATCCCACCTGCATGATTGTCTTCCAACCTTTTGCAAACTAATGGCATTGGACAAACTAGTGTGTATGTTTGGGCTGGACCACATGGGTTGCATAGTTGCAATTTGATACAATTTGCATACTGGCAGGTTGCTTGGTTGTAACTGCCTGCTTAAAAATAAAGCTGTGAGATGGTGCGCACCTGCATTACTTCCCATATTCTAAGTGCATGTTTTTTTCCAACCTTCGTGCAAACCAGTGGTATTGAACAAATACGTGTTGATGTTTGGGTTGCACCACATGGGTTGCATTGTCTCAGTTTGTATACTGTCAGGTTGTTTGGTTGCAATTGCCTGCTTGAAGTATGGCAGTGAGATGGTGCGAACTGCGAACCTGCATTCATTCCCATATTCTAACTGCATGACTTTCGTCCAACCTTCGTGCAAACCAGTGATATTGGACAAACTATTGTTCATATGTATCAGGTTACTCTGTGTGTGCGCGTTACCCGTATTGTACTGTGCGTTGCATCATGCGCACACACCCGAAAGTGCACACGTGTTGATGGATGGGTTGCATCCAAAGGTGTTTTTTTCTTCGGAAAATACATTTGTTATATATTGGTCGTTTATCATAATTGTTCATAGTTGTTTATCTGCAAAGCATTGAGACTGATAGATGTTTCTTATGGTTAGTTTCTATATTCTATCTGCATCAGTTTCTCCCAGCCACATTGCAAACTAGTGATATTGTACAAACTAACCTTCAAATGCATGAGGTTTCTGACACATACCGGCCGATGCTAAAATGTTCATTCATTTTGTGTATAATCCTATACTGTACAATATATATATATATATATTTATACATACATATATATATATATGTTGCTTATTTATATTCTAACTATTGTTGTATTTTTGGAATTCTAACTGCATTTTCCCCGGGGACGAAATTGGTATGGATGCTATTATCTGGACGTCAATCCATATCCATGGATTCCTTTGGATCATATTCTAACTGCCGGTCGGCTATAGTATTGAGATGGGAACGCTTGGGGTCTTGACCAGGCACCAGTTACGTTCCTTCATCCTGAACCGGAGCGCACGTGGTGCCGGCCGCCCCATCTATGCAGATCTGAATCACGCCTACGGCTTCCTACATCGTCTGGATATCCCCAGCTCAGGACCCCTATGTGTTCGGTGTAGTGACAAAACAATCCCCAACCTAGGAATGGGATGCTGTAACATGACCCCAAAGGGGTTGGTTTCATGGGCTGGTTTGTTACGGGGTTATGGTTTACCACATTATCTTTTTTTGGTCTTTTGGCATTTTTTTGTGGTGGTAAGCACCAGTCTCTTTCTGGTGGCCTAAAATTACAGCCTTAAAAGACGGGCGATTTGCCCGTCAGAACTATGGTTTTCCGAGCAAGAAATCCTCGAATCCCACATGCATTGAATGGCGCCACTCCTCGCAAAGAAGGACTGATCTTGTCCGCCAAGAGCTATGCCTCCTACTATGATCTTCAGCTTCTTGGCAGTGGAAGACGTGATTGAGACATGATGAAAACATGCAGATAGAAAAGACAGGACCAGCCCGGGCCCAGAAAATATCCTAAGAACATAGCAGCACAGGCTTTTGCAACACTGTGAATTCGTGGGTTGAAACAACCAGGGATACCCAATGGTACTCAAGCATGGCCCGCTGGAGATCTCCCCCTTTAGATGAAGCACACATCATAAATGGGTGAGTCTGAAACTGGGGTATAGCCCAAAGAATGGGATTCTTGTGGGGAAATTCCATATATGAAATGATATGTGAAATGATGCTCAACCATCAACATTTTGGGGTCCTATGTTTTCCCATACATTTTGAGGCATAGCCTACAGTGAGTATTTTGTCCAGGCAGCTCGGATTACCAGATGCTATTCCTAACGCCCAGGCTCCAGCTGGTGTCTGGTGGCATCTCCCGTGATCTTAGCTGCAGAGGGAAGCTCCACTTCCAATCATTGAGGTTCCATCTGCTGAAACAATATCATTTTTGGGTCCCAAAACAATTTGAAGCCATAATCTTTCAACTCCATCATATAGCTCCCACGCAAACCCTCTGGTAAACCCAGTGTTGGGGACTTAGAACCCCCATCAATCTCTGGTAGCCCATGGCAATTTGTTGCATTAGATATGGAACACTACCATTTAAAGAGCTAAATCATGGAGCTAAATCGGCCATGGCTTCTATAGCAGACTGTTGAATTACTGGAGCACGCCATATTTGAGTACCGACGGGAACCCCCATTGAATCTCCGGTAATCCCTTGCAATCGCCATTAAATCAACATTAAATTCTTGCTTGAATCCCATGAAATCACCATGATTAACTCAGTTAACCCTCCATTTCTTGTGTTTAAATCCCGATTCAAATCCATGAAATGCCATGAAACCATGTTTTCTTCACCTCGCCTGAGGCGACTACTTAGTGCTGTGCCATGGCTATGTTCCAGCCACACGGTGTCAGGTGAATGCCAGGCGTGTCCAGATCAGAAGGGTGGTGTTTTTCGTGGAGATGTCACCGCAATGGTGGATTTATCCAGAAAAAAAACGAGATTTCAGCAATAAAAATGGTGGTATAGGCTGGATCATTGGAAACATCTGGGTTATAAATGGTTATTTTTTTTGAATTTGAATGATTTTGATGAATGTAACCGTCAAACATCGCGATTTAAGGAACAAATCATGGTGTTGGGTGTGTCTGAACAGGGGGTATACGCTATACTCCCCAAATGGTTATTCAAATTTCCCAGGGGAAAAATGGTGATTAAACATCGGACGGAATGGGGTTCCATAATGTTCCATATTTTCAGACAACACCATATATTGGAAAATGTTCGGGGATTTCCACTTCCTCATTTTAAACAGAGGTTACCCTCCACTAATCAAACGTGGCAATGGAAAATCCTGGAAATACCTCATTTGTTTGGCATTCAAAATGGGATAATCATCCAAAAATGATGGATTTGATTACCAGAGGTTACGTGAGATGTGGAGTTGCTAGGGATTGGCTTTAGAGGACTACAGGAATCCCAAGACATATAGGAAAAAAGAACTCCCAGGATGTTATGGATGATGTTTCGACATTTTCACCCCATAAGTTTTCAGCTTTCCATTCCAACTTCTCCCGCCGCGGAATCTTCCATCGTCATGGACCACATGGAAATGTTCGGTGCGGCTTGTGCAGGTTGAACTGCCTGTTGGATACCACAAAAGCCAGTGGTCAAGGAAAGCCTTCCAGGACCTTCATCAAGACTCTTGGACAGTAAAATTGTATGGCGAGACGTGGTAAGGGCGCTGGGTTCGGCTTAACTATGGGCCGAAAACAATATCACCACTGGGCAGAGTCCGCTCCTGCACAGCACAACATGATCTGCAAAATAGGTTTTACCACCAAAAAAATTGGAGTGTTAGAGGAAAATGACAGGCCCATCTGTGGTTCCAACCATGTCAACTCTACCTTCAAAGAATCAGAGATCTTGGAAGCAATTTTCAGAGAACCCCCCAAACACTTGAGATTTTGCACGTCAAAGATGGTTTCAAACCCCAGATTTGGGATTCCCATCATTTTCCCTAGGCCCACGGCCTATGCACAGTTCCAGTGGTGCTCGTTGACCCTGCTGCTGGTGCGCATCGACACGGGGCGGCGGCATCAGATCCGCAGCCACTTTGCCTTTCTGCAACATGCCACCGTGAGCCACTGGGGCTGTGAAGGGCGTCTGCCAACCATTGGGGGATGGTAAATCATAGCATACCATAGCACCAAAATGGTGATGACTTGGGGTGCAAATGTTATTGGGTCTACTGTACCAGGTGATCCACATTCCCGAAGCCTTCAAGAAACATCCACATTCATTCGGCAATTTTGATGGGCAATAGTCTATTCAGCTACGAAACATGTTTTTTCAACGTATCCAGGACTAGCCGACTAGCCATTCAGCTTGTGAAGCTTCTTAGACAGAAGCTTAACACACGAGAAGTCACAGAATCTTTTGATTATGTTGATATTCTTGCTATGCCAGAAGGATTTGAGATCACGATTGTGTAAGATCGGAAGGGCATTCATTATTTTTTCTTTCTTCGATCTCAGGCACTCTTGCATGAAACTTGTCAATACTTGCTCTCTAACTTCAACTTGCTGAGCTGGAAATATCCAGTCCATTCACATCCCAATTGGTGCTTCACTCTTTTTGAATAAGCATTGAAAGAATACAAATCATGAATGGACCTTAACGAATGAAGCAGACACGGTAGGCATCCCTTCTGACATCCCTAAATACAAGGTGGTGCTCCCCAAGATAGCTAAATTGGTTCATAAACTCCATGAACTATATGTATAATTATGTATAAGTATAATTATATATAATATGAATATTAATATATATATATATATACACACCATAAACATGCATGATAATAAACCATAGAATTCACCTAGTCGTATACCAACTTAGCTTACTACGGGACACCATCTTGTATGATACCATCTATTTGGTAGATGGATCAACAACGCCTTAGATCTACCAGAGATTTTGATGTGAAAAAACCAGGCGACAGCCGATACTCCGCCGCGGAGACTTTTGCCAGTGATCTTCAGCTTTGTGGCAGCTGGGCGATTTTCAATGGGTTTATCATGGGTTGTTCCGCTCAAATCTCCTGGTTTCAACCATGGTGCTTAATTACCAGCATTGCAGGTCCTAGGAGAATGGGAAAGGATGGTGAAAAACATGCCAACCATAGCTGGTTGGTGGTTTGGAACATTTTTTATTTTTCCATATATTGGGAATAATCATCCCAACTTACTAATAATTTCAGAGGGGTTGAAACCACCAACCAGTATAGTATATATATATACATATAGACATGCACATATGTGTATATGTGGTAAGGATAAACCCTATCTACATCTATCCTTCTTTGTGACCTTATATCCATCCGATCCATCCAGTCCGGCACTTTTTTTGACCAGGTCGGAACTTCATCCATCGATTTCAGTTGAGCTTTTCAGGGAACCTGGTGACCATGGCACTTCCAGAAGATCTCAGGCTTTGCTTGGAACTTTTGAGCTGCAAGACTTGGGAGTCCCAGAAAACCTTGAAGCTCCTTGGATCTGCGAAATTTGAGGTTTGTTGGGCTTCAATCGGTTGGAATGACAAGGAAGCCATGCCCAAGCATTTGGAAGATATGAAGAACATGCCACAAGCATCAGGCGCAATGTGTTGCAACAGCACAAATCACCGAGGATTTGGTTGTCCGGTGCCGTTCAAGACTGGGATGTCGCAACAACGCCACTTGAGGCTTTTCAGAAAAAGCGCCGAAGGGTCCGATGGATGGAGTTTGGATAGTTCACCCAAAGATTTGTGATAGATTTCTGGAGATGTTGGGAAACACACAGCAACACCGATCATCACAGATGTGCATCTCACATCTCAAGCAGATGTCGCAGGATGAATCCTGTGACGCCCATGGACATGGTAGACTCGTAGACTCGTAGAGAATCACTGAGTTTCAACCCCAACCCCTTCAACCCCTCATCGTTTTGGTACTCCGGTGCCTTGTCCCTTTTTTTGCTCAAGCATTCCTTAGATCGGGTGCCGCTGGGGTTGCTCGATGATCCATCTGCTGTTGGATGCGGTGATGGTGAAACAGGCGACCGGCACCTGGGTGTCCTGGCGATCACTGGATGTGGATCCCAGGAATGGTAAGTGGTACTTATAATTCATGAAGCTAAGTGAAGAGGTTCCATACACACACACATATATATATAAAAATATATAAATATATATATATTATAACTGGTTTAGACCGAACTAACATAGACCCTGGTTTAAATGAGGGGTTGGAAGATGAGTTTTCACTAACAGTTGGGCATCCTGGGCCTTCACTCAAGGCATTTCACCTCAAGAGCCTTCGCGGTGTGACCTCTGCACTCAGTGCATGCGCCAACGCTGCAGCTTGGTCTCCGAATTTGGAGAAATTCGGATGTGTGAAGGTGTCAATTTCAGCCCCCATCCATTCATAGAGATATACGATATAGGATACTAGTGTATGATGCATGATATATGATGTATGCTATATGATATACAGATATCTTATTAGTACGTAGTGCATCAAGAACCCACACATTTGTGGGTCTTTTTCCAAAAAAAACGCTTTCTTCTTTAATTTAGAAAGGACACATATTTTCTCAAGAAAAACTCGATTTTGAAAAAGACCCACAAGTTCAAGGCAGTCTGTGTCAAGAGTATAATGCAATCTGCATATACAAAAGTATATATATATACACATATACAGTATATTATTATACATGTGTATTTGTATTTATATTCAATAGATGTTGACTTGTTCTTGTTCTTGTTCTTGTTCTTGTTCTTCTTGTTGTTGTTGTTGTAGTATTCACATATTCTTTTCGATATATTGAACAATCATTCATTCTTTTGACATTTTTTAGATATGTACAGACATGTTCGCTTGGCGAATATGGAATTTATTTATTGATAATATTTATGTACATGATTGTGTATATATATATTTTGATTTTCAATACGCATGAAACGATTGACATGTGTTATATGCATGATACTTATAATTTGGTGCGTCTACCCCATCCTCCTGAAGGTGCAATGGGAAGATTCCATTTTGCTGGTGAAATCATTGGCAACGCTCCGTCACCGGGTCATCGAACGGAGGGGAGGATTATAGTGTGGTATATTCATGTCCATTTGGGAAAACGCAACGTATCGCATTCTTATTTGTGTCAACCGTATCGTATGCGATGTGATATATTGGGTGATTGCCATATGTTGCATTTTGTTGGTTCAAAGAACCCATTCAGAAATTCATAGAATTTCAAAGCATCCAGTGATGGGTTATTGATCCACCATACCTGCCTGTGGTAAGGGTTTTTAGTAAATTTTTAGATGTTTTCGATGGACTGGTGGGGAATCAACAGAATATGAGGCCCATCAAAACGTCCAGACTTTCCTGCCTGCCTCAGGCCTAGAACTGGATGCGATTTGTAGCAATGCAGCAAGCAGCGCCTTCAAAGGGCGTCGATGGAACTTGTTTCCCGGACAAAGCGATGGTGAACAAAGATAGAAACATAGAAGTCGTTGCTGAGACCATTTTGTTGTTTTTTGTTTCGCATTTTCAGGTCGATTCTCAACGAGGTGTTGAAAACCTTTTTCTCACTGGCAAAACTCAAACTGTTGGAACCAACTATGTATCATCAACTCACACTAAGTGGGAGAGATGCGTTGTGTGGTGTATGGTTGACATGTCATTCTCATCTATATGATTCTATATACATGTGTAGTGCTCAGAATGGTCTTGAACAATCAAAGTTCTGAGCGATTGGCATGCAGCTCACTCTTGAACCACAAACCATTTTCAGTTCAAATGTACTTGTGAAGCGAACATTTTGCTAAGGGCCGGCATCCATTTTTTCATATTTTTTCATTTTTTTTCATTTTGTTCAGTCTTTTGGCGAGAAGGATTTCTCTCGTTTTTCATCACAAACTTTTGTAAGTGGTTTCAACGAAAAATCATTTTGTGGTTTGGATCGGCAAAAAAAGAACGCTCCACACATTCTCACAATGGAAATGCCACAGCCTGCGACTCGTGGCGCGGTCCCAAGGTCTTTGGCGCAACTTTCATCCCTTGAAACACGGAAACTCATCTGCAGATAACTTGAAAGTGCAGTTCCATTTATAAGTGGATATATAAACATTATAATAACATTATATTATTTATAAGTGGATATTAAATAATTACGTGTTATCATCATAGTACCTTTAGTATACCCGAGATATACCTGGGATCTCCCCAGTTACGATGCTGCAGAGATTGGATGAATAGGTTAGATCTTTGAGATCCGTGGATTGGTGGGGATTCTCTGCCGAAGGCTATGACTGCCAGCTACATATGTATATATGATGTATATGTACATATGTATAATATATAATATATATATAATATATAATATATATATAATATATTATATATAATACGATTATATAATTATATATGGAGGTGTGAATGCCTCAATCAAATAGGCATCTATTAATGTCTTTTAATTCAATATTCAATGGGGTGAAATCAACCATTTCCACCTCGCTGGAAACCCTCTGGCCACTATCGTTCTTGGGGAAATTCTGTCAGGATTCTTCTGCCAATTTGCTTCAGCTTAGAGGACCACCCCACTTGCAAGCCGTTAGGAACGTATACATGTGTACATAATATATACATACATGTGGGATAACCCACTTAGACCACTTACCAAGCAGGGCTCTTCACCAGAGGGTGCGATGATCCTTTCTGTCGCCAAGGACCATACTTCCAACCACCTTCACCCACAACATCTTACTCACCGCTGGCACCTGGCATGGCGCCGTGGACCGCCTGCGATGCCTCACAGAGGGCCGCAAGCGAAGCCTCCGTGCTGACGCGGTGTCCTTCAGTGCTTTGATGAAGCTGGACCAATGGTTGGAAGGGGAGGGCAGTGGTGGAAAGTGCTAGTCTTGTAGAGGACGGGAAGCAGGTCCTAGTGCCTCAAGTGTCATAGTAGTGTTTCCGGTTTGGCGGGGGGCACCAGAGTTTGGTGGCTAGATGGGTCAACCCCCGGAGAGGTGATCTGTTTATGGAAGAAAACCAACATATTTTTTGAGAGACCGAAAGAGGAGTTCGAATCCAAATCCTGATGTTGGTCATGATCCAACCGTTGTATTAAATATCAATATCTTAGGTGCTGTTAATTTAATGATCCAAAAGCTGGGATATCACCGTTCGATATCTCAACTCTTGTCAGTTCTAAGCCAGTTTAGAAGCCGACTTTTCCACCGAAATCCACCTCCCAGATCCCGGGGAAGCTTGCGCGCCTCAGGAATTCATGCCAGGAGCAAAGTCAGTAGCCCTGCGATGTTTTCGATTGGTTGGTGGATTGCACATACCCTCCTGTAATCAAACGTGGCTATGGACATAAAAATGGAGGTTTTCATTTTTTTTCCCTCTTAAATCAAGGATTTTCCAGCAAACCACGTTTGATTGGCGGAGGGTACCTAATACGTATTACCAGCAACCATTGGGGAGAATGATCGCCAGATGGGTCGACTTGCGATTCGCAAAGTAGAACAGATATAAATATAAACAATTGGGGATCAAATGGAAGGGGGTTCGCACACGAAGCGAAGCAATGTATGATTGTAATTGCTAGAAAAATTCTCTATATACATTGCAAATCGAATCCAGATCTTTAGGGCAAAATTGAGCACCATTCGATGTTCTCTTCGCTCACTTTAACCACTTTTAACCGCGAGAAGGTTCCTCCTTTTCCGCGTGCCAGGTGGAGGGTGGCTCTCCAAGGCTATAATCAGTTGCACGCAGGTCTGGGTGAAAAAAGAACGACTCGCCACTGACATCACCACTCACAAAACTAATGATGGTTAATGATAGTTAGCACGGGATAAGGGGACCCCCAAAAATCAACCGATTTCAGGTGTGTGAACTTCTGCCACTAGGTACCCTTTCAGAGTTCCACAGCTGGGCAAATATGGCTGGGGAAATCCCCATGAAAAATGGAGATTTTAATTTGAACATCATCTATAAAAGCTAGGGATTTATCCATTGCTGCATCTAATTACCGGAGGGTATGATCCAGTTGGAGCTGTACCTGTCAGGTGGTGTAAAGATGAACTCCATCACTCGCACGGCATCTTTGGGTTTGCACTCTGCGTGGCTTACGGCGGTGCAGCTGTTTTCGGGGCTGAGAAGAGAAAGTCTGCTGGATAGCGATTTCATGTGCGGCTTGGTGAATAACGTTTGGTGTGTGGCCCATTGGATTTGCCCAACAGTCGTGGGATACTTTAATTTTGTGGCCATTTTGATATGTAAGATTACGATCCACCATGATATTCTGGGGTACCGGATATTCACACAAGCCCATTTGACGTATTGACATGATTTGACATGCGCATGGCAACAGAACAACATCCCGGAAAGATACAGTACATGATTTTTAGACTAAGTATGTCATGTACCAGCTTTCGTTCTCTGCCAATGTTTGCCAATGTGTATTTTGCGCATTCGACCGAGAGGGTTTACTGATGCCCTTCAAGGTGGATGTCTTCCATGTTTATATAGATATTGTTTCATCTATTCATTGGTGAAGTACTTCTGTTTTATTTAACATAGCTATGGAAAATCACATTTCTTAATGGGTAAATCATCACAACTCACGCATAAGTGGGTAATTTTGTCTATAGCTATGTAACAATTCGCCAGAAGGAAAATCCGGACCTGGATTCTTAAACCAGTTAGATCCATCTTTGGATGGTAAAATCATGAATCAAAACTTGAGCCAAGTGTGGCTGCTTAAATCACTTAAATCCACCAAGTTTTCAGGTAACAACCTCCTGAAATCCTTGGACGACCGGTGGCAAGCGACTTTACAGCTGCTTCATCGCCTGGTGCCGTGGCGCATAGCTCCAGGGACCATCTCGAGGTGCAGCATTCGTTGAGACCTGGAATGGTGATGGCATTTGGAATTTAGTGGATGATAAAATCCATCACCATTCTATGAATGATATGATGGAAGTTAATGGATTTTGATGGGAATTTGACGGGAATTTGGTGGGATTGGCATCTGCACTGGGACTAAAACCCCTTAAGCATTAAGGATAAAAAAGTAGCCATAAGTAATCCAGCCAGTTAGCGTACCTCTGGTAATCAAACGTGGCTTGCTTGACATTTCACCAGCAATAGTTTGATGATTTTCCTGGCTATAAACTACCATTTAGTTCGGGGATTTTCCAGCCAGCCACGTTTGATTACCAGAGGGTTACAGTACTTTGTGGCTCATCCCCGTCAGCAAGTGAGTTAGAATCCCAGTTGTAAGCAGGCTAAATAGGATTATACATATAATTAGTCTAGTAACTGGGGGTATAACCCAGGTACTATATAACTCGGATGAGCCACCTACAGTACGGAAAAACCACTGTGTATATTAACCAGAGGTTTTCCAATGCATGTTGATTTACTGGAGGCTACTTGGAGTATCACTCCACTGATCGCAAGTCCCAAATTCATGGGTAAGCCATCTTAAAGAGCAGTTTTAAGGATAGTTACTAGGCAGTTTCTAACTTGGATGATCTTCCAGCCAAGTAAAAACATTGTATTTACTTGTTGTCACAGACGCTACTTCAAGACTTTGTGTACTTGCCTTTTACTGTTTACTTTGTCATCTTCTTATCACATACTGTACTTGTTATACATTTTCTTTCCTCCTCACTTGTTTCATTTCTCAGGTTTTGCTTGCCACCCTCATTTACTTAGCTGCTAGTATTTTCCGCATACTCAGGAATGAGTACTCAGCCCTTAGTATCTAGCACATGCACTTTACGCTGAGCACATAGCACCTAGCAATACCTAGCACTTTATATTTTGCACTTTGTACTTAGCGGTTGGTGCAACAGCGCTTGGTACTTTCCTTGGGTAGCTATTTTAGTTGAATACTTGAGCGAGTGTTTCGATAATCACGAAAGGTAGCGTCAGCTACCTGAGTTCTCCGTGCTTCAGCACAAGCATAGGGGGTATTGGGGGGCCAGCCCGGGCAAAACGAGGAATTCTCGCCGTTATGTATTGGATATCAATTATAAGGGGGGGTGCCCCCCCCCTCTAAAATGGTCATGGGTTCAATTCCCACGGGTGACGCGGTGACGGGCCCCCACATTAGAGGCACACTCTCTATAAGGGAGATGTCCCTGTAGTCCAGCATAATTGGTTTGCTTCAGCCTCAATAACAGTTGCTGCAAGGGGTCTTAAACAGGGGTTTTAAATAAACCCCTTTTCGTGCATCATTTCACGCTGCACAAGACACCGTATCATGCAGTCATGCTCTGGATAAAATCAACTTAGACTGCGCAAAAACGTTTTTTGTGTATCATCTTAGGGGCGCAGCATTTTGACACCACTACTCTCCCACTACACTACCTTTCGTCCGCCTCCGCCTGCTCTCAAGTCTACTCTATATGATATATTCTCAAAAACAGTCAGGGCACGGCCCTCATTCCAAGCCTTGGTTGGTGTGGTTATGTATGGGTATGATTGATCCAACACTATATAATTTGTCTTCGACAACGGGACATTTTACTATGCTTTACTCTCATGCGAAGGATGACTAAACTGTGGTCATGTGGCCGCCAGTCTTTGTTCAAACATGTTCAAACCATACCTATCTAGTTTTGACATGTGACTTTCATATGGTCTGACCGTTCACAAGAACAAACCCAGGGACAGCATGGGTACCTCCATGCAGGTCTGTCTCAAATTGGGCACCCCCGAATCCACTGGTTCATCATCATCTTCCCCATTTGCTGATAGCATGCCATAAGTTAATTTAAAGTTAAGGTTTACAGTTTCTTAGATTAAAGATAAGTCGGGTGATTTCTAAGTCCTATGTTTTTTTTTTCAATTATATCGTTGCTCGCAATACACGCTTCTAACTTCCAACAATTTCGAATACATCCCGCTTTTTGTGGGAGAAAACAAATTCCAGGAGTTTGGCGATGAGTGGCTGTGAAAAATCTTCTCAGTACCTTGGTGCTGATCGTTCTCAAACTGTTGGAGGGAGCCAAGTTCCCAACATGGGATGACTAACATCTGATGGATCAGTCGGCCTATGAATGATCAGGCGGCCTATGATACCCTATTTGGCCCCAAAAATTGGGGGAGGAACATGAAAAAACCCAGCTATTCTTGATGTGAAAAATTGGGGTTTTGGGGTTTTGACACATCCCCATCTGGAATGCCACCAAAAATGGCAATTTTACTAGGGGATTGTTTGGCTTAACCACTGGATTTTGGAGGTGTATAGCTAGAACCATGGGCCATCAGCGCCAGCGCTGGCCGCAAATGTCGTTTTTTGGTATCAGTGCGGATGAACTAATGGACTGCTCTCATCAGCTGGACGGGGTGGAAATTGACCACATCCAAGTCACTGGAAATTGGCCAATTCAAGGGATGACCGTCTCCGCAAAAGAATCTCCACAAAAGAATTTGGAACCAGGTGGATTTCTGCACTTCAAGTCCTTCAAAGTCTGCGTCGAGCGCCGGGACTGCGGAGCAATGAAGTCTGTTATGGGCAGCTCAGTTGTTATCTCTGATGACCACATCCCTGCCATCACCACAGTTTTACATAGTTTTACTGTATGTTCATCCATTTTAAGGCTGGTTCCGTGACCTCAAACAGAAGGCGTCGCGCCAGTTTGAGCACCTGAGGTCCAACATCTCAGCCGTCACCAGAGAACAGCAGTGGAAGCTCAGTTTGTCGCTGCTGTTTGAGATGGCCCTACAGGGCATCTCCTTTTCTCGGATTGGTTGCAATGCTGCCCTGATCACCCGCAAGACTGCTGTCACAGATCCCACCGCTGATTCCGCGCCGTGACTTGGGATCAAGTTGGGCAGGGGAATCTTGGAACACATGCCCTTTGTTTTTGGTCAATTGACATTGACAGTGAGTTTCTAACAGGAAAAAGTGCTTTTGGGGGTTCAGATATACAAAGTCTCTCTGGAAAGCGCCTGAGTGGTAAGAATGGCTATTGAATATTTTTCCCCACCTGCCAGGTGAGGGTTGTTAGATTTTATGTCAGTTGCCTGCTCCTCTCCTCCTCTCCTCTCCTCCTCCTCCTGCTCAACCGCGACCCTCGACGCACAGTGTTCTCTGTCGGACCTCAACCACGACCATCCACGCCCAGTGTTCCCTGCCGGACCTCATTCCCTGCCGGACCTCAACCACGACCATCCACGCCCAGTGTTCCCTGCCGGACCTCAACCGCGAGTATCCACGCCAAGTGTTCCTCGCCGGACCTCATGTAGGAAGATATGGGACAAAGAATGTGCAGAAGAAAGTTAGAAAGAATGTCAGACAAGTATGTTATATATTACTTGCAAACTCGCGCGTGTGTGGTAGAGTGACCGGGGCAATGCCACTTCTTACTTTGCAGGTGGCAAAGTTTGAAGCAATCAGTTTGAACAGATGACAGAGTCACTGGGGCGGACAGAGACATTTCCACTTCTGTACCTTTGGAGCTGTTTGCAAAGACGCTCAGACAGGCAACATCTTACAGCAAGTTACTACAAATTACTTGAAGTGATCTCATGCTGGATTGATGCTTGAGACAGTCAAAATCGAAAATTGCAAGAAAGAACTAACCACGGACTTGTTCAAGCATGGTCACGTCATTGGAATGTATTGGGAGAACATTGCTCGCAGCATGGTGGAACGGGCAAATCGAGATGCGCAAGACCTGGATGTGCCGTTATTTTGTTTGCAAGCTGCTGACCAAAGGCATTCCAGAAAAAATAAAGCCATAGACAAGCAGCTGACACATCAGCTGCTCACTGTTCCAAACCCGCATCGCACTGGCAAATTGCAAGGCATGCTACTGGTGCACGAGAACATGGTTGTGCGACTGGCGGATGTCTTGGCTCCACACCTTGGATTGGTTAAAGACAAACTGGCAGTGGTAGTGAAAGTGGATTTGCACCATGAAGATCAGAAGCGCCTGGACCGTCGGGAACCTGGATTCTGTCATTTTTTTCCGGACTAGATGGCCAAAGGTATCTGGGTGAAATTACTTAAAGGAAAGAATTCGCCCATGGAAGATGCTCTGTTGCAGACGTGGGAAGAAAAGTTTCAGAATGTGGCCGATCACACAACTGACGCAAAGACATTGTTCTTTGTGGAATTGGTGCATGCAGAGTTCAAAATTGATTTGAAGCTAGGCGAGGAAACCGAGAAAATTGAAGTGATTCGCTGGCAGTTTCCTCTTTTGCATGGCATGCTGCGCACTGCTTACAGCGCGCAAGGCTTGACTTTGGACGGAGGTGTGCTGGCTGATTTGCGTCGTGGTGGTGGCCTAGAGGATGCCGACTGGTGGCTAGCCATCTATGTCATGCTGACGCGTGCCCGCAAACTGAAGAATCTCATCTTGCTGGGGTTCACGGAGCAAGTGGAGGAGCTTTTACGCAGAGGCCCTCCTACCTACTTGCGAGAACTGACTGACAAGTTGGAAACCAAAGCTGCTTCGACGCTGGAGCGGCTGCAGTCCTGGCCTGTCTATGATGCATTGCAAGCATCCTGACACAGTGCTCTGCCAGTGGGACCTAATCGGTTTTGACTGAAGAGGTCCGGGGCAGGCATGGGCCTGACACGTTGCTCTACCTGTGGGACCTAATCGGTTTTGATTGAAGAGGTCTGGTGGAGGAATAGAGAGTTGCAGCTGCAGCGATCTGGTGAAGTAACACTGGCATGGTTTTGTCTAGTTTACACACGAGCTTGCGAGCTTTTGACTTTGGTTCAGGTGGTCCACTGGCTTGTTTCAGTCGTGTTTTTACAAACATGTTTGACAGGCGGTGTGCTGACATGTTTGGGCATGTTTGTTTGTTTGGCTCAGGTGGTCCACTGGCCTGTTTGGTCATGTTTAAGCAAACCTGTTGAGAGCTCTGGAGTTTACTTCACATGGCCCACTGACATGTTTATATCCTGTTTGACAGACTGACATGCACAATGACCTGCCAGGTGAAACAAATGATTGGGATAGTTAGTTGGGCAAAAGTCCCGTGACAAAAGCTTCAGACAAAAGTGGTGTCAACAAGCTGTTTTGAAATGTCATGGTGGGGATCACTCGAAGCAAAGTAATTTACTACTAGCACACCGCTTGACTGGAAAACTGCGGAGAAGTCCAACATCAATCCATTCCAGTGAAATCGAAGTTGACGTGATGTAAATTCAATGGATTGGTGGGGAAATTTACAGGACTTTTCCCATATTTCCATATACTTACTGGTGCTTAGTAGGGAATTTTCGGGAATGATCCACTGGCTAACTATGAATAATCCCAGCAACCCCCAGCAATCCATTCCTTACTAAGACTAAGCACCAGTAAGTATATTCCCTGGGAAAATCTGGCTGGTTTCACCAGGTGGCTTTACGCCTTGGCACTGGCAAGTTTGATGCTCTCCGCGAAGTTGAAGCTAGCCACATAGTGAGTGAAGATCCATGAATCCAACTGGCACCATCAAATATAATGGCATTACAATGGATTTCACAGCCATGTATCTGGTTGGTGGTTTGGAACCATGGCTTTTATGACTTTCCCATAGATTGTGGGAATGGAATGTCATCATCCCAACTGACGAACCCCATCATTTTTCAGAGGGATAGGTATACCACCAGCCAGACTGGCTGATTTCACAGCCACCATCAAAAAATATGTTTTTTTCATGTTTCTTCTTCTCTATCACGAGGGACCTACATATCCTACATTCCCATTATTGCAGGATGATTCTACTCCATTCATATCCATTCGTCCATATTAATCCCATGTAACTTCACCCTTGGCACATCTCCGTCCACAGTGGAAGCTACGCACCCCCTCCGGCATGTTTTCTTCCCTCCAAGGTGGCGCCTACAACCTATAGCTAAGTTGGTGTATTTGGCTAAGCTAAGTTGGCTCTATGGTAGAGTTTTGACTGATTTGTTATATGGATTTATATTTAAACAAACATAACTATAGTGATGTGATATATGATATATATATATATATATGTACATCTATGCATATACCTACCGCAAACTGTATATCAACAATGGCTAGTTTGGCTGATAACTATTGTAGATATAGTAACAAGAGAGAGAGATATATATATATATACATACACCATAAACATTATTTACTAAATCCAAACACTTATCTACCATAGTTATATCTATCATAGACAACTATGTATGTATATATATATCATTACTATGTCTAGGGCTGGTTTGGTTTATAACTACTTATTAATTTATAACTATTTAACTATTACACGTATAATTATTATCTAACCATGGGGTCCATGGGTTTATAAACCAACATCTATTCACTATAGTTAAATTGAATTATAGTTAGATATCTACCATATTTGGTTACATATTTCTACATATCTACCACAACTATGGGGGCTTCCCACCTAGGAAGCCCAACCGGGTGACCTACAACGCCTCCATCAGCGCCTGTGAGAAGAGCGGCGTTTGGCCGATGGCCACGGCAGTGCTTCGTGGCATGGCCCTGCGAGGGGTGTCCGCAGTGGCTTGGCGTTTCGGCGGTCGGCTCGGGTGTCCTGGTGAACCACAATGGTCACCATATAATAGTTATGTATGGTAAACTATAATGATATATAATTTGATATATATATATACAATGATATATATATATATACAATGATATATATATATATGTACAATGATATATATATATGTACAATGATATATATATATATATATATGTATACAATGATATATATATAATGATATATATATAATGATATATATATAATGATATATATAATGATATATATATATAATGATATATATATATAATGATATATATATATATATAATGGTATCATCACCATAGATATCTAACTATAGTGATATATATATAATGGTATATATATGGTCATGGTCATATATGGTAGATATCTCACTATAGTGGTAGATATCTAACATCGACCATGGTGATTTAACACATTGAAGCAACAAAAATGGTGATTCAATGGACTATCATTGGATATTGTGGTGATTAATGAATGGTAATTGGTAACCCTTAGTCATCATGGCAAATGATTAATGATTACCCTTTACACTAATGATTAGTAACCCTTAGTTCATCGTGGTGAACTAACTAATCGTGATGATTGATGGTAAACCTTGGTAAATTACAGGTGATTAATAGTAACCCTCAATAAATCGCTGGTGATTAGTAGTAGTTCATGGATATTAATGGCGATTAATGGCGATTAATGGTGATGAATCGTGAATGATGGTGATAATCATTAGTACCGTTGGTGAACTGAACCAATTGATTAACTAGTAACTGGTGTTTACTTAACCACGGCGATTAATTAGCTACTGATTATGGTACTCTTGATTAGTGGTGATTAGTGTTGCCAGTCTACCAATGATTATGATACGATCATGCTTACCATGCTTACCTTGTAATGAGTAATATTCATTTTCCCAATTAACATTTTTACCCTCCAGTGTTATCAAGCATGGTTGGCAGGGAAAACCCAAAAACTAATGATACATTGGCATTTAAGTGGTTTCAGATCATCATCAAACTAAATGGAGGATGTTCCATTTCTATTTTTGATTACCAGAGCGTATGATCGTTGTTTTTATTGTCACAATTGATAATCTGTGACTATGATTGATTACTATTTATGGATGTTTTCAATGATGTAAATTAACTGTTATTACTGTTACTATTACTATTACTATTATTGTTTGCCATTATAAGTTGTAAGTTAACTGTTCAATGACATCATTCTGGTTGGTTCAACGTACTGGGATGATCCCAAGTGATTAGGTTTTGTGATTCGGGGGTTGTCAACTCCCTGTAACAATGTGTGCAAAATACATATAAGAAAAAATCTGATTTCAGATAACAGAGAAGTGCGAAAAATTAACTTGGGGTTTCATAAGTACCCGTAAGTCTAAGTGGGAATGCAACTAGTGAACATGGAATTGTCATTGCCCACAACTGGGCAAAACTAAGCTAGGACTTGATTGGGATGCAGTGGATGATTGTCCGTCCCACAGCTGTGGTGACCGAGAACCACAATCAACAACTCAGTTCAAACACGAGTTGCTACACCGTAGAGGTTTCAGTTTTGAGACCAATCCTGAAAAGCTTTCCACATTGAGACAATTTGGGATCGGTTAGCCGTAACGGTTAGCCGCTTTGGCCAGCTGATCTGTTGATAAAGGCCATATACTGCATGTACTGTAATTCATTCACACCCCTGGTCTCTTCCGCCGTAGGTGTGACTGGCCACAGTTGACAGCTCATAGTCACCTTGTTCTTGAAAGAATCGTCTCTTTCAGAGCCATCCATTCAGTGAAAACGTTCCTGCTGTAGATTCAAGAACTTCCGTAAATTGGATGATTGTCGAGATTGAAAGAAGAACCACCATTTCCAAAAAGTCAAGCACACCACCTAAACAACTAGATATTTACTGAAACGAAAAACAACATCTGAATCTTCAATCAAAAAAATGAATCGGCCATTTGGGATGGTAACATAGCACCCATCAAGGGATAGTTGATAGAAGTCATGATGATTTCGGTGGTGGCAGGACATCCTGAGCTTCGATGCCGCGATCAGCGCACTGAACGACGCCGATGCAGTGCCTTCGGGATGGTATATGGCGCTTGGCCATGTACGGCAGCTGGAAACCCGGACTGGCAGACAGGTGGGTCAGTGAAACCAAGAACAATTGATGAAACATGGAGGATTTAAGGTGATCTAACCAGAAAATTTATGAGGATTTTCCAGGAATTGGGATTTGATACAATAAACACATGGATATTTGGGGTTTGTCCTTACACATGGGGGATTTATCCCCAACAGATAGTTTTTTTTGGGGAAAATTGAGGTTTTAAGCATCTTTAATTTTGGGGCGGCCTATTCTCAGACAAAACCAAATGCAGGATTTTCTGACATGATGATATCAAGCAGCAATCAAGGATACAAAAGGGATACGATTGGTAGATATTCAGTATACTGGTACAAGCTGGTGAAGGATGTAGGATGATTTTTAGAATCCAAAATGGGATTTACAATGGGATTGAGTTTGTACTGGCATATGATGGGTATATAAACAGTAAACTGCCTGATGGCTTACATGCCCGACAGTGTTGCTGGTACTGTATCAATGCTGGAGATTTCTGTTTCTAAAGTTCTACAGTTGATCCAGGGAATCGTAGATGTTTCACACCATTCACTGGACTTTCTACCGCAGGATTTTGGGAAACAACCAATTTGCCAATGGTTTCCTGATGTTTCCGGTTTTTCTAAAAACGCTCAAACCCATCCAGTGATCCAGTGGGAGTATCAGCTGAGGAGCGCTGTAGCATCATCCCCACCACCATCACCCTGAATGCAGCCCTCTCGGCTTGTCGGCAACGCTGGGAAGCAGCAACTCTGATCCAAAGGTGGCCATGGACGAAGCCAGGAGACTAGAGGACAACAAAGAAAGGGGGTAGTGGAAACCACCAGTCTTTGAGGTTGGAAGGTTTTTTTTTTTCTAAATGTCCGTTTTTTTTTTGGAAAATAAATGAGTTTAATTAAATGAGTTTACCCGTCAAAGCAGACATGATTGGATGTTGGAAACGCCCAAACTTGAATCTTGGCATGCCCCAATGACATGGGGATGTTTCGGGAAAGCCCCGATACCTGTTGAAGTGATGAGAGGGATTGAGAGGGATTACATCGTGCAGTAGATGTCATTTGCGATGCATGTAATGACACTTTTGAAGATGAAGCACTTGTAACGCAAGGGAACCACTTCAGTGTCAAGTCGATTGAGTGGCCTTTCCAATCGACATCAGGTCCTGGCGTTGACCAACGGAATGGGTCGACAAGTGGAGAAGGACTCCTGCAGCCTGCAATTGTTCATGGGCACTTGTGGCTGGATTGATCTGGATTGTAGAGGTGAGGAAACCTTGGGATGTACTTGTTTTTTTTTTTTAATGGGAAAACCATCGAAGTAAATGGTGGATTTTCCATTCCCATTGTTTGATGACCGGGGGTGTTGGAGGATCTATTTGAGGATATCTTGTTTGTATTTTTTTCATGGGATAGCCATTGTGAGTCTTCACCCAGCATTTTGCTCTTTCTAGAAATCAGTCTACTAATAACAAGAGGGAACCAATTTATTAGAATTAATTATATATTTATCATCATTTTGGGGGACCCCCGCAAATAACTAATGGTCAGGGTTTATGAATCCGGGGTTGGCATTAAATCTTGAGGACTGGTATGTTGATGGGTTATTATGTATATATATATAATGTTTAGCCTTATTCAGGGATTACCATCTGGTTTTCTCTGAAAATACGGTACCTCAAATTATCCCATGGTTCACCGTTATCGTCCCCAATTAATCTTACGTGGCGATTTCGGTGTATACCAATGTTTTGGTGAAATCTCTCTATTTGTTGTTTCAACCCTCGCTTTTGCTTGTCAATCACACCACACCCATTCTTGTTGAAGTTCCAGGTTTGTGTGGTCAAATCCGCGTTTTTTTTTGATAACTACATTAATTCCTCGTTCCCAATTAGATTAATTGTATAGATTATATGAAATTACATCCCTATTTGTTGCTTAAATGGCCTTTTTTGATTTGTTACATCAACATGTTTTCATGAACATCATCTTAAATCCCAATGTTTGGACCCTGGTCTAAATCCGGGGTGCCTCAAGGTGAAGTACACACCAGTTGGGTCACCTCTCTGCACCTGCTGAGTGATTCGGAGGCGGAGTTGGCCATTTCCGGAGCTGGTAGAGATGAAGAGAGTTCTTTTGCATAGGCAAAACTATACAGGGAATACGGATGTATAGGGTATACTATATCTCACTGGAATTCCTCTCCTGGAAACTCTATTCCAATCACCAAAAAGATGCCGAAAATTGTTTCCAAGACGGTAGTTCGATGCTGTTTTCCTCATCTTTTTCAGGTTTCCGTAACTTTTCGGTATTTTGTCTGGGGTTGCTATGCCCCCAAAAAGTCCCTGGACCAAGATTTTGGGCTTGGGACCGTGTCTAAAATGGAGCATTTTGGTACTTTCCCAATGTTTCTGTTGATTTGTAACTAGGCTAACGATTGGATTTACGGTGGTTGTATCTACAGTTGGATGATGTTGGATGGATTTACAACCCAATTTATACGTCATTGGGGGGCCTTGCTGTTTCGAATGATTCGCAAATTATAGCGACCTCTCACTGGCCGACAAAGAATGGTTAGGGTTTGGCTGCATCCTCCTGAAGTTCGTCCGCTTTCAGGGTGGGGATGATATGATTGGCTGCTAGTCACTGGATTATCTCCATGTTACATCCATATACTGATCCATGGACCCCAGTGACTCGCCAGATCTTGCATCAGCATCGCTCCATCCTGCAGGATGATTCTTCCTGGTGGTGGTTGCTTTCCCGTTCTCTGAGAACGGGAGCGCGACCCAGAGGATCTAGACCCAGGGGACCCAGGGCCAGGAACCCTGCTTGAATCGTCTGAAAGATCTGAACAGTAGGTACAGCTCTCAAAATGAACATGGAAGCGGGGTTGGAAAATGACTCAGGAAGGAAATCGACAGTTTGAGGGTTCCATGCTAAATCTTGGAGGCATGGAGGAAATTCGATCATCCAAGCTCGTTTGAAGAAGTGCAGCGAATGGCCCGGCCCTGATTGAAGCACACCTGCGGGTACTTGTGCAGGATTTTCACACTTGTGGGTTTCTCAAGCGACAAAAGCATCGTGCTGCTTTTACAATCATGTGCGCTATTATATGCATATAATATATGCTGCATATATGTGATATTGTATTCAATAGAAAGTATTATATATATATAATGAAGCAGGAACAACCAAAGGTTGACCAGGGACCCCCCGTGTGAATTTGGGCCACGTCCTGGAGAGCTGTTCCTGGAATTTCAGAGCGGTTTTGCTTCGCATCGCAGCCGTTGGAAGCAGTGTGAAGCTTACGTTGGATCTTGGAACACAGACTACCAAGCGTATACCAACCGTGAATCTAGAAATGAGCGATTTGCATGACCCACATCTGACGATCATTCGGGTATCAGCAGTTGAACCACTAGTTGGTGGCTTCAAATATGTTTTTATCGTTCCATGTCAACAAATGCGGATGATGACTTACCAAATTACATTCAGATTTTTACAGGGCTGGTGGCCACAGCACCCGACCAAATGGAGCGGTGAATCAACAGATCTTGACATCTCGCACAAGGCTTGGATCATGGGACGGTGGCTGAAGCTATGACCTGGTGAAACAGGGAATCCTTGCACTGGAGAACTGACCTCTCAGCCCAAAGATGTTTACAGTCATGGTTTAGGTTGTTGTTCTTGACAGTACTCTCTCTTTTGTAATCATTGAACATATTGAACCTGTACCCCCCTCAAAAAATAGAACCAGTATCTCTTGATCGTGGGAGACTCAACTGGGATTTGCTAATTTTCCCATTGGTGCATGATTTGGGGGTACCTACTGGGATTCTTACTATGTTAAATGGCCCCTTTTGGCACAAATCCAAGAGGTAGAGGTACCCTCTGGTAGTCAAAGGTGACCCTGAAAATCCACCAACTAAATGGAGGTTGATAGCTGGGAAAATCATGTGTGTATATATATATCTCTATATATATATATATAAATGGACTACATGGGAGATTTTTCAAGCTTAGCCACCTTTGATTTCCGGAGGTAAACCTTCGCAGCCTGGCCTGGTCATGGTCAGATGGCAGATGAAGTAGGCCAGTCACGGGGGGTGTATGTTATATGGGGAATGGGATTGCTCAACCATTTATATTTGGTTTAATCATGTTTAATCATTTTTAATCATGTTTAATCAGTTCAATCCTCGATGTTTTTGTAGATTACTAGATGTTACTGAGGTACTAAGTAGTATCTAGTAGCTACATCCATTTTGGTTGCGAGAACCTCATACAATCGAGACAATTGAATTACTGAACATCCATCTAGCTTGCACAGCTTCGTCCCCCGTGTCTACAGCGATGTGGCGGCTTCCGCTGCAGGTTGGGCCATCCTGGTGTTTGTGCTATGGGTGGTTTGCTGGACTCTTGACCGGGAAGAGTTGGAGAGGGATGAGCTTCTTCTATTAGAATTTATTCAATAAACGGTGGACATTGATACTTTAGACGTTCATAGATAAACATTGTTTTGTAAATGCTTGAGCAAAAGTGTTTTATGTACCTACAAGCTTAAAAGTGATCACAGTGAAGATCCTGCGCATTGCCATGGGGGGCGATTTTGGTCTGCTGGAAAAGGGGAGAAATCTCAAGGTTTCGCAGCAGATAACAACTGCTGCTACAAGGTGACAAGTGGACATAGGCCCTATATCCTAACCAGTTGCCGATCATCCCAGTAACCCTTTGGCGCAGTGATGCTCCCTGCCCACAAGACAGTCCTGCCTGGCTACCACCCCAGGATCTGCATTCTCTTCTTCGCATGGGCGGTCACCACTTTCTGGCAGAACCGCCGCTGTCCGGCAACGACGAAGCTGAAAGGTAGCTGACGCGGACACCGGGTTTTCGCATCGTGGGGTCAGCCATTGCCACACTGGAGGGAGATGGAGGTGCCACGAGTTGAGATGCTGAGAGGCGAAGATTTCCCAGGAAAAGCAGCGGGTTCTGATGCAGAGATGGCTTGAGGACTGGCGGGTGCAGATGAGTGATGCGAAGAGGGATTTTCGGCCGCTGCACCGTGGGTTCGACACCAAGAGATCCAACAGATTCAAAGCTGAACATGGGGCAAATGATTGTCTTTGGGTACCCAGTTTTCAGACAAACCCATCGGTAAAAAAGGCCCTCAGGATGCTTAGCAACTGGCTGTGGGGCCCAAACATAATATCACCCTTGGATGAATAAACTCTGTTGATAAATTTTGGGGGTTACATCTCAAATAGTAATAATTTACTACCAACATGGGGCATCCCTTGCCCTACCAGTAAACTGGGGGCTTAGCAAAATTCTGGGTGAAAGTTAACAATGACTATCCAGTCAAAAAACAATCCTTTAGTTGGATCCTCCAATATATCCCTCAATTATTGGATAGTATACCAATCTCACATGTTCGGTCCTTGTCCTTGGCATGCGTCCCAGAGTCCTGCAGGGGTAGAAGAGCCATCCTTTGTCTGCATCGATGTAAGACCAAATGTCTACAGATCGATCTGGTTTCTGAGAATTCTCCGGGTATTTGAATCGATATGATTGTGAACATTTTGGCAATATTATTGCCCTTCCAAAAAGTGTTTTTTTGCAATGTTTCAGCATATATTTACCCATTCTATCCCATACCACACTTTCAAAGTCATGATTTTACGTATCATATGTTAGTAATGTATTTAGCTTCAATTACGATTCGAAAGTCATGCTTTTAGATGATTTCAGCACATTTCGGTACAATTTTTGGCCATGGTACCGAAGGAGTCAAGGAGTCGTTACGGCGCTGCAGTGTCGAAGAAGGCCTCCTTTCTGACGGGGTGCGGAGCTGGAGGCTCTGGAGGCTATTGGCCTACATGAATTCTATGGTTTATTGTAGATATATGGAGGTTTCCCAAAATTGTTGGTGTATTTCATGGAAAATCCGAAAATAAAATGGATGATTTAGGGGTACCCCCATTTTAGGAAACCTCCATATATCAATAGTTAATAAAGTTTATAAACCAACAAACATCACTGGGGCAGAACCAAACGTGGAATTCTCATAGTTCATGGTGTTTGTAAACCAAACAGAGAACTAGGGGGCTCCACCGCGTATGGAACATCGCCAGTTTTGATCAGTAATCATCTACCTATGGATAGTATAGTTGGAATACATTTTTTTTGGGAGAAGCCACCATCTATGACATCCCTGATACATCCTGCAAGAAAAAACATCTATAGGTGACTTTTGGCCAGAAATTTCCAGTGAAGGGCTGCCTTTACCGACCTTGTCCTCGCCCCAGCTTTCGTAGAAGACTTCGAAGAAAAATTGTCGGGCGGGCGCGAGGTATCGTCAGGGTGTGTCTGAACATATTGTGAGGTCCAGCAAAATTAGCGTTCCAAAGATGTTAACACATTCTTTTCATATAACTATACACAATATATATATATATATGATTATATATGTATACATATATATTATGTATACAACTTAATATAGTGTTAATTATTTTTTCGTGACCAAATTATTGGAGCAACAACTCGCAACCTTTTTTTGGAGCCATGAAGATTCTGATCAACGGCATCATCAAGCTCTTCCTCCAGCGGCTTGGCAGATAAATGGGGGGTACCCCAATAGCTGGGTGGTTTATTTCATGGAAAATCCTATTGAAAATGGATGATATGGGGGTGGGAGTACCCCCCTTTCAGGAAACCTCCTAATATTTTGGGTTTTCCTATGTTTTCCTCGAATCTTGCCCTTCAACAAATCCAATGATGTAGATGGTCCAGACTTGTGCCCGAACCAACATTTCTTCCCGTTGAAAAGACATCATTGAACTTGGCTGTGGCGGAGGCCTTGTTTTTGTGTTTTGTGCTGTTGTTTGCAGGACTAAAGGATGAACATGGAGAGATATCATTTGGCGAGCTCCTTTTCCCCATTGACCATCTTGGATACCTTAGCAGCTTAGCACCTCCGACTCCTTGGTCATAGTTTCATGCCTCAGATGGACCACAAGTACTGTATAGCAATCACCAAAAAGATCGAAACGTTGGAAACCTGGAAATGATCGGGGAAAACATCATCTATACATATCTACACCATCCTTGAAACACTTTTCGGCATCTTGTTTTGGGGGTTTACTATAAATGTACATGACTTTTCAGCTGACGCGCGCAGAGGTACGTGTTCCGTCCGCTGGATCATGCCCTGTTTTCCAAAGATCGCTGCAGTACCTGGGCTTCGGGCATAGCAATTCAGATCATAGATCCCCATGCCAAGGCATCGGAAACATGACCGATACACAAAAATGGACCACAACTGCAACCTCTGCGGGTTCCGTGGGTGAACTTTAGGTCGGGGCTGGCGATGGAGGAAATTGAAAGGGAAGTGTTTTCATTTGAGTGAGTTGAGTTTGACGCCCGAAAACAGATGTTTGTTTCCTAATCTATGCTTCGGCATCGTTCGCTGCATAATGATATATGTACTGTAGTCTTATACAGCGTTTAAGTGTACATTGCTGGCATACCCCATGCCTCAAAAGTTAACCCAACATGCTACTATTCAACAATAGTGTTTGATCTCAGAAAAAAAAGTAAAACACCAAGCCAAAAAATACACCACAAACTCTTAGAAACGTCATTGACCCATTGCACTTTGGCAACTTTGCCAGCAGAAAACAGCGCAATATGGAGGTTTCCTGAAATATCTGAAATGGGGGTACCCCCAAATCATCCATTTGAATAGGATTTTCCATGAAATAAACAATGCATCTATAAGGGTATCCCCATTTATGGGCACCTCATGGCACCTCCACATTACTATCATCCACTGGTTGTGAGTGCCAGGTTCGCGATTTGCGGTGCTAGATCCTGTCGCGGGATATGTCAAGGACTTCCGAACTGCCTTGACGGTTCATGGTTCCTTGGATTTCGCCAAGCGTTGCAACAAAGGGCCAGAAATGGGTGATTTAAGACCCAGCGAAACTGGGATTAAACCAAAACAAAGCAATGAATATACTGTACTACAGTACAATGATAAAAAGGGGTAGTCCACAACACCAATGGAATATTCCATGGAATACCAATCTGGCTATTGAATATGATCATATGAGTGGTTCCCAAGAACTGCCGTTGAGACCAGCCGTCGATTTCACCCCATGGCCCATTTCGTAGAAAAAAACCCATGTGATGGGTATCAACATGGTTGCTTTTGTAAATATAGTCCCCCCCGAAATCCCCAAGTTTAAGCCTTAGATCCTATGTGAACTGTTCTGATTAGTAGGAAAATTCCCCATTTGGATGGATCCTTCATTTCCAACCCAGGGGTTGTAGTCATCTCGCTCAGGTTTTTATCCTCTTCCAACCTGTCCCGCTTGGTCCGTCACTGGTTATTGCCGCCGGGCGTGCAAAGTGGATGGCCATGGGACCATGGGACAATGGGATCGAAAAGATGCCTCAGGTACTTCCATTTCTGCGCCAGTAGTGTTTGAATCAGATGTTCAATGTTTGTGTATTGCAATATATATATAATATCAATATAATTATATATATATATATGTATTATATACATCATAATATAGCATCATAAGAAGCTGTTGTACTTCTGATTGAGTTCTTCGTTTCTTTGGGGTACATGTATAGGTATTATGTGTATATACAGCAACGTAGGAACAACTTCAGAATCCTTTGAAACTCTTTGCCGCGGTACCTTTCGAGGTGATTTCCATGTTCAGTGAATCATGGTCGCAGGCTCCTTCCTTTTGCTCCTCAAAAGCCTCCAATTCCTCCAGGTCTCAGCCGCTGTTCCATCAGGTTCCAAATGCCCCGGAGCCGCCTGCTTTTGGTGCGTAGAGTGCCACTGTCGCTTCTGCCCTGGCTGCGCAGCCAGATATCACCACCCGGGGCTCTACTCCGAACATCACTCGCTGGAACCCATCAAGAAACAGATGCCTGGTTCAGCTTCGTAAGATAGTCTTGGGAGGTAAGGTGCCAGTGAGCAAAATAAGGGTGACTTCAAATGATGGAACAGTTGCCAGTCTATTTTCATATATATATATATGTATATAAATATCCATGAATATATCCAGCTATAATTTTGGGTGGGTTAAAACCCTGCTTTCGGGTGAAGATTTTACCTTAGATCAATCCCTTGAAGGAATCAATCTGAGAATTGGTTGAAGGGACAATCTACAGGAACCCCCAACCAATTTGGCGACAGATGATAAGAAGACCGTGGTTTCCTGTAATTGATCCCTTAACACAAGTTTTCTTCTGGGTGATGAAACCAATGTTGGGATGGATGACTCATGATGACGAAAAACCGTGAGCCAAACCCATGGCCAGGAAAGAACAGCGACTTGCTGCGCTTCTGTTGAGCAACTTCTTAGTTGTACCTGGTCGTGGTTGCTCCCTGGTGGAGTTGTTGGAATGTTGGTTGGATGTTTGAGGATCAACATGCCAATTTTCGAACAACTCAGCACATTGTCAGAAACTCTTTGGCATTAGTTGCGAGACGCGGTTGCTCCATGTTTGACTAGCAATATAGGACTCCAAACCCAGCTTGCTTTGGATGTTATCCTTTGGTACACCAACCTGACATTGGAACATCGCAATTCAATTCACCATAGAAAAGTCCTCTTGAAATGGTGCATGTTCCTTGATACCGCTTTTGGCATTGTGCAGGGGTTGGTGAACATGCCATCAGACGGGGAGTTTAGGCATCACCAGAACAGATGGTTGTTGGTGCCGTCCCCAATGGTCCAGGCTGGTGTTCAACTGGGACAGTCCGGTCGCCTTCGTGTTGCTGCCCAGGTAGGCACAATCCTCTATTTGCTCTCATCCGTCAAGGTCGGCCGTGACTACCTGTTCTCCATGGACATGTGCCCCGTCATCAGCAAGGCAAAGACTTTGGCGACGAGGGTGGATGCCAAGGTCTTCTACTACTATAAGGCTGGCTTGACTGGGCCTTGATACTGAAGAGTGCTTGGAAAACTGCCAGAGAAGAAATTGCTTGGTGGTTTCAAGGAATGCATTCGCGACAATCACACCAAATTAGATGGTGATCCCAGTTGAGCTTTCATTTTTTTTGAGGCTCAACCACCAACCAGAAGAATACCGCCTTCACCGCTACGGTTCGCGATGGACTCATTCGAAGCAACATCTTCATGGATGGCTCAGCTTTCCCTCAAACATCCTCAAACAATCTCGCATAACATTCTAACCAAATTCCAACTATATCCTCAATACTGCATACATCCCTACCAAATTGACATTCCAACCACAACCGTCATTGGCGTGGCGCGGCAAATTCCTGCGTCGACAGGCAGATCTTGCGAGATACTGCAATATGGAGGAGACAATCAACGCCCTCTGGGAATTTAACTGTTTGCTTTGGAACAATGGACCTAATAGATAATTCAACTATCAAACATGGTGAGTTCGAATTTTAAAGATGGTTTGGATAATGTTGGATACCGCAAGTTGTAGCAATTTTAATGCGGAACAAAACGGACAATGATGATCCAAGAGTCTAGGGGTCTAGGGGTACACGATTTTCAGGTCTGTGAGAAGATAGATGCGTAGGACCCACTCATGGTTCGACATTTTCCACCTGGATATCTCTCGAATTCTCCCTGCAAACATCAGCCAAGGTTTCCGTTTTGATCCTGAAAGCAAGGGGGATCAGAAAGTCTCCACACTTCTCGGAATCTCTTTGACAAATTCATGACATTCAAGCCCCTGATAAGATTGTACTACTATGACTATACTAGTTTTCCACTTACCAGTTCAAGATAGATCCATAGGATATTGTAGGAACTACAGATTTACCATAGCCATCTTAAATTATTGCTAACATGGGAACCCTCTTCAGCCGTCAAAGCAGGAGACCGCAATTTATCGCTGGAAGATATGTTCATCCACCTTCATTCTTTCTGATACCATTTAAGTAGATAGCTATAAACAATCTTGATAGCAAAACCATCGAACTGAACGGCAATTCTCCATAGCAAATTGTTGAAATACCAGAGTATAGCCCATTATATAATATTATATAAATACCGGACATACCCATTAGATCCCATTGAATAGCATTAAATCCCATGAATATTCCAAAAGATAATCATTCAACAGCTCACATCACCAGGATTCATTTTACAAGTTCTTCCTTGATGGCTGGGTACGTGGTGCCCCTTGGCAGCACCATCAAAAATACAGCCTGCTATCCCCCCAGACAGCCCAGTTTTTACCAACTTCTAAGTCAACTTTGCTATCAGAAATCACCCATCCATCCCTTGTTGGTAAGAAATCACCAATTTTCTTGTGATGAAAGCTACTGTTGAGGTGGTGACCCGTTCGGACGACACTCTTCTGGTGTTGACGTCGGCAGGGCCTGCCTATGTCATGGTCACCGTGCTATCGCTGTTCCTTGGGTGAAGTCGGGGTACCCCCTCATCCAAGCCATGGATGACCATGAGTTCGTACTGAAACCTATGGTGACTGGCAATTCCCCATGACTTCAGAAAAGCCGATAGGAGTTGGACCTGACTTTTCTATGGCCAATTGATGGGGATTTGACCAACATGGAGATTTAACCAGCAGCGATGGTGATTTTTCAGAGTGACTTTGCCAAACAATGGGGATATCAATCCCCAAAGGGCGATTGAACACTGTTCGCAGGCCCCTCTTGTATAGCCGTTCTTGTTTTGGGGAAGAATGCTGTCTTAAATGGTTTTCAAATGTGTTAAAGATGTTCAACCCCTGAATTTCTGTGAAGTTTTCACAGAAACTAATGATGCCAACGTGACTTTTGACAGATTGACTGGGACAGCGAGTAGAACATCGAACTTGGCCGAGGTTTCTGGTACCAGTGGTGGCCACCTTGTATGGATGGTTCATGGGCATCGCTCATTTCATCGATAGCCGCTGGGAAGAGAAAAGGGAGAGCCTTTGGTGATCTAATCTGCCCAAATCCACCACGATTTCCCAGTGTAACGGGGTTTACGGTTGCCAGATGAGATTGAAACTATATACAGATATATATAATCATATATATATATACAGTAGTTGAGGCTTTTCGTCTCGCTTCTTTGACTTGTTGGCTTGGACAAGGTATTAGGTCCTGGGAGGTTTCCTGCTTTTTTGAAACGCAAAAGCAAGTTTGTTGCTTTGAGGATCTTTAAGGCATACAGTAAATGTACAGAATGGCAACAGACTCTCGAACAGATGCGTTGGGACACCCATAATTATATACAATTATTCCTTAGGTCCAACAACAATCTGGAAGTTGCACAAGAAGCTTCAGACCCTCCAGCACACACACACACAAACACAGAGCGCTTGTCCGTCATCGCGTTTTGAGTTGCAAGATTTTGTATCTGAGGTTTTCTTTGCCAAGGTGCTGCACCCAAATAGAGGTCAGATGAACTAAGTCAACCAATTATGGCCTATAGCTATTCTCATTTAGTTGGGTAGTGCCTAGTTTTTTTGAACTATACTATAGTTGTTGTTCATGAATTGGAACTAAGTTTCATTAACACTAGTTGTTGGTCCAATTGAGCATTTCTCAGGTAAAATTCCACCATCCGAAGACATTCACACTGCGGAGGCGTATTTGCGGAGGCCCTTCCGTGCTGCCAGAGGTTTTTCTCCACCTGCCAGGTGAGGGTCTCTAGATTTTATCAGAGTTACTTCCTCCTCCTTCCTCCTTCCTCCTCCTTCCTCCTCCTTCCTCCTCCTCCCAACAGCGAACTCCAGATCTCAGTGGGCACTGCCGGACCTCAACCGCGAGCTCCACATCTCAGTGGGCACCGCCGGACCTCAACCGAGAGCCCCAGATCTCAGTCAACCGCAGGCACCGGACCTCAACCGCGAGCGCCAGATCTCAGTGGGCACTGCTCCAGAGCTCAGTGGGCACTGCCGGGCCTCAACGGCGAGCTCCAGATCTCAGTGGGCAGTGCCCATTTCAGAGAGAATGTCAGAATAAATGCCAGCTAGAATGTTAGAAAGAATGTCAGAGTATATTCCAGAAAGAATGTCAGATAGACAGTCAGAATATATATCCAATATATACTTCTATATGGTATGTTAGAAACTATGTCAGAATAATGTGTCAGGGTGGGGATTACTGGAAGAAAATCATTTCTTTTCCTTCGATCAGTGCAAGAATCACCAAATGTTAGCGTCTTAAAAACTTCTAATATCGCCATCAATGTGGTTTTCATGGGATACCCATTTTTTACAGTGTTTCATAGTTGCCTTCATGGTTACCAACTGGTGCAGGTCTTCCATCCACAATAGTTTTGGCAGGTCAACATGTGGGCCTCTGAATATTCATGGGTACCCTTAAACCCAATAGTTAATCACTATTGGGGTATACGGTATACCCCATTTCCAGCACGCCCATTGGTTGCTGCGTGAAATCCTCGTTTTCCGCCAGCTTCGACGTCTGCGCCTTCTTCGGTGGGCAATCCTTGGCACCACCGATGACGGAGCCGCGACTTCGGGCTGACCAGGAGCTGGAGATGGATGTGTTGATGATGGATGGTTTAGTGATGGTGGTGATCAATTAATGTCCATTCATGGTGATTAATTAATGGTAACTAAACCCAATATGGTTTCAACTATCATGGGTTAATCATGGGCTTTACATGGTTTAACCATCAACAAATAGGGAAATCATGGGATATTTCATGGGATTGTAACAGTGATAGTGATATGATATAACCATCAGTCATAGGATCAACCCATGAAAATGGTGATTTTAACAACAAAAACGGTGATTTAATGGGACAAACCACTCACATTGAGATTCAATGGTGAATTAATGTGATATAATGGGGATACCTTTTGGTAATTGAACCCAACAATATTCCCCGTAGTTGTCTCTTTAGTTATCTCATTAATTATCCCAACCTCCGGTCATGAATAGAAAGGATTATCATCAACAAATAAGGATTTCGTGGGATATTCTCATGGGATAATAATAATGATATACAACCATCAATAATAGGATGATTGTGGATAATTGGGATCTAAAATCCGTCATAGCTATAAGTTGTAATGGGGATATCAATGGATTACCCCTCTGGTCATCAAACGTGGCAATCATCGAACTCAGTGGGGGGTTCTCACGATTCATGCTCGGAGGATAAGCATCAAACATGAGGTTGACCATGGTTTTCAACATTTTGAACATATCACGAATATATGATGCTAATATATGGTAATATGATATTGAATAATGGTTACTTTCCACTTCACCATCAAAAACGAGGATTTCACCAACACAAATGATGGTAGAATGGGGTCGCCCTGCAGTGTCCTCACACGTGGCTGGCTCTGTAAATGGGGAAATTTGCAGCAAACCATGATTGAAGACCAGAGGGCAACGAATATGGACAACATTTCTATCCGATTCCATCCCTTCAATGGCCGGTTTTGCGGGAAAATCTGGCAGTGGGATAAATGGAATGATCTTTCAGTACCCCTATATTTGCAGGGCTCTTTTTCAAGGGTGATATTCAGAGGCAATTTTATAACGGTTTAGAACAAATAGTAGTCCAACCAATGGATTGAGTGAAGGGAACATCTACAGGAAAAATCCAGGGTTTTTAACTTTGACCCTGCATTGGTTGGGTTTTCCTATGGATTTTCCTTTGAATCAGTTCTGGGACATGGATGAGCGAACTGACATTCACAAGCCAACAATGACCAACAGTGGCTGGGGTGAGGGATACGCATCATTTTGGATCACCAGGCTTAGTTCAGGCATCAAGAGCATAATGGAGTAGAATCACGGGTAGGTTTGAAGGACTACGGAATTACTATTTCTTTCAGTTCTTGACAATGGGATGAGCAAACTTTGGTAGCATCTTATGAAAAGAAAGGAAAATGATGGGGTCATTGTGACGGGCTTAGGTAAGAGGTTCCTGAGCCATCAATATCCATTCCGTAATGATAATGGAACATCATTCGTTTTATATAGTATGTAAAAATCAATTGGGGTAAGCAAAACATGTTCGAAACCCATAAAAAAGGAAAACACACACAGAGGAATGCTGGTGTTTTTGATAGGGGCAGATAGAGGGTTGGCAAATATTTGTTCATTGATATTCAACCTCCTTGGAATAGGATCAGGTATGGTGATCCTTCAAAAGGTCCCAGAATGGTGACTATCCGCCCCAAAAGTTTCAAGTCAGTCTTTAGGACAGAATCGGAGGGGTCAGGCAAATTGCTCCATAGTTTTAGCGAGAAGAGACAGAAACATCCTCAGCCCCTATATTGGACTTGCTTTGACAGCTGGTGAACTCTTCCAAGTTCCAACTGTTTCCAGATTCGATTCGCCAGCAAACTGAATGATGACTGCCTGGTGCTTTGATACTTCCAACAGATCACAATTTACAGATATCGGAGGCATGCCAGGGTTCTGAATGATGCATTGGTGTGAGGACTTCTATGATGCGATGAAGTACAATGCGAATCGGAGGCGCAAGAGATTTCATGGGGGACAATGCTGGCCGACTGGGGTTTTCCAGCATTCATAGAACATGTCAGAGCCCTGCGGCGCAAGCGACTAGATCCCTCTAAGCTTTGCCCGGCCGCATATGTCCTAGAGGTCAGTCTAGATGCAAACTCAAAAAATGCTGTAATGATTTTACTTCAGCCAGGATTAACGATGATGCAGGGAATGTTTGATCATTGGCTGCAAGTCTCGATGCTGTCCTCGTCAAAGTGGTCACTGTCATTTGAAAAGACATCATCCTTAGCCTCCAAATGCTTTGTGACTTTGAGCCAGGATGGTGGGAAATAGTTCTAGCGGCTTCTTGTTTTTGAATTTGGCACAATCTATATAATAAATACGTATTACTAAATATGTTATACACACTACATAGAATACAATCAATTAGCATATAATAATTTACATATGTATATATATATATACATATTGATTATATCAGTCATCATATACATATTAATGTTACATAACATGTATATCACTCAAAGACTAACCCCTGCAACTTTGCCAGTCCTGCTTGACTCATTGACCGGGCTCCATGGTTCATTGAGGATGCGCTTCTCCAACTACTACGCTACGGCTGCCCGGCTTTAGAAGCTGGTTGTTGGGCCTAAAGAGTGATGGGTGATTGATGGTGATTGCCAGCCATTAAAAGCTATTCAAATCCGATAACTAGGTACAGATACAACTTCATACAGTACAACCCATGCACAACCCAAAAGCACAATCGCCAACCATATTGCGTAAGCTTATGATAGCTGATGTATGGGCCCAGCCCCAAAACTCACGAAAACTATACCACCACGGTTAAGTGATCAACATCTGCCATAGGTCGATTTTGACCGACCTCTCGGGGCTCAAAAAATGGCCATGGCTTGCATCAATTCGTGCGGTCTCAGGTGGCGAAGGATGACTTGACCTATTGGGTCCATCGCTCCGTGCCATGGTTCTGCGGCTTCCGAGCCTGGGCCGCTACCAGCGCTGCCTGGGGTCGCCGAAACATCACGGCATCGCTCGTTTTGGATGACAATCTTAGTCTGACTAGGGGGTATAGTCGGGATATCTATATTATTATTATTATTAGTATTAGTATTATTATTATTATATATATATACATAGACATACAATTACCACTTGGTACAGGATGGACTTGGTACAGGATCGAGAGGGAAGGACTGATGCAGGCTGCGAACCAGAGGATTTGGACAGTTTTTCCATGAACAGTGGCTGATTGGCTGCTTGATTTGAAGATTTTTTGGGCTTCCAGTTGATTCCATGGGACATCTGAGGACTGCTGCTGATTTGGTGTCCGTTTGATCTCGCATACCTTTTGCGGATCGTCTTCAGCTTCTTTGGTAGCTGGTTTGCAAATGGCTGACGATGGTCCGATGGGCCAATTTTGGAGTCTTTTGAAAGGAACTTACTGGTGCTTAGTAGGGAATGAGGGAATGATCCACAATAACTATGAATAATAATCCCATTCCCCCATTCCCATCCATTCCTTACTAAGCACCAGTAAGGGAATGTTGCTGAATTGGAACTTATATCCACTTTTACCCACAGAAAAAAAACGGAGAACCAAGTATACTTCAACAATAAGATTGGAACGGACCGCCATGAACAACTGCAACTGCGCCTTTTGAGTTGCGGATTTTCACATGCTAACAGCGGAGGTATGGGCAAAGCTATACGGCAACACGAACTCTGGTTCAGACACGCAGAGCCTTGGCCGACTGAATACATCGTTGCCAAAGGATACACCATGTGTACAACAGCAAAATCAGAGCGAAATCTGGATTGACATGACTTAAACTTTGGATATCTCCCAGCAAAGTCCTTCTGAGGGTCACAGGCCAGGTTGAAGGGAAGCACACCTAGTCACTGCACTGGCAGGTGTCTAATATGATCTTCAGTGACGCGTTCAGCCCCTTAGCTGCCTTCAGCATGGGGTCTTTCTTGGATAGTTACCACAGTTCATGGCCCTTTCAAGAGCTGGGAAAATGAGGAACCATGGATTTCTTGGGGTCAGAATTTTTCAAAGACGAAGCTGTAGTGATATCTATATATTTGGGTGTGGGGCAGACATTGATTTGACGCAATGTTTTGAAGACAGCTGCAGTGTGTAGATCAGAATTCATCAAACCTAGATGACAATCGATTGGATTCTTGGATCCCAAAGATGCCAAAGTTTGCAGCTGGTCGAATCCCAAAACGCAAAGCGCTCCGTTTTCGCGCAGAAAAAAGCGTTGGTTGGGTTGGTAAAAAATATAATATTCCGTTCTATCCCACTCTTATCTCCACTATTGTCCCATTATCCATCCTTACCTCCACTATTATCCCCATGAAATGACTATTATCCCACTATTATCCCACTAGTATCTCACTATCTATCCCCAGCATTATCTCCATCCTTATCTTACTTTGACTCCAGGTCTAAGCTTTCTGCAGAACTTCAACTCGCTGACGCTGGAGATACTTGCGCTGCTCCCTTTCGGAGTAGGAGATGGAGTACCTGGGCGCATGGTGCGAGGGCGCACCAGAGGGATGGATTTGGATGCTATATTCGGATATATATTGTATTATATTTGTATTATATTATATTTTATTTATTTATATTATATTTATATTCATATTATATTATATTCTATTTGTATTATATTATTTTATTTATATTATATTTTATTTATATTAAATCATATTTGTATTATATTATATTATATTTATATTATATTATATTTATATTATATTATATTTATATTCTATTATACTATATTATATTTATATTTATATTATATTATATTTATATTTATATTACATTATATTTATATTTATATTATATTATATTTATTATATTATATTTGTATTATATTATATTAATATTATATTAATATTATATATTATATTTGTATTATATTATATTTTTATTATATTATATTATATTATATTTATATTATACTGTATTTATATTATATTATATTATATTATATACATTCGGCACAAAAAATCAACAGGGATGGTTTACACAAAACCTCAAGTCGTCTGTGATCGGCACCGCAAGATTTCATGCTTCACCATCCCAAAAGACATGGGTCAATAACAGTTGTTCCAGGTGAAGAGTTTGATTCTCTCCATCCTCTTGGGCATTTTGGCGGTGATTGGTGTCTTCATCGCCTTGGTCCATCGCATTGTGACGGAAAACCGGGAGTACACTGCCAAGTGGGGCGATGGTGAGGGTGCCGAGACGGTGGGCAGCTGTGCTCTTGACAGCTGCCCCTGCGCATCCATCCAGTTCTTTGAGCGGAAATGAAGAGCGTTTCCGAAACGTTTCAGATGCCGAGTGGTAGCATAAAGGTCCTGATCACTTGTTATAGGGGTTGATGATGGTTGATGATGGTTGATGCGGTTTGTGTCATTTCTTTTCCGTTGGCGTGACCATCTATTTCAGGGGGCGCCAGCTCTTAGATATTTCCCACATTTTCCAAACGCAGAAGGCCTTCCTTCTGAGAACATCCCTCATCACCACACCGTTTCTTCCCAAAGTTCACTTCCAAATTTCCCGGAGTCTTCCAGGTCTGGTTTTCTCTTCGTTTCAACGGAGAATAAAACTCAATCCTGGGATGCCTTAAACAAAACTTTCAGTGGTTGATGTTGGGGCCCATCTTTTTAATGAAACTTCTCGAGGTCTGGTAACTTCTTTTATCAATCTGAAGGCAAAACATGGCAATGTTCCATGTTACATCTGACAGGCTGGTTCCATCTCTGAACCATGCGCATCCTCAGGCACTCCCTTGTGGCTGTAAATGGGTTTCCTAAAATGGTGGTACTCAAACTGGATTCATGGAACATCCCCAAAACATGGATGACAACTGGGAGTGCCCCAATGACTTAGGAAAGCTCCATGCCTGATCTTCTGCAGATCATGATTGGACGGTGTGACTCATTGGCCTTGACATTTAAATGGCCATACTATGGTTTGCCAATATGCGGTATATCATCATTTGATATCATTTGTATATCCTGAATCCACTGGTTTATTGCCACCGTTCCAAGCTTTGCTGTTTTCAGGTTCGGCTGCAGGATTGCATCACTGGGTCCTTTAGGACGTTTCCTCTGCAGTGACAACGTTTCCAGGTGAACTCTGCAACTGCCAATGTCTCCAGTTCAGTTGAAATAAAAGCTGTGTGCAGCAGGGCTTCCAGAGGGTGTCAGTTGGTTCCAGTGACCAGTCCTTCTTGGGTGAACTCCATGGTAGATCCCCAGTGACGTAGAGAACTGTGTTGCCTTTTCGGAGGGATCAGAGGGAGTGGACCACCAGGATTTTTTTTCACCATTGGGGAATCCGGGAAGGCTTTTTTTACGGAACCCAAACCCAGGTGCATTCTGAAAGATTGCTTGCATAGGCTGCAACAGCCTGGTAGATGCTTCAGGAACAAGCCCAAGTTACATGCAAAGATGTCCTTGTTCACTGTGGTTGGTTCGTGCAAAAACAAAGCGCTACTCTTTTCCTAGTTTTTCAAAGCCCATCCCCAAAGTGTGTGATGTTCAAAACTTGGGCAAATTGCCCGTATTACTTGTAGGGGATGGTCATACCACCACTAAACATGGGATTGAATGGTGATTTAACAATCAAAAATGGTGCTTTAATGGGACTTAACATGACTTAAGTGTCAAACAACTGTGATTTAATAACTAATAAGGATGACCATCCCCAATTCATCCCTTGCCACTTGACTGTCTCCCATGGCAGGTGTGGCGAGCCGCTGGCAGCAGTGAGTTGTTGTATCGGCACTTCAGGAAGTCCCTTTTGGGTCAGGAATTTCCGGTACTTTCAGGATGTACATCCCAAGTAGCTGGGTAACTAGGAACAACCATGGAAAAAAAGAACATGTCAAGCCAGTGATACATGGGTTATGAGCCACGAGTCCTGGGTCCAACACATCCAAGTACTGATCCGCACTGTACAAATCCTTTCCGTGGCAGAGCCTGAACCGTGGACCCATCGATGGTTGGTTGTTTCTAGCATTGGGGGTCCAATTTTTGTGGGCTAAGGCCCATAGCCATGTACTTTATGTGTAATACTTCAGGAGGAACAAAGTTCATGCTTCTTGAAAGCTTTACCTAGATCGTGCTTTTTGGTGCTCTCCTTCGTGCCAAAAATCGTGCTCTAGATCGTGCTCGCTGTTGCAGCTTCTAGGCTTGTCTCAACCCATATCCTTCTACCTAGCTGCGGGGCAAGTCATATACTGCAAAACAGATTGCGCAACTCTGAGAATGGTGGGGGCAGTGAAACGCACCATGCCACCAAGAAACACGACCTGCATTTGCATTTGGGTTTCAGTTTGACCGTTTGCCAAATTATGGCCCAGTGATTTTTAACGATTTTAACGTACTTGAAGTTTTGCCTTGAACGTTTCACCATCTTTTTTCACCCGAATGTGACTTGGCTACCCCGGCCCAAAGATGGCAATTGCTTCTACCCATCAAGTTTCAACTGCAGAGAAAACATCGCACGCTCGACTGGTGGTGGCGCCTTGTTGGAGTTGTTTGTTTGAAACGTTCGAAAATGAACAAAGGACAATGGATACGTCAACTGGTGGCTGGGGCTGGACAAACTGTTTCTAGATTTTGGATGCTTTTGTGGACTGGGGGTGTTACGCCGGTGCCCATCAGAACATGTTAAAACCACACCTCACACAGAACCCAGCTGTGAAGACCGGTGTACTGTTTGGTTCACAGCGGCCATTGATCTTCAACGGGCGGCCGGTTCGGGCAGCACATTGGGGCCTCCGTGCCCTTCGCTGGGCCCGCTACTGGGGCGCAGCGGAACCGCGGCTTTGCCAAGTCTTTAAAAAACTCAATGATATGTCGACCCACGAGTTGTTCAGAAAATGGGGGTGCCACTTGTTTGGGGCAAACCCCTGACTTGCATGTGGATGATGCTGCTGGATTCCCATGGCATGTTTGGTTGGAAATGGCATGAAATGGTCATAATTGACATAGTAGACTGTGTCAAATCATAAGTTTTGCGGTCACGCGATGCGTCGCAATGTGATGTACCGTCTCTTAGGAAGCTATGCCAGCTTTGCGCGTGACCTGCAGGGTAACACCAGGTGCGCAGGGATGACTCTTCATATGGCTTAACATAGACCCTGCCATGAATTGGGGGTTGGAAACTTCATTTCCACTATAATGTCGGCTAATATTTTCTCAGTGTCTACGGTGGTGGAGGGTAACACCCGTTTGCGTTATTTTACACATGTTTGGTCAGCATGATCATTGAGGATCACTGAGGGTAATTACTGGGAAGATTTGCTTGCCCGGTCTCGCCAAAATGATCAAAATGGTTGCTGTAAGTCATTGATATCCCGCAACTCCGCAACTGAACAAAAACACATGAAAACACAGTTCGTGATTGGTTTCTCCGTGTTTGCAAGTTGCAGCTGTGAAGGTAAGTTGTAGTCCATGCAGTGTGTTTGGGAGCGTCGCACCAGGTTACCAGCAGAAATGTATCCATGTTTATTTGGCCTTTTGCAGCGGGCGCTGGAGATCTAAATGTAACATTTTGTGGGCCCACCCGAGAATCAGGGTGCAAACTTTGAGGCAAAGGCCAGACCCAGACGCAGACAGTTTATGAGATTTTGAGATTCATTGATTTCGTTGATTTTCTTGTTTTTTTCCACCATTGTGCAGACCTTGTTTGTTTTGCCAGCCCGTTGTTAGGCAGCAGCAATGCCTGACCAAGATGGTAACCTCAACAGGTGCTGGGTGGGGGGTGCACATGTTCGCACCAAATATCCCCTCAAATGGGAGTATGGAAGTTTCCTATAAAATCATAGGTTTCAATATAATACTAAAATGGTCTAATGACTTGGATGGACTGGGGGCACCCGTAAATTTAGGAAACCTCCATATAAACGTCCGTCACGCGATAGAAGATAAAATCAATTAAGATCTTGTATAGCAGCGAACTACTTTTCTAGTTTTAGGGGTTTACTCTAGGGTGAACATCCCAAACCAAGGGTGCCCATGGGTGCCCGTGTCTGACCCAGGACCCAATCTGCAGGGGTGGCGCCAGGCATTTGTACGCGCAAACTCACCAGCACGGCCGCGACGACCGGCATCACCACCACCACCGCCACCATCACCAGCACTCTGACCGACACCACGATCACGCTAAGGTGCTGCGGAATGTGCGAACCGGAGTTGTTGTGGTTGTTGTTGTTGTTGTTGTGGTTGTGGTGGTGGTCGTCGTTGTTGAGACAGACGTGGCAAGAACATGTGTATATACTTTGCTGGGAATTCTGAATGAACTTTGTTGAGCTTCAAAGCTTCAAAAACGTTTCACGTCCCCCCGATAGCCTCATTTTTAAAAACCTTTCGCCAGTCTGTGTTCAATCTTGGCTTGGATCACACGGAACTTTTTTGGGCAAACGATTCACGCCCCAGAATCCCAAATTGGTTGGAGGGAAAAAATCCAGTTAAATTCCTAGGATTGATCTTCAAAGCATTCCAAAAATCCAAGGGAGTTCCTGTAAAGGATAAACATCTTACTGAAAGGGTGGAAAAAGGAGCCCCCAGAAAGGATTAAACAACTAAGATTTTCCTGAAATGGAAGGGCAAATCATATATAATCATATATATATATATAATATACATATTACTTTTCTATCTTTGGGGGGGCTACTTGTACTATACAAGGTGGTGCCCCCCAGTTATAAGTTGGTTTATAGTGGTTTATAACCCCCATGACTGTAGTATATATATATAATATACATATATCTACCATCAACCATAGCTAACCTTGTATTAACTATAGATATATCTACCATAAACCATAGTTAACATATGTTAAGCTTGCATGAACTATAGATATACCTACCATAAACCATAGTTAACCTATGCTCACCTTGTATTGACTATAGATATATTTACCATAGTCCATGGTTAACCTATGTTAATCTTGTAGTAACTATAGATATATCTACCATAAACCATAGTTAACCTATGTTCACCTTGTATTAACTATAGATATATCTACCATAGTCCATGGTTAACCTATGTTAACCTTGTAGTAACTATAGATATATCTACCATAAACCATCATGAACCTTGTATAAATTAGGAAACCTAGGGATCACCTGATCACCTCCCATGTGCCAGGTCCAATGTCCACCTGATCCGTTTCTTGCCGAAGAAATTGGGCGTTTTTTTCTCCCTCTCTCTCGATATTGTGGTATATATATATGTATATATCCATTGTGGTACGTATTGCTCGTATGATTGTGAAATTTATGGGTATAATATCTTTTATGTTGCTATATATACTTTGGATATGTTGATATTATAGATTTTAATTTGATATTTTCTGTATAAACTGAGTTACTGTGCTAGGCCCGATAGAGCAGTCTTCAAAACTACAGTTGGTTGATGATTAGTTTGGGGGTTATACCAATATATTGGGAATTATCATCATCCATTCTGTGAATCCGTTTTAGCCAACCTTGTATGGTTGAATTACAGAGGGTTTTGAACACTGCTCAATCAATAGGTTATAGCTGGGATTGGAAACCAGCTCCAAATGGTAGTTGTTTATGGCAGCCAGGGTGCCCTACCACGGCTACGACCTGACCTACCAAACTATGGCCTGGTTTGTTTACGAAATGGATGGGGTCTTCGCCTGTTTCATCATGGCGATTTCGATTGGTTTTAAACACTGATGCTGACAGCGCTGGATTGATGAGCTAGGGCCTCCGTTTCTGAGCAGCCGTCAAATAATTAGACCCTTTTTTGGGGGGTTCCTAAGTCATGGGGGATGCCCAAGTCACCCTTGGTTTTAATACGCAGTCAGAGTCAGAGTCTAATGACTTGGATGATTTGGGGGTACCCCCATGACTTAGGAACCCTCATATCAATATCAATATATATATATATATACACCCACAAATATACTAATAAATATCCCAGTTTCTCCGTTTACCCACCCGCTACATCCTACGGAGGTCACATGAGCCATCCATGACTTGCATGGCAATGCCGGATGGTGATCCCTAGAACTGATGGAAAAATTGCAGAAAACCATCACATTTTTGGGGGGACAGTTATGGATTTGTGTCGATTTTCTCATCATGATGTTAGCTAGTGGTTCACCACTGAAAATTGGGATTGCACGTGGGATACTAAAATTCACAGGATCCATGTGGGCTTCTTGGAATTGGAGGATCCAAAGCCACGACAACGCTAATCAGTATAAGCGGTCACATCGGTATTAAATCCATAGAGATAAATGTCCAAAAACCAAAATGGAGATTTTCCAGATATATTCAACCACCATTCAATAAATGGTAAACTGGATATTGATCTTCATGGTGAGATTCCAGCCATTCCATCATACTCCATCAATCTATGGAGGGTAGACAAATTAAGACCAAAGATTGATGGAATGGACAATACTCCCACATGCATAGATTAGACTGATGGGTCAACAATCATTCCATACACCATCTTTTTCCAATGAATCTTTATGGACAAAGATGGTACATCCATTGCTGAGGTTCCCGGAGGACGTCACCGCACCGCCCAAAGATGTGTCTCATGGCGTTTGTTCTTGGCGATGAATATTTTTTTTTTTCGTGGAGAAAAAACTGTTGTGGGAAATGTTCAACAACGGTTTTGACATTTGAACCTTTGAAAATTGTGGGAAAAACCCATGAACAACACCTAAATTGATGGGAAATTATACATGGAAACAACATGAAACAACTAAATTTCATGTGAAATTATGGAACACCCTTAGATTTGATGATTGAGAAATGTTGAACACCTCATTCTTCCCATGATCATTCAAATTATGCATGTGGATATACCAAGAAGAATTAAAGTGATTTAGCCAACAGAAGTGGGAATTGAACCAACAAGAAGGGGATGGTGCCCTCTGTCATTTTTTACATCGATGACACTAAAACCACCATTCATGGGGAGAAATGCGGTTGCATATCCCTTGCTGTGTTCGGTAGTTGATATGATTTGATTGGGGCGACTTTCGCACTTGCCAGGACTCTGCAGACTCACTATGTGTTTAAGATTATTCAAGTACATACGCTGCATGTGCCCTGATTGAATGTTGCGTCTGTTACGAATTATATACCTAGACCCTCATGTATGAAATAAAGATGGAAGTTGCTCGAACATGTTGGCTCTTCTATATGCCCATTCTCATTGGTACTTTGAAGGTCTAGGTACATGACTAGTGTCGCCACCATCTCGCCACTTTTGGTTTTGGTATCCATCATATCCGGGGCAAGCCTTGGTTAGGCATGTCAACAATGCAGTTTCATTTTGCCTAAAACACGAGGGGACATGCATAGTATATATATATACATATACAAGATACATACTACCCAGGGAAGCTTTCTGTCTTGCGCATCTGACATGTTTCCCATATTTCCCTTTCCCCTCACATGTCAAAGACATGACAAACATGGCAACATATTGAAGCATTATCAATTCTTAACCATTGTTTCATATTGTGGCGCTGTTATTAGCCTTCATGAACAATTATTACAAGGTGCCTGCCCCAGCCATAAGTTGATTTACAACCACCACGAAGTATACATGATGGTTAATCTAAAGGTCCTTGTAAGGAGTTTTAATTGCGAAAGCCGTGCATGTTATGTTGGAGACCCTCGCGAAAGTTTTTTTTCGAGTTCGCGAAAGTAAAATTTTATTTCGCGAAAGTTTCGCGAAAGTTGGGTATTATAATCATTATATGTAAAGGGCTGCCACCCACTGCCGCCCGGGGTCCGGCAGGAGAAGGGCACCAGAGAATGCGAGTAGCAGTAGCCAAGTTTCCAAAAGTGAGGCTTTGCGAGAGCCAAACACCAAGGCCCCTGGTCTTCGCTTTTCCTTCAGTGCACCTGCTGATGGCCGGGGTCTGTGAATAGGGATATTTTCGCGAAAGTTCCGCGAAAGTTATGCGAAAGAGCGGGCGAAAGTCAAAGTGCATGTTGAAGGGGGTGGGCCAGTAAACTTTGCAAAAAAAAATCTGTCCTGAGAAGGGATTCCGTGATGCTAGCTGCATGTTTAAAAGGCTACCAAGAAGTGATCCGTGATTCTCTGGCGTAATTTGGCAGGCGGTGAACGAATCTTCATAAGAGGGGTTGTTGGCCAACATGGGCCCCGCGAAAGATAAACATGGAGTTCGCGAAAGTTTCGCGAAAGTAAAATTTTTATTCGCGAAGAATGGCCGTTCCGGGATAAAGGAATTTTGATCAACAACCACGTATATCTACCATACACATCCATAAACCCTAGTTATAGTTGTAAACCACCTCAGATACCTCGGGGGCACCACCTTGTTATTCTCTATGCTATTAAGTATTATTAACTATCATTTCACTATTATTGATGATATTGAGGTTCCTAAAATTGGGGTACCTCCAAATCATCCAAATCATCCAAAATTAATCCACTTTCGTATTGAAACCGATGGTTTTGTTGATCTCCCACTTAAAAAAAACACCCATATTTGATGATCATTGAATTGCTGATTCACCATTTTACATCTATTATCCACTTAACATCTATTAACATCTATTCACATCCATTAAGTCTATCTATTGTCTAATTATTCACATCTATTAACACTAAGTGTCACTAACAATTTTCAGCCTAGATGATGAGTTTCTGGGCCGATACTGTCCTGTCCCTTCGGCCGAGGTCTGACACCAGCCCGAAGCCACCCTCCAGGCTACCATCGAATTTGTCCTGTGGCTCTCGGGAGGCCGATTGGAACTGGTGTCCAGGCCTGGCCGTTTCAACGGGCTGTGGCGAAACGGGGAGCTCCAAACACCAAAAACCACCGGAGAAATCCAAAAAACAGGCTGAATTTTCATGCTTAACATGTTTTGAAATGGCGAAATCTTGGAAAATCATAGGGTATAACTAACATGAACTAACCCTTTTGAAAAGGTCGTGTCCCATTGTGTGCATGACAAAGATGTGTTCATGTGATTCGCACATGCGCAGGTCGACTTCAGATCATTTCCCAGGGCGATCCGCAGAAAAGAGACGCTTGGATCAGCTATGGGTTTGTCCAGAGAAATGGGGTTAGTTTCCATAGTCATGGGGTTACTCCCTGTCAATGGATGGTTTACTTCGACTAAAATTTGGATGATTTAGAGATACCCCATGACTTAGGAAACCACCAAATCAAGGTCTGCCCCCAATTTTCAGGCAGGGGATTGAGGGTTTCTCGCATCATTTTGGCCAAGGGTTTAACGTGCAGTGCCATGCAGAATGCATTTCCTCAAGCAGTGGTTTCCCAGTTTCCGGCACTGCAATGTTTTGGATTTGGCCTCCAGGTATTTTGGCAGGATACGTCGTGGTTAGGTCTGAACCTGAACTACCACTATCTCTACCCAGGATGATTTCAGGCCTTCGAATCACTTGGAGCTCCATGTCTGTCAGAAGAAACGTGGCTTTCGCTTTGTAATTGTAAGAGCTTGACTTGAGTTTCACACACATGTTCTGGGGATGGATCGATCAACACCTGTTTTACCATATCCATATTTCTTTTGGGGGCATTTTTGGTTCATAGTATTTCATAGTTCCAAGCGATTCTGGTGTGGTTGCTTCACAGCAAATTCACCCAGATTTCTGAGGAACTGGCCATCATTTGCCTCCGTGGAAAGGAGCAAAAGGCCATAAAATTCTGGCCGATCCCGCGAAGCAGTTGGGATGCCAGTGTTTCCATATACATATATAATCATATTATACATATTATACTATATGTGTTTATAGAATCAAATATACATAGTAAAGAAGACTACATATATAGAACTCTATAATACTATGTCTCTCTCTCTCTATATATATATATGTATTATAATATATTAATGTATATATATATACAATTCATACATGGTATTGGGATTAAGTGTCAGATTCAGCATTTGATTCTGACCGACTGCCTCAGCTCGCCCACTTTGCAGCTCATCACTCAGCTCGCCAGGTTTGCAGACGCTCGTTGTTCATTTTCTCACTGAACAGCTGCTTCCGGCGACATGCCCGGCTCCCCTGTGGGAGCCAGCTTGGATAGGGATCGTATTGCAGTTGGGATAGTTTTCGGATCTTATTTTCGAAGATTTGTTGGAGAAGTCAAATCTCTTTTCCATCGATTTGTCAGCACTTCTTGTGTGCAAAATGTGGGGAATTCTTGGCTCTGCTTTACAACTTGACCTCTAGACTCCAGACTGTAGGGCGTTCTTCTTCGATGTGCTGCCACTCTGGGCCGCCATAGCCATGGGTTAGTTCTCATGTAGGATCCTGTGCTCACCCATATTGTCCCTGTCTTCCATACCAGTGTATGATTTGCAAATTTTGCCTGCGGAGCTCTTTTCATAGACGGAGAGATGTATCAAATCAGTTCCAGACGGCATTTTTCATGGCTATGGGACAATCCACCAGAGTCCTGATTTTTCAAATCCTCTGAGGATATCCCATGTGCAACTTGGTTCTCTGATGGTTACATATTCACATTTACAGTCAACCAATCAACGTTTATCAACCACGTAACCCATCTGTGAAAAAAACACGTCCGGTGGTAGCTTTCGGCAGGTCATTGAGTTGGTGAACTGGTTCCTCTTCGACAAGCCTTTGCCTCAGAGACTTCTCTGCGGCTCTGCGAGGCACTTGCGATGCTTACAGGATGAGATTTGCCAGCAACTCTCGTGGTGTGCAGTGTGCTTCAACTGTTCAACTGCAAAGCGGCACAGTATATTTTATTTGTTGTGCTCAAGCATCACCTGAAATGTTTTGAAATGGTGGCACTCTGACCTTGAAAATTAATTATCACAGATTCACAACTTCTAACGATAATGGTTTTCATGAATGATGATTACTCCTTTGGCCTAAATCTGTGATCAGACATCACCCTGTATTTTCTGGCTGAAGGTTCGATGGAAGCAAGTCAGTGATTGGAAGTGGTTCGGAATACATCACTACAATCAGATCCAAACCGCCAGTATGTCACGCTGGCCATTGGCTTGCAGATACTATAGTTTGCAAAAGATCCTAGCATTTTGCTTGCGGTAGGTCCACATGAAGTATATGAGAGAATCGCTTGTTTGCAGCTGGCTCTTCAGCTATTCTAAATTAGGTTATTTCGTGGTTTGTTCAATAAGGAGCCATACAGTCTTGTGTGATCACTCACGTGGGAGGCTTCTCTACTTAGCAGAGTTTTCACAGTTGTATTGAACCACGTATTTCTTCAGCTTCGTCAAGGGAAGCGGTGCGATTCAGGTTTATCCTGTCCCTCATCATCTTCAATTCTCTATGTTTGGCGTCCTATGACTACCGCAGTGAATCTGACTCAGGCCTTCCGTTTGGTCAGTTTGATCCGAATATGCTTCGCAGCGACATCATTATTTTTTTTACAAGTAGTGCAAACTGCTGGGTAAACTTAGGTACTTTTTTTTTTATTTAGGTACTTGGCAGCAAAAGGGGTTGAACATGGTTGAACCGGGTCTGTCAAATTGATCAGGAAATGGTGAAGTGCTTTTTTTTTCTCCCCCACCTGTCAGGTAGGTGAGGGTCTCTAGATTTTAACAAGACTCTCCTAATAAGTCAAGTATTCTTTTTGTGCAGCTCCAGCAGAACTGAATGTGGACAGGCCTTCAATATCTTGGACTCTGAGACGTATCATCTATTTGTTCGTCCCATTACCCAATAAACATCAATAAACCACCATTAGGGATGGGTTATTATTGCTGTTCAGTGACAATCTTTGTCCATCCAATAGTCCAGTGATGTGAAACATCATTTCCGAGATCCCCCCCCATTAATTGGATCAACGCATGTCCATGAGTCACTGGCAAAATCACACGTTTTGATGGTTACATCCGGATCTGAACTGCTGCTGTCCCTGATTTTAATAGGAACATCCTCAATCGAAATATGAATATATCTCTGGTGGATTTTTGAAGATTCATTTCCATTTTTACAAGAAATTCCATCCAGAAACTCCATAAATCAGCCATTTTTTCCCATCATTTTCCCGAAAAACGTCCCATAAAAAGCTCCGTTTTTCCCAGAAACGCCAGGCTTCAATTGGATCTCGGACAACGTCTTTGATCCGATCCTCACATGTTTTTTGGACGAAAAACCACCAACTCCAAGGGACAGGATTCAACCAAGCAAAATGGCGATTTCACTGAGGAAAACCAAGGAAAAATGGTGGTTTTTAGCGGGAGATCATGGGGATCTCATGAGATTTCGCCGAACATCTGTGAGCCACGAAAGGTATTATGCATATATTATGCATATATATATATATATATACACCCCTTGCTATCCCCTGTTGATTTATATATAGATTGGAAACTGCCTGTTTTATCGGCTGTCATTCCCATCGAAGGGATACCTAATCCGATGAACCAAGCAGAATGGGATGGGATAGGGAAATTTTTGACTCACATGGAATATCAGAAGGAATACATTGACAGATGGAAACAGATGGCCAAGAACATTGTGGAATAACGGTGAATAACGTTCAAAGAAGAAAGCAAAAAACGCCAAAAACATCTAGCAGTTTAGTCTACGCGCCACTCTGGAGATATGTTTCGTTTGGATTCCAGGCACCAGGCTTTCAAATTCAGTCGACACTTGGCCCAAGCTGTTCTTGCTTCTCAGAGAAACACCTGGCCAAGGGGCCGCTATTCAAGATTCAAAGTTGGGAGATGCCCATCTGCAAAATTTCCGGATATTGGAGGTTTCAATCTGTTTTTATGTATTTTTTTGGTCATTCCTATTGCATGAAGCTTAGCAAAGTTGTCAAACACCACCGGTATCAGCGCTCTTTGGCCAACGAAATTCTGGGCTGATGACCTCTTAGCCATCGCGGAGACTTCGCTGAGGTTTCTTTACTCTGGAGTTTGTCCTGAAGGTGCGACTGGACTGATACTTCTGTTGGACTTTGGTGCTCCTTACGGGGTCATCGACTTTGGGCTTATTTTGTTCAATACCACCGGAAGTGGATGTCATGTATTGATGTTGATTCAGCTACTCACTTTGAGTCGTATTGATTCCCAACTGGACTCAAAGCAAACCAATGGTTTGAACAGCAGGCTCGCGGTTTTCTCGCACAGAAACTGTATCCAGATGGTACCAGATGTTCGAATACAGAATTTCTCCAGCGATGTGAGGATGGGGTAATGTAGTTATCTTGGATCTTATTGGAAATTGTTGGGCCAGTCTTGGGGAGACGAAGATCCATTTACGTTCACTTGGCATCATGTTATATGTTTGCCCATTTTGGGATGAATCCAATCCATCCACGCTATTTTGGTGCTAAAATCCCTGGGTTTTGACCCCCCCAAAAACACCCCAGTCGCCATGATGGAGGTCATTGCCTTTGGCTTTGTCTTGGATGAAACCTCCTATCTTCGAGATGTTGGGCTGCCCGGTTGCTGCCTTTTCTTGCGGCAGGAATTCCTTCCGAGCACCTGGGATAGTGGTTGGCGGCTTCAAGTGAACCACCGAGTACAGTATACAGGATCCTTTAGGAGCGCAAGAGGTTGCATGCGGCTGATCATGATGAAGAATCCACGTGCATTCCCCTCAGCACAGACAAACGTGAATAACTACTCGTACCTTTGACCAGGCTCTCTAGTCTCCGACATGCTGTGAGGCATGGAATTGGTTGGACTTCATCGTGGTTGTCACTGGTATTCTTCAAATGACGAACGCCCGATCCCAAGTTCTTGATGCTGCAGCCTGCTCCTGTTTGCAGCTGGTAAGTCCGCCATTGGTTTTAGTATATATATAAGATTATTAGATATTATTAGTAAGAGCAATCGTGCATAATGAAGTCATACTACGTTACTAGGTTGCATCGCATGTCTTGCAGTAGTGATACTATGTGATACTCAGTAGTGAAATCAACAGCATACAGTGTATACATACAAATCATACAAACATGTATGATTGTATGATTGTATATACTATATAACTATGCAACGATGGTATAAATTAATATACATGTAATTATATATATAGGTATTAAATTGTGTATGTATAATATAGCTACATGTATACATAGTGCATAGTGTAAACGTATGATGTACACAGCTGCTGCTTTGACCTCCAACATCTCTAGGCCATGACGAGTACAGAAGGCGTTGGATTCCTGCGCATGTCTCGGGCCCCAGCATCCCCAATGGAAACTTCGAAACCCCGATGGATTTTGACCCCCAAGAAATGGGGAACCAGCCATGAACAAGTAGGAATTCAACTTTTAAGACATGGATTTAAGTTTCAAAAATGCTGATTTCACCAACAACTGGTTCCATGGGATATTTGCGAGTGTCCACGCCCCAAGTTGTGGCAATTTCAATTGAAACATGTTTTTCTAGAACCACAGTTCTTTTTGGGGCGGGGGGGGAGACAATTTTTGTTTGACACACAGCACAGGTACCGTAAACCAATGTAAAACATAAAGACCTCGTCCAGCTCACAAAAGCAGACTTTGATCATGAATATATATATATACATATATATAATATGTATATACAATTGTAATGGCATAACATTCCATGTCCACTAAGTTGGTGAGTAACTACTAGGATCAGCAATCCATGATGACCCAAAAAGCCTGCACCTCCAATTGGATGGGTTTACATCACCCACCTCACTGTAAGAATGTTAGAGATGGCTTGCTGTCTTGTTTACCCTCTGGTAAACTAACATAACTATGGAAAATCACCATTTTTCATGGGTAAATCCATTATTTCTATGGCCATTTTCAACAGCCATGGTGTGTCTGAAAATGGGGGAATTGGATGAACGGCACCCAGGTTTCGTATCCTGCGACCCTTGCGCTCCCTGAATGCCGTGCCACAGATGAAGGCCTGATCAAGCGGAGTCGTTTCTTTGGGACTGCGAGGCGATGACACATATGATCTACGTATATTTGGTCGCATCATAGATTTGGTTGCATCAACACCCAGCTCCAAGTATATTCTAAGTATAGGCCTAATCTGGCTGACGCTTCCATGAGGATCGTTGAGAATCTTTATCTAGTTCAACCCATGCGAGTTGCAGACAGCACATATTGAAGTGAATCAGGCCGTTTCCTAATTTGAGATTCTTACAGCTGCATCGAAATCAAGGCCTTAAAATCACATTTAGCCCTTAGCCAGGCAAGCAATATTGCAAGGAATTGTTAAATCGTTTTGCAAGCAATTGCATGTTTTCCCTTACAGCATTCGCAAATGAAAGTGTGTTCAGATAGGATTTGAATGGATTTGATAGGTCATAACCACCCATCACCTATCAATCGCCTTGCCAAAATCAAACCGGGCCCCGCAGGTTCTAGTGAACACGGTCTTGAGTTCCGTGCCGCGTCTCGGTGCGCGTCTCAGTGATTCGCAGCATCCATTGTCTCCACACGCAAACTGGAGGTTGGCGTCTGCATCCCCCGAAATGTGGGTGTGTCTGAAAATGTTGTGTACCCCTAAACCCAATGGTTAATGATCATTATCCCTATTAAATGGCTATTTCATTGGGAATATACCCTATTTTCAGACAAACCCATGTACTTTGTACATCTTTGTACGAGCTATAGGTGACATCAAGTCCACGAGGAAAGTTTTTTCACTTTGTTCCGAAGCATCAATCCCATCAGATTGCAAGAATGGATCTTTGTCAGTTGAACTCATATCTTATTGTAATATATTGATATATAACCATATATATATACACATTGTAATTGGGGCTGGAACATATTAGAACTACTGTTTCACTCCGGTTCACTATGATTATGACAGAATTCGTATGACCCACTTCATGCTGAGTTCAGCCACTTCCAAACCAGCCATTCCCAACATTCCCATTTTCGGATGAGTCAAAACTGTCTTGTTTACCCTCTGGCAAACCTACAAAAAACTATGGAACATCGCAAGTTTTGATGGGTAAATCAACTATTTCAAATTTCTATGGCCATTTTCAATAGCAAGCTGTTAGTTTACCAGAGGGTACTTTTTTTTTTGGGATGAACATCTGTGAATTTCAGCTACATTTATTGCTTTAGATGTGAACAGCAGGGTACCGGCTTTGTCACAAGCAAAACCCCCAAGTATGTCACACTATACCACCTTTTTTCTGGGTCGAATTCCCAATTTTGTCTTGCTGTTATCCCAATTGACATCCCAAATTATACCAAGAATAGATTGTCAATTTGAAGATGTAATTGATCCACATTGATTAATGTCAATTTAGAGATGCGCAAGAATCATCAATATCCGCATGAATTCCCAAGATCTTCCCTAATCCCACCCCTTCAGGAAACGTCACGCTGATGGCCGCCTTCCTTTTCGTGAGCTTCGGAATCCTAGGCGACCTCGACCAGGGATGGGGGGGTGGCTACGGAGGAGTGGATGAGTGGGCTGGTAGTACCACACAACTGGGGACTGCAACATGATTTAACCATGAACAATGAGGCTATAATGGGATATGATGAGATATAAATAAGCAACCAAAATGTGGATAACCACAAAAACACAGGGTTGCTTCACTTTATCAGAGGTAAATGATAGCCACAAGGGGGGGAGGGTACCAAAATTATCCACTATTACCTTAGGTGATGGGAGCAACCCTGTAAAATGAGATTTTTTCTCCACATGACAATGGGCATTTAATCCAGGCTCTCATCATTTCAACAATAATCTGATCATCGATGTCATCTGGAAGTTAGACGGTCGATGTCATCATGGGGATTTAACCAATAACCGCAGGCATCTCGCTGTTTGGCGGCGTCTTCTATCGTAGCTCCTCGGCCGGAGACTGTAAAAAAAGTCCTGTGGAAAGGGGAGGAGTATAGCCATTTTTTATGGGGAAAATGATGACGAACCATCAAATTTTGGGTACCCTAATTTCAAACAAGCCCCTTTTTTCGAAGTGACAGACAACATGACATTGGCTACTAAGCTAGCAACTGCCGATTGCCTCTATTTTTCTTGAAATTATCACGAGAATGGAATGTCCAGTGTCCATCAGTATCCTGGAAAAAAGGATATGACAGATATTGAATCACAGCGAACAAATAGAACCATCCAAAAAACCTCTGGAAGTAGTAATTATTACATTTAATATACGTGAAGACGAGTATGTCATGTCTAGTATAAAATATGATATATAGATTTAGATACATCTAATACATTCTAATACATAAATATATGGTAGTATGAGATTATGTCTAATACATAAATATATATGGGGGTTTCCTGACATAGGGCTACCCCCAAATCATCTATGTTAGTAGGATTTTCCCTGAAATAAACCATCCAGCTATTGGGGGTACCCCGGTACCCAGGTTGTCGCAGCATCGCTCAACCGCTGTTGTTGGGTTCCAACGGAACGGAGTGCCTTGGAAATCCATGGGAAATCCATGGGAAATCCGTGGGAAATCCATGGGAAATCCCTGAAAGATATGGAGGTTTCTTGATGACTTTTCATGGGAAAGTTATTAACATCAACTTTGTCAACATTTGGACTAGTCTGCAAATCGTGAATGAAGCAAAAGTGGCATTTTTCATGGGGAAAATGATGATCAACCATGGATTTTAGGGCTACAACTGGTACAACATTTCCGACGAACCAGGTTTTTTTCTCCATTGCCTGACGATTCCTGGAGCCTGGGATGTACATCAAGGTAGATCCCATCATCTCCCAGTGGGGTGAAAATCACAACAGTCGCAGTTGCGAACGATCCAGGGGACCACAGCATAAAAAAACCCAGCGAACCATCCCAAGTCCACATCAAGTCCACATATACCATTATAATCCATTATATATATATATATATAACTTAATATAGCTTAATAACTTAATAAATCACCATTAAATCCATCTTATGATCATTAAATTCCTGTAAACTACCATTAAATCCACATAAATCACCAGTGAATCCACACAGCATCATGGCCCTACACCATAAATCACTACCCTTTCTGAGTCAGGTGTTGGTCTTGGCCCTACACCGGGGAGGAGAGACTTTGTGGCGGACGCTATCTCTGTGAGGCGCGGATCCGCAGCGATTTCACCCAGAAACATGGGGGTTTCACCAGAAAAAATGGTGGTATTCATGGGATATTCACCTGGATACAGCGGGATGAACCAGCTGAAAATGGGACTATGACAAAATGATGAAACATGGGTCTTAAACCCAACTGCTTCGTGTGAATATTTGGGGAAGCCACAAATCCCATATGGTTTTTGAAACTTTTTCATCGGTTTGCCATACAAATTGAGAATAAACTCGGGGTAACAAGAGCAGATGGAGTCACTTTTCCAGGGTGGCCTTCGACGGCAATTTTTTTTTGGTTTGCTATGTGGACTTACCCTGCCTTAATTTGACTTAGCTATGGAGAATCACAACTGAATCACAACTTCTAATAGATAACTCATCTAGAAATGTTAAGTTACGAGAAGGATCCAGAAGGATCCAGAAGGTATATTGTACAATATTGTACAGTGTGCTGGTTGACGGAACGAATTGTACGTGATTTGCAGCTTGCTTGGGGCAAGAGATGAGGGGGAATTCTTGATGAAGAAGGGTGAAGTGAAGTTGTATCTGGATATAATTTAAGGTTCGCACGGTGTTAAGGCGGCTGCTAGTTCCATGGCTTGTTGGGTACCTCTTTCAATCTGTTTGGACATGTTGATGGAGGACTAATTGGACTCTTCCAAATCCAACAAAAAACATATCTCAAAACAATGACAATCTAGGAGTATAAGTACTGTAGCCATCTTTCCAGATCAGGACCTACTGTGCACTTTCCGCGCAACGCATCCTTTGGGATGCCGTTCGTGTCCGTAGGACAGTCCTCTTGGGCAGAAAGGGCATTGTGGAGGCCATCCGCAGGACACCAACGAAGAGTTTCGTTGCTCGGAGCGATTTTAGGATCGTGCCACCGAAACAGCGTTGCTTGATGAGGATTACCCAATACCCGGATATTGGGGATGATATGGGGGAATGTGTTGTTGGTCAATATATGTCAATATCATGCCAATATGAGGAAATTGTACAATGGTTGTTGGTTATGGGTGATGATATGAACCAATCTACTCCAATCTACTCCGGATTATCATCATCCATTGTTAGTTATGTTCGTCGGTTTGGGGCACCACCTTGTGAATCCTTGTGGGAATGGGTCAAACTTGGGGTAGCAATGGATCCATAATGGATTCGTTGTTTTGGCGTTCTTATAAGGATTATGGAAACCATCCATTTTTAGGGTTGATCATTTTGAGCCACTCCCACATCAGGATTGACAAGAAATAACGAGACCATACAAAAACCAAGGGAATATCGATCACGAGAAAGCATGGTAGTTTTGGGATCCGGCTTTCAAACTAGCTCCTTGCTTTCCTGTTGGCGGAAGTCCCTGAAGCCTCCAGCAGTTACCATCGGATAGACTTGGATTGGGTCGGCAACTTAAAATTTCTTGATCTGGAAATCAGCTAAAACATGCTAAAACTGAACATGTTTGGAATATCTTGGAATGTTTGGGCCCATTTACCCCCCCAACCAGCGACCCTGATTTTCTTGTTCAGATGCCAATTTCCAAATTTATGTCTATCGAACATACGTCTCAGGGCTTGACTTACACGCTGTGAAGCCAAGGTCCAGTCTTTGATGGTGGACAGTCGCACCCTCAGTGACCACACGTTGCACTCTTTGATGGTGGTCTCCGCGTAGTGGATCAGGCGTGGCTTTCCCTGGTGCAGCGGCTCGGAACCTCGAAAGGCTGGTTGGGCATCCTTCATGGTTTTGGAGCTACTGGTAGTTGCTGATTCATGGTGGTTTCAAATGTTTCAAATACGATGTTCAGCATGTTCATCCCATTTAGATTTAAATTTATGGTGGGACTTTTTATGGGTTCATATAACCAATGATGATTCTGGTTGCTGGTTTCAAAGACGTATTTATTTTTGCTCCCTATAGAAATGGGATGAGGATCGCAAGTGACGAGCATCATTGGTGATTCCTCCCATTTTTGAGCCATACCAGCTAGAGCTAAGGGGTTGATATGTATGAAGTATGATAGATCATACATATTATTATATAATAATAATATTATATACAATATGGTTGAATTATAGCGACCTCACTGGAGCAATGGTTAGTAAGGGGAATTATACCAATACAGCGTGATTTCAGGTTAGTGAATTACTATGATATAATTCTACATCACTATGTATATATATAATAGACGGACGTACATATCCCACACGTCAGTGACGAACCATTCACCACCAATCATGTTCTGACATTTTCTTGGTCATATTTGCCCATTCAAATTTCTGTGGCTAGGCATCATAAGAACTCTCCCCATATCCCAGAATTTGGGTCATGGGAACATGTACTGTACCAGAAACCTCCATATTTGGTACTAAAAGCAAGGTTTTTCTGTCGAATTACTGTATCTCAAACCAATCTATTGATCATGATATTTGATGATCAACACATATAAAATCATTGAAATTATCATCTTAAGTCGGTAAATCATGTCAAATCCCCAGTTTTTTTTTCTATTGATCATCAAATTTGAGGACTTTTCATGGCTAAATCATGGAAAACTCTCCATGTTTGATGCTTTAAGGCCTCCATTTGTTGCCGCTTCAGTGGATCTCCGATCCCCCGCCAGGTCTTTCCCGAGAGCGAGTGGATCAGTTTCGACCACCTTGGCCTGGGCGCTCGGGAGAAGACTCCGTGTTTTTTTTTTCTTCCCCTATTATCTATTGATCAACTATGGTTTAGAATTTTAGAACTAGGTTAACTATGGTTAACTATGGTTTATGATGATTAGATATAGATCAAACCAGGAGTCTGCCATAGTTTTTGGGATTATGGATTGTTCAGCATGAAATTGATCGTTTAATGGAGTTTGAATGGAATTGTCCTGCAGCATGTTCACTTAAACCAGGGTCGGTGGGGTCAACTTCGCAAGAAGTGTTTATCGATTCGGCGGTGCCCGGGTAAGCCCTAACGGCCCTATCATTCCTGGCCAAGAAGAACACGCCAAAAACCAGGCGGAGAAAACCAAAGACTGATTTTTCCACATGTTACAACCACTATGTTTCCTGGCCGCCTCTGGTCCAAGCTTCGACGTTTTTTTCTGAGTCTGCTCTGCCAAACAAATACTCTGTGGGTTTGTATGAAAATAGGCACTGAAACATACGGTTGCTTTCATATCCTATTACATAATATCACATCCCCATAAAATTGTTGATTGGTTCTATTCCACGATCCATTGGTTAAATCCCTTTGTGTGATGGTTAAGTCCCAACAATTAACTCCATGATAAAGAGATTGCGATATATAATTGGTAGCCGTCTCGTTCTCCCTTTGACGATTTGTGATTTCATGTTGACCATCCCACTGCAAGGGGTATTCCATACCAAGTTAAGTTGGTTTTTGCACATAACTGGATTATCTATATAGTTAACCTAGCTATCTATATGGTTTATAACTAGGTCAACTATGGTTTATAGATGTTTTATGGTAGATATATCTAATTGACACTACTATGATTAACATAACTAACACAATTACCTAAGGTTTGTGGTATATATATATGGCGTTGATTGAACATCGTGTTCCCCCTAAATCGATTGGATTAGAACCATTTGCTCTATGAAAATAGCCATTTAGAGGTCTACCGCATTTTCACACACGCCCATATCTTTAGTATTTATATTAAGGTTGACCATCTCACTGCAAGGTGTTTTTTTTTTTTCCATACTTAGCTAAGTTGGTCTAGAACTAGGTTAACTACGGTTTATGCTAATTAGATATGTCTATATATCTTTAGTATTCATGGGGTAAATCTAAACCCGCAGCTCCACCACTGGGGGCCTCTAAGGCACTGCCCTCATAACCATCTTCCAATGCATGACGCTGGAGGGCTGGACCGATGCAACTTGGATGATGGCGGCAGGGCGAATAGCCTTTTTTAAAGTCAACTCGCATGGTGATGCTTAGAGATGTTTAGAGATGTTAGACCGAATAATTGATGGTTACGGCTCAACCTTATTTCTTTTAAGTGTTCAACCATCATTTGTCAACTAGACCACCATATGTTTGATGTTTAAACCTCATAACTGATGGTAAAACCTCATAACTTGGGGCTGATCAACCATCATTTATGAATTATATCCATCAAAATTGATGGTGAACATCTTTGTTACATGACTATAATCATCAACCAGCCATCATTCATGAATTAGATCACCATATGTTTGATTGTCAAACCTCATAATTGATGGTAAAATCCAATTTTTTACCAAACACCTCCATTTCTTAGGAGAAATTCCCCTTGTCCGGTTTGATTACCAGCGGGTATGCGGTATATTAATGGATTTTAAGGCCCTAAACATTTGATAATCAAACAAAACACATTTGCACCGTGTGTAGATGAGGGGGGATGGTTCAAAACAATTTTGGAGACGAACATCCATTTTTCATCAAAGGGATGGTTATTCGATGTTATTCTCGCAATGAAAAGGTGTTAATATATCCATATTTATGGGGAATATCATGATCCATGACCGTTGGCTTTAGACCACCGTCTTTGTTAGATAATATTTGATCTCCCAACATATACCCATCTGTATAGTAACATATCCACCACGAATGTAGATCATATATAGATCATTTTCCGGTAAAAAAAACGCTTTCCCCATGGCTTTTCCAGATCTTCCTATATGTTTACCGTTGTTTACCCCAGGGTATCTATACCCCCTTGGTACCCCAGTGACTGCCTAAAAAACCATGTCAGTTGGCTGAGGTCATGTATCGCATCCAGGACAGATTCGATGCACACACACACACACGGAATTACACAGATATTGTGTGTGTGTGTATTAATAATATATATATATATACACCTACACATGGTGACTGTGTATATCTATATCTATATCTATATATATATATATATTTGTGTGCACATATAATTATGTATAATTGTATATATATATAATATCATATTACTATGACATCTTACATGAATTACTGTAGATGTAGAGACACATATTTACAGATCATGTCTCCAGGACGGTTATGGCTTTGCAGTGGCCACGATCTACTTCTTCCTCCTCATTCCGGCCGGGGCGGTGGAGCCAGGAGATTTCACCTGCTAAAACGGGATTTGACCCAAAAAATGGTGGTTCCTACCATCAATCATTGGGATTTCACCAGCCAAAATATGCCAAGATGTGGAATTAAGCACAGCAATCTGACTTGAGCAAGGATCCAGACCCTGGTAGAGGGGTTCAAATTGTGGGACGACTTCGTGTTGAAAAGCCAGAATGGTGGGTGAAACTATAGTTCACCCCTAGTTTTGTTCATCATGTTGCAAGAAGTGGAGAACAGACCTCCATGCGCCAAGCAATTTCATGTCATGAGATGTGATGAGTGCGGGATCACAGACTCCTCACACACCGATTCATGTGATCCTTTTGGTGATCAGAGTCCATTCTGACAATTTTTACGGCAGCATGATGGAATTTGGTGAGAATCTCTGAGTCATGTACTTTCAAGCTAGGCTTTTAGTAGCTCCCACTGGCTCCCCATTCTTCATGGAGCCCTTAGAGATCCCAGCAAATCCCTGCTGTTCGTGAAATCGCACCTGGCTATCCAGATGTTTATCTCAGGGTTGCACTACACTGGGGTATGTCTTATAATATTGAATTAACTTAATAATCCAGTGTAATGCAACTATGTTAACTATCATATATTAACATATATTAACTATATAATATGATTTTTTAACTTAAGAACCGGTACCAATCGGAATGTATTGCTTCGGGATGCCATGTAAATACGGGGACTAACCCAGAAGTACCGTGAATCATGGTTGGTAAATATGAATAACTATTATATATGTGGCCCTATGATCAGTATATTGCCAACGAACATGGGTTGAATCAGTGATACCCTATTTTACCAACCAATCATCACCAGTATAACTTTACTGGCTATGGGATAATAGCCAGTATAAGTGTATATTACTGGTACGTTGTATGGTATGGTATCATGTTGTGCGCAGTACTAAGAGGATCTTGCAGTCCCAGGGGTCCCAGCTCCAGAGCTCATCCTGGTGTCTGGAGAAGCCGTCATTGTCATTATGCTAGTTATAGTAATTATAGTAGTTACCTGAATATACTAGTTACTAATCATACTATGTATATACCAAAAATAAATAAAAATAATAGTTACTGGTAATTACTCAATGTAAATAATGTATAATATGATTACTGGTAGTATGATTACTGGTAGTATGATTACTGGTAGTATATTATGTACATACTATGATTATTATGTATAATATGCCATTACTCAACGTGGTATAACTGTCATGGCGTCCTGCCAGGTGACCTCCTTCTTCCTGCTCAATGTGGCTCTGGCAGTGGTCGACGAGGCGCAATCGGTCGGCCCTGCAGTGCCCGTAGGTAGGGGTGCCTTTTTTTTGGGGGGTTTGAAAATGGTCAATTTATGATCCAGTTATGATAGATTGATAGTGGGAAACCTATCCAGTTATATAGATGATAATTTCCCTAAAAACAACATTATTTTCCATTTCCCTATCTATTTTTAATAGGGCAAATTATCATAGATCATGGATTTTAGGGGGAACCATGGGGAACCCATTTTCAGGCATTCCTTTTTATAGTCGTAAATTTCGGGGTGTGTCCATGCAAGCCGGCACTTTTTTTAGAGGAGGGTTTTTTGTACCCAGGAATGGTAAGTGGTTTACAACGCATATAAAATCATATACCCTTTGGTAATTTAACATAGCTATGGAAAATTGCCATTTAGTTCGTTGATTTACCCATTGAAAATGCTGGTTTTCCATGGTTATGTTAGTTTCCCATACGGTTCTTACATGCTCTTACTGGAGCGATGCCTGTTGAGGTTGCATCCCCTCCAAGGATTCATGGCAATGCCGTCGTCCCTGCAATGGCTCAGCGCTGCTAGGAAGCTCCGTAGGTCTCCTGGGCATCCAATGATGTCCTTTGGTATCTTTAAGACCTGCTTCATGTCTTTTTTAAATCACACACGTGTTCACACACATATATATATATATATTATATGGCTTCATGCTCGTTTCGGGCGTTCTCAAAAACAATGTTTTTGAGAACGCCCTTTTAACAGCATATATATATAGGGTGACAAAGTTACAAGAGCAGGAGTAGCTACAGGAGCATACATCCTGTGTCACAATGTACAGTATAAGTAAAGCTACCTCCTTGAGACATGTATACGTGTATATGTATATACACAACTGTAAATGTATATACACAACATACACAACTGTATATGCATACAGTGTAAAGGAAGTTTTAGAGGTATTCTTCATTCTGGACGGACATTCTGGCGGAAAACATTAGGGAACATGTATATACAAATTATATATATATACACATACATACAGGCGCTTGACATGTCTTTACATGCGCAGAAAATGGGACGCGGTTCCTACTAAGTTGAAACCACCAGTTGTACATGGCAGCAGCTGCCAGCATCCTCGGAAGAGATCCATTCAGCCAGACATCGCGCAGCATGGAGGATCTGCTTCTGAACAGGAAGGTCCACGTGAACGTTTCTTGGCTCAGTGCAGCGGAAGCAGCAAAATCCCAGAATCGAAGGGAAAATCGACCGGAAACCTCCGTTTTCATGGAACTGAACAGTGATTTCGCATGATTTCGTGTCAATTCTTCGTTATATAAATCCACCCATTGAAGGTAAGAAGGCGCAGTTTCTTTCCCCCCTTGGGGAAGGTACCTCATTCCTACAAGGGGTTCCATGAAAGTGCAAAGGGAGGGCACTTTCCCTATAATGGACCACATCAGGAGGACCTCATGGAGTACGTTCATTTAATCCATGATTATACAGGGATGCATGGATGGATGGATGCACGGATGGATGGATTGATGGACGGAGGGGTGGATGGATGGATGGATGGATGGATGGATGGATAGATTGTAACTGTTAGGGGTGAAATAGTTGGCTTGCCCTGCAGATTGATACAGATATCATCATTGGGTAAATGCACCAGGTAGTCACGAAGACGAAGAAGACGAAGAAGACGAAGAAGAAGAAGACGAAGAAGACGAAGAAGACGAAGAAGACGAAGAAGAAGAAGAAGAAGAAGAAAGACGGAAGAAGAAGAAGAAAGAATAATAAAAAATAATAAAAGAACAAAAGTAATAAAAAGAATAATAATAAGAATAGCAAGAAAAATAGTAAAGAAGAACAAGAACCAATAAGAAGAACGAAGAATAATAACAATAAAAAGAAACATAAAATAAGAAGACAAAAAAACAACAATATGATTATGATGCTTATCATGATTACAGAGATGACAATGATGAGGGTCGCTGGTCGTGGCCCCAGGTGAGTTTGCTGAATGGTCGATCTGTGGAGCTGCCGGTTTATCCTGGCCTCTTTCGGGTGAACCGAATGGGGGTGGACCTGAAAAGGGGGAAATTAGGCACCATAAATGTGGCCATGTTCTTGGGGAAAATGAAGACAACCCATTTTTTTTTTGATTTGGGGGGGGGTCGAATCTCCAGACCAAACCATTTATTCTAGAAGTTAGACGTATAGGAACGGTTAATCTTCAAGAAATGAATGGTAAAAAGCAACAACAACAACAGCAACAACAACAACAACAGCAACAGCAACAGCAACAGCAACAGCAACAGCAACAGCAACAGCAACAGCAACAGCAACAGCAACAGCAACAGCAGCAACAACAACAACAACAGCAACAGCAACAGCAACAACAACAACAACACCACCAACACCAACAGCAACAGCAACAGCAACAACAACAGCAACAACAACACCACCAACACCAACACCAACACCAACAACAGCAACACAACAGCAACAGCAACAGCAACAGCAACAGCAACAGCAACAACAACAACAACACCACCAACAGCAACAGCAACAGCAACAGCAACAGCAACAGCAACAGCAACAGCAACAGCAACAGCAACAGCAACAGCAACAGCAACAGCAACAGCAACAGCAGCAGCAACAGCAACAGCAACAGCAACAACAGCAACAGCAACAGCAACAGCAACAGCAACAACCCAATAGCAACAGCAGCAACAGCAACAGCAACAGCAACAGCAACAACAGCAACAGCAACAGCAACAGCAACAACAGCAACAGCAACAGCAACAACAGCAACAGCAACAGCAACAACAACAACAACAACAACAACAACAACAACATGGGTTCCCGCAACATTTCCTTCAAACTGATTTGCCCCGCTGATTAGTTGATCCCGTGTGGTGGATGATAATAATTAGGGATATCATGGGAATATAGTCTGTATTTGCCATCAGGAAGTTTTTAACCAAACAGCATCGGTAACGAAAAACATGTATATATAATTATCCTTATATATATATATTATAGACATTCATATTCTTAAAAGTCACAGTTGATGGTCAGTCGATGGTTGGTAGCAGTATTTTGCTGACTGATTGAATCCAATATGGCATCTCCGCCAATGGACCAGTAGGTTTGGGGATGACGGAGAGTGAACTGCTCAAGTGGCTGGTCATTCTTGGCATTCAACATCATTCAGCATCCAACTGTTGGGTCAACCATGCTGAACCGTACCCAGTATATACAGATTTTATTGCATATTTTGTTAAATCATTGCTCCAGAGCAGGAGATTTTTTGGTGCACTTTGAGATGTTTTCACCGGGGTCTCAACTACACAATTGGTTGCATCAACAGTTTCGACGATGGCAGTGTTAAAAACATCCCTGCATCCCGACAGAAGTTGAAAACTCGGACCAGGGGAACCCCCAGATAGTGGGTCCGATCGGATTTTATCCACTGATGGTATGTGGTTAATGTGGTTATATATAATGTAACTCTCTGTTTGACAGATTGCATCTTTATGTATATATAATTATAATTAATATACATTTGCATGCCCATTGTGGTGAGTTAAACAATGTGAACCTGGATTTATCTTCGAATAGACTCTATTGATAGAGTAATTACGCTGAACCCCATGGTTGAAGACAATCTAGTCCTTATTTTTGGGCAGCCCCATAGTAGTTGGCTCTACAGGGCTTCCATCCACATCTGCAGGTCGAGGACCTCAAAAGATTGGCGCAGGATGTTCTGGGGTGACATGGTTTCTAGTTGGCCATGTGGTGAGGGCTAGTCCCTGAACCCCTCAACAAGTTTCTCTTGATCAATTGCTTGGCCAAGATGGATAGATCCAGTACTATGCCAGAGTTTTTTGGATAAACACAGGGGAGACGGTTTCTTTTTAATGGATGATTCTGACATTGAAAGCCAGCAAAACTATGGAGTCAATGGGGGAGCCAAGGTTAGCTCCGTCGCGGAATGAGATGTGGTTTACATATTATGTATATATATATATTATATACATATATAGCACCCGCCCAAAAGATCGACAAATCGTTTATCACCATTTTTACTGAGAAACTCAATTTCTATCTGTTTGGAGTAGTATGACTTAGTATGACGTCATCCTGAGGGGAATTCCAAGCCACCCTTGGATGGCCCAACTCTTCAGTTCATGAGGTCGTTGATCAAATCCTTTTGGTGGTTTCAATGTTTTTTTTATAAACAAAGTAAAAGCAACAAAACCCATCCTACCTTAGATGATGATCCCAACTGACAAATCATTTCGATTTTTTTAAAACCACAAAAGCGCCCGCCAGTTTGGTGAGGCAAAACTTCCTGAAGCTCATTGGCGCCGACGGGCAGGTCCTGCACCCCGGAGGAATTTTGCAAGTCGCGGATGGGGATCAGATCACTCCAGTGGCGCTGCAAGTAGAGGTGGGTGCTGGCCAAAGAATGGTTACCTTTTTTGGGACCCACAACACATGCATATTTTGTATCTGGTGTATTTCAGTATATCTTAGATTATAGTGAGTTATACTATATCTATTATTATTATTATTATAGAATTGTACTAACAATCCATTCTTGGATTTCTTGGGTTTGACATAACTTGACATAACTTGACCTAACTTGACCCCCAGGTTGCTGCTGCAAATAAAGCCTTTGCACTCTGGTGTCATGGAGGAGATGGGATCGCCACTTGGGGCAAACCCAGTCGTGGCTCTGACTCCGCCAGAGCAGGACTCCGCCAGGTCGCGAGACTTCAAAACCTGTCATGTTCATCAATTGTTCATATTTTTTGGTATGAACATTTGTAGATATCCATAAGCACTAGGTTTTTTTTGTTTTAGCACTAGAGTGAATTGACCAACCCAGGTCCGGCAAGTCGAGGCTGTGGATGCTGCTTTTGCCGCCCTGCTGGAAAATGGATCCGTAGTGAGTTGGGGGACTGAGGGTTCTGAAGAGATTCTGGCAAAAGATGTGACGCGGATTCTGGCGGCGCGCTGGCTTTTTTTGGGCCTTCGAGCTGATGGAAGCTGTACAGCCTTCCGAACACAGCGGGGTGTGCCCCAAGCCATCATGGAGCTCTGCCAAGGGCTGCGGCATGTGCAGCAGTTTGAGGCCACTGAGGAGGGCGCTGCTGCCCTGTTTGATGGACGGGTGATAGCTTCACCGAGGTTGTCCCGAGATCTTCAGGAAAGGCTTGGGAAACCTGGCTCTGTGAAGCAGATTCGATCTACCGCTAAGGCTTTCTGCGCCCTTCTGACAGATGGGAAAGTTGTTACTTGGGGTGATCCGCGGGCTGGGGGCGATCCGCGGAATGCTGGCAGCAGCTGGCACATCCAGGATCGATTGACCGATGTGACGAGAGTTGAGGCGACAGAGAGAGCATTTGCTGCGATACTGGCAGATGGAAGTGCTGTAGCATGGGGTGATCCAAACTACGGTGGTGATTGCAGCAAGGTACAAGATAAACTGAAAGAAGTGCAGCAGAATCTCAGTTTATGAAATGGTGATACTTTGCGATGTTTGATGTTTGATCCTTTTTGCTTTTCATTGTACTTTCCAAGTTTGAAGACATCACCTTGAGATGGGTTTTCTCATGATGACCCCAATGGATCCTAATGGCCTAATGGTTGGGGGAAGTTCAATGAGCACATTACCCCTTTAGACACCCTGCTCAACAGATTTTGCGTGTTTGGGGAATGCCTTTTGACAGGATTCACGCAGCCGGCTGTGCGTTTGCTGCTATCTTGGCCAACGCAACCATCGTTACCTGGGGTGATCCAAACTTCGGTGGTGACAGTCGGAGTGTTCAAGCACAGCTTCAGAATGTGCAGCGGGTTTATTCGACATACTACGCGTTTGCAGCAGTTTGTTCACCCGATGGAAGCGTCGTGACATGGGGTGATCCTGCTTTTGGTGGGAACTCTTCTGGTGTACAAGAGAAATTGAGACATGTACAACAAATCTCAGGTAGTATTGGTGCCTTTGTGGCAGTCTTATCCGATGGAAGCGTTTTGTCATGGGGCAACGTTCTCTTTGGTGCCGACAGTAGCGCAGCCCAAGGCATTCTCCCGCTCCTGGGGTGATTAAGGCAGAAGTGAAGTCAAAAATCGCAGAATGATTCCGGATGGTCATGGGACATGGGGGTCCCCTCCTGGTCAACCATGGTAAACCCTGGTAAACCATGGTAGAACCAACATTTTTCAATGGACGGCAATGGGAAATCACCCATAAATCACTGAAATGTTTGATCATTTTTAAGTCTGGTGCATCAACCACGAAGGTCTCGAAATGAGGGAGTATCCGTTGTGAGGTCAGATTGCCAGAGGAGACATCAAACCTTGATTTGGTGACCAAAAATGCTGACATCTACAGGTCCTCTGAGATGACACTTGACGCTTCTATTTTGTTATATTATCAGTGGCAATATTGTTGCCTGTTCGCTGTTGATCCGTGACGGTCTGGAGAATTCTGATTACCAACTTCCTGTTGGAATCCGTAAAAACCACGGGCCACTTCTCACCAATTGATGGCATTGCCAGCTCACATCAGATCCAGTCAATCCCAACCTGGTTGGTGGTTTCAAACATTTGGATTATTTTCCATTTCATATATGGGATGTCATCCTTCCCATTGACGAACTCATATTTTTCAAGATTGATTTTTAACCACCAACCAGGTTATTATTAACCATCATCAACCATCATCATAACCATATAATAACCATATATTAACAGTATATTAACCAAAGTATATATATATGTATATTAACCATCATTAACCACATATATATATATATATATATTTATTTTAGCCATAATAACCATATATATATATATTAACCACATATTATGATGGCAAAGGTGTTTTTTCTGAAATGAAGGGAGGGTGGGATCACCAGATCCGATAAAAATTCTTGGGTCTAGGAAAGCCACCGACAGAGGTCGTCGAACTTTCCGTTTTATCTATTGAAAGATCACCGTGTTTAAATGTGGGCGCCGTAATTTATATACTGTATATGTATAATTATGTATATTCCCTAGTATATATATATATATATACACCAGCAACCTGCGACTTAGGGATTTTGAGTCGCGTTGTCATGGAGCTGTCAATGGGGATTTGCCCCTACCTTATGGCAAGCTTTGGGGGGAAATAGCAATCTCGAAATAGGTAGAAAAGTGGGAAACTTGGAAATTTGAAGTACATATCATGTATAGCATGCTGGAACCACTTTTCGGCATCTTTTTGCGGGTTGCTATAAATCAACCATGAAGTGTTTTGCATCCACCATTTTTACACAATCCCAAATGGTTCTTTTCCTTGAGGTGTTGCAGTGGGAAATGGACTTCCAAGTTGGTTGTCCGTAGTACCTCTAGGCATCATCCAACTCTGGGGAATTGTGAGCCACTGGAGATGTTTCAAAATTGGATACCCCAAAAAAACGTAGAAAAGGTTAAATCCCTATTCTTGATCGTTTTTTTCTGATTGGTTCAACATCTCATACTCCACAGGACACTAACATTGCTATGGGACACCCCCTAAGTTTCCCAAGGCCATGATCTACAATGGTGTCTTTTCCAGATCTATCTTAGTTTACTGGGGGGTATTTGCTAATCATGCAAAATTCGATATATCTACCATAAACCCGAGTTATAGCTAGTTATATAAGTTATAGGCCAACTTAGCAAACATGGATCACCTATTCTTCCCTCTGGTAAACAAACATAGCTATGGAAAATCACAATTTTTCATGGGTAAATCCACGAACTAAATGGCCATTTTCAATAGCAAACTGTGAGTTTACCAGAGGGTATCACCTATTCTATCCCATCAAGTCACCATTTCCTCTGCGAAGTTCCATCACCTTCCGGCTTCCAAAAAAGATGCGCCAGGCACGCGAGGATTTCGCGGTGGAGGTGCGGTTATCATGCGATAAGATTTCATCCATGGAACTGGAGATACCTATAGATTAATGTTAATTAATGGGATTTACTGGGGTTTACATGGATTTACTGGGAAATTATAGTTATTGATGGGATTCTCGTTGGGATTACACTTGGGATTTATGTTGACATATTCGGGATGATACTTGGTCCCTGTCATGATTGGTTGCGTTAACTCTCTCTATATTGTAGCAGCGGCTTAATTGGTGCCAAGAGCCCGTGCAGGATATGTTCAAAAGGATTGGCTCAATCCACCAAGCCTGATGGTCCATGTCGATCCATACTCATTTAGTTCGTTTGCAAGACAAAAGAGTTATTGACCCAGATCTATCCAGAATCGATTTACTCCTCCGTTCATCTACCTACTTACCTACATGTGTATCCTATCCTATACTAAACTACACTCCATTACATTATATATAATAAACATACATAAACATACATATACATACATACATACATACATACATACATACATACATACATACATATACCTACGTATACATACGTATACATACGTATACATACATATACTACAATAATCTCTAATAATCTATCATAATCTATAATAATCTATGATATACACATAAAGTGATAAAAAATAGTGCCTTAATGAAGTTTCAGCACCCAAAGGTCAATACCGAAGAGTTGGACACTATTCACTTTTCCCACAGGACATCACGAGGTTATCACCGACATCACGTAGCTATGATGGGTGCCATAGTCCGAAACATTTATATACAGGTGGTTAATGATGGTTAATGATGGTTAATGATGGTTAATGATGGTTAATGATGGTTAATGATGGTTAATGATGGTTATATAATGGTTTATGGTTAATGACTGGTTGCTGGTTTGGAACATGAATTTTTATGACTTTCCGTATATTGGGAATAATAACCCAATTGACGAACTCATATTTTTCAGAGGGGTTAAAACCACCAACCAGTATAGATATCCCTATTTTTGATGTATCAATGACTATGATTGACATATGATTATATACAAACTCCACATGGTTTAGGTTGTGTAAATATTGTTTGTCATATTGGTACCTCATGGTGTAGAAGTATCCCTTATACATATATGATCAATAGTGTCATATATCATGGTACATACTATAATATCCTGGGTATAATATCCTGCTTATATAATAGCCTACACATTATAAATACCCCAATGATCATGGTACATATATTTTACCCAGGATAACATATACCCAGTAGTTCTACCTAGGACATCGATATTTTGTACCTGCGACACCATGAAAGACTATCACCATTGAAATGGTGGATAGTTTCTCTTTCCTTTTATGGGATTACATAGTAAAATGTATAAGTATAATACTCTATCAACTATCAATATGTAGGACACAAGATTAATTATACTCTAATGACATTTTCTAAATGTATGATTTATGGGATTAGTATAATCTATAGATATATATATACCCTGCAATATTGGATAAATCTATGATGATATAAATATATACATATTAACATAGTATAAACTAACATACATACATACATACATACATACATACATACATACATACAGACACACACACACACATACATACATACATACATACATACATACATACATACAGAGACAGACAGACAGACAGACAGACAGACAGACAGACCCACAGACAGACAGACAGACAGACAGACAGACATACATACAATATAATATAGATATCCTATACTTCATAGATATGGGTTTCCGTTCTGGTACCCCCAGTCATCCAGAACCATCCATTTTAGGAAACCTCCATTTTAGATAGTGATAGCCTTTAGATAGTACAATATTAACTATGTATCCACATTATTGATTAATAACATAGTATATAAATGATCAGTAATATGTATACTAGAGGAACTAAGTATAATCCTACTATATATATTAACCATATTAATGACTAGTAATATATATATATATTATTAGGATATCCCATTACTTCGCCACAAACCAGGCGGAAGAGGAAGCTCTGGAAGAGGAGGCCCTGCAGCACCTTGCGGCCGAGGCCATCGAGGAAAGCGAGGTCACGTCGCTTGGTCTCGGCGACCAAGGATGGGGATGGGCAAAAACCATGGGAAAACTGGGTGGGTTTAGCCAAAAATGGATGAAACTTGGTGGATCTAGCATGGATTCATAGATATTTATGGCCAATTTTTATTGAGAGTTTATGGCAATGAAACCACTCAAGCCAGGTATCACCAAACTTAGAGAAAACATGGATGGAAGTTGTGGATTTAGTATTTAACCCATTCTGTTTTTGATTTTTGAAACCATTTGAAGAAGGTGTTCGTGATGAAGTCAGTGGCTGTGGTGACGGAGCAATTTTATGGCAGTTAATTTGTGGATTTTTACTCCAATTCAATAGTTCCCCAGATAGCTGGCAAGCTATAGGGGTTCTTACTTCTCTTAGGTGGGGGTCTCCGGTGGCGAACTTTTGAGCCCAGGGTGCTGTGCAGGGTGCTGTCCAGACTGCGGTGGCGAAGTCTGGCAAAGGTGCTGTGCAGGGTGCTGTGCAGGGTGCTGTCCAGACTGCGGTGGTGAAGTCTGGCAAAGGTGCTGTGCAGGGTGCTGTGCAGGGTGCTGTCCAGACTGCGGTGGCGAAGTCTGGCAAAGGTGCTGTGCAGGGTGCTGTGCAGGGTGCTGTGCAGGGTGCTGTGCAGGGTGCTGTGGCGAAGTCTGGCAAAGGTGCTGTGCAGGGTGCTGTGCAGGGTGCTGTGCAGGGTGCTGTACTAGTGCGGTGGCGGAGTCTGGCAAAAGGTGCTGTGCAGGGTGCTGTGCAGAGTGCTGTTCAGACTGCAGTGGCGAAGTCTGGCAAAGGTGCTGTGCAGGGTGCTGTGCACAGTGTTGTGCAGGGTGCTGTCTAGACTGCGGTGGCGAAGTCTGGCAAAGGTGCTGTGCAGGGTGCTGTCCAGATTGCGGTGCGAAGTCTGGCCAAGGTGCTGTGCAGGGTGCTGTGCAGGGTGTTGTCCAGACTGCGGTGGCGAAGTCTGGCAAAGGTGCTGTGCAGGGTGCTGTCCAGACTGCGGTGGCGAAGTCTGGCAAAGGTGCTGTGTAGGGTGCTGTGCAGGGTGCTTTGCAGGGTGCTGTCCAGACTGCGGTGGCGAAGTCTGGCAAAGGTGCTGTGCAGGGTGCTGTGCG